TGTGTGTGTGTGTGTGTGTGTGTGTGTGTGTGTGTGTGTGTGTGTGTATGTGTCCCACTTGCTTCCTTTAGTATAAGTCTGTGTTTAGGTCCTACTCCCAGGACTTCATGCCTCACAACCAAGCTTCTGTTCCACCTTTCCTCTCGTCTACCTCCTCTTCCTCTCCACATTTCCCACCTGTCCACCAGTCTCAGAGCTCTGACCTAGCGGTGCCAACCACAGCCAGCCTGCCTCCCAGCACTGTGGATGGGCCCAATTCCTGTTCTCAGGAGAGCAACTTGAATGGGAATTCTGTCTACCTTCCTTCTGAAACCTCTTTCACTGATTCTCTCCAGACGCCTTCGGTGAGACTTAAAAAAAAAAAATGCAACTTCCCATAGGACTGTGAAATTTTTAGAGCATTATTTTGTTTTTCCGAAATACTATCCCTTCCCTTTCTTGTTGTAGTAACAATAAAATCAGGGGTTTATGTGATAGTGAAACAGCAAAACTAGATTTTGTGTGTGTGTGTGTGTGTGTGTGTGAGAGAGAGAGAGAGAGACAGAGTCAGAGACAGACAGACAGAGATAGAAAGAGATTGAGATTTCAGGTAGGAAGGTGTGATTGTAGCACAGAGATCACTTATCTTGGGAGTGAGGTGACTTGGGTTGAAGTAGCAGATCCTTTTGCTGGCAGTATGACCTTGAGAAAGTCACCTCCCTGTCTGAGTTGCAGTTTCCTAACTTGTAAGATGAAGGGGTTGGATTAGATTTCCGTATTCTCTGAAGACCTTTCTGACCTTAACATTCCATGAGATTGTGAAATAACGTTGAAAATGTGGAAGCACAATTTCTGCACTTAAGTCTGAAATTCAGTTTTATATAACAAGGTTCACATCAGGCCAGTTAGTCAAATGAAATTATTAAGCACCTTCTATTTGCCAGGCACTGTGCTAAGTGCTGGGGATACAGAGAGGCAAAAGATACGAGTTGTTCATGAGTAGGCAGGGCCAATATAGTAAAAATGACAACGTGACCCAAACTAATTTATATATTCAGTGCCATCCCAATTAAATCACAAAAAAATTATTTTACTGAATTAGAAAAAATAATAACAAAATTCATTTGGAAGAACAAAAAGTCAAGACTATCAAAGGAAATAATGGGGGAGGGAAAGCAAAGGGAGGAGGTTTAGCAGTACCAGATCTTAAACTATATTATAAAGCAATAATTATCAAAACTATCTGTTATTAGCTAAGAAATAGAAAGATAGATCAATGGAACAGAGTAGACATACAATTTGTAGCAGCAAATGTATATATAACCTTGTATTTGACAAATGTAAAGACTTAAGATTTTGGGATAAGAGTTCATTATTTGGTTAAAAACTGTTGGGAAGACTGGAGAGCAGTATGGCAGAAACTGGGCATAGGCCAGTATCTTATACCATTTACCAAGATAAGGTCAAAATAGATATGTGACCTAGATATAAAGAGGATATTACAAGAAAGTTAGAAGAACATGGAACATATTACTTATCAGACGTATGGTTGGTGAACAGTTTGTGAATAAACCAGAGATAGAGAGCAAAGTTAGGTGTAAAGTGGATAATTTTGATTACGTTAAATTAAAAGAGTTTTGTACAAATAAAAGACAGTCCCTGCCCTCAAGGAGCTCACAATCTAGTGGGGGGAAGACAACAAATAGATGAATATGTGCTAACTATATATAAGAAGCAGTTAGAAGAGGGAAGGCCCTGGAATTAAGAGGAGTTGGGAAAGGTTTCCTGTAGGAGATGTGACTTGAAGGAGGTGGAAATGAGGAGGGAGAACATTGTAGCCAGAGAAAATGCCTGAAGTCTGGAGATGGAGTACCTTGTCTGAGGTACAGAAAGGTCACCATATTGAAGAGTTGTGACTGAAGGTGTGAGAAGACTGGAAAGACGGGGGCGGGGGGGGGGGATGTGGCTCTTTCCATTGCATCTCAGATATCACAGGGTAATCATTTAGAGGCAAGTAACCAGCCAGATGTTATAATAACTTAAGAAAATTCACCTTGGATTCTGGTTCTGTTTATAAACAATCACATTTTCCTTTAAGTTGTGTCCACCTTGGAAAGTAAAGACCGTGCAAGCCAGTTCCTTATTCAGCCGCAGGGAGGAACTCAAGAACCTTGAAGGCCAGTCGCCTTGGTTCTCTTAAACTGCCACATGAGTCAGCATGGTGGGGGAACCCTGCCGCTCTGCTGGTAGAAGGGACAGAGAGAAAATCCAGGCTTGACTTTTCCTTGTGCTGAATGGTTCTCACACACATGACTACATACACATCTCGGTTCTATTGCCAGACCTTCTCTTTTTACATCGACATCTTCTCCAGCTGCACTGGGGGACTGCTGTTCCCTCTGCCACTTGCTCCTTGCTGCCTCAGGACCCTTCCAGAGGTCCCTCTTTGTCATCTCTCTGAGAGTAGTCAGGAGGATGTTTACATTTATGGCAACACTCGTGCAGAGGCCAGAGGTGGGGCTGGGGTCTCTGCCCTGTGGCCCAGAGGATGTGATTCCCCATGAGCAGAAATACACTTCCTCTTTAAGGAAAGAGGTGGTTGAGAGAGTCGGGATCTGCTCTGTTGGCTACTCACGCTGGACTTGAGGGGCTGCTGCTGGGCTCCGACACATGTGTCTTTCCTTTCATCCTGTCTCCCATAGAGTGAAAACGCCAGTGAGGAGGCTGGTGAGGGTGAATATGTCAATCTGTATTCCTCTGGCCAAAGCAACGGGGAACTCCCTCACTCTGAAGGAGTAAGTAATATGCAGAAGGCAGAACGAAGCTTTTGGTGCATGCTGAGTCCACATGGGGTGGGGCAGCCTGCTTTCTCCAAGCCTCCCCATCCACCATCAGGATGCTTCTGTGTGGCTGTGCCGACTCGCCCACCACCATGTGAATGGAGAGCAGCCCCATTCAGATGGAGAGCAGAAACATCTTCGCTTCTTTTTAGGCTTTGGTGTCTCTTTTCCTGGCAGTGGTTTTCCTTTGGCATTTGCTTTGATGCACGTGGCAGTCTTGGTGATAGGTCTGGGCCTTATACTGAAATGTCTCTATGGGGCTTTTCCCTATCCCTCCTTTTATGGTAAAGAGCCTCCCGTCCCACCCTAGTAGAACAGAGAATGTAACTTCTCCCAACACCAAGACTGAGCTTCCCTTATCAAATCATTTCCTCTTCCTCCTCTTCAGCATGTGTACCGATCCTAACATTAGTAAATTCCTCCCAGAATTCTGGGTGAGTCACCCAGGGTTGCAGCTTCTGTGTTTATGCATACACTGCACATGTAGCCATTTGACGGATTGCTTGACATCTCTATCTTCCATTCATGACACTCGAGGAACAACAGTTTTTCCGAACATTCTTTCTGGTTTTGATTTAGTAAGGCAGGCTCAAGTTAAAAAGCATCATCCTTCAGAAACTGTGTGACAGTGGAAAAATGGAAACCCAGTGGTGCCAGAAGGCAACTCCTTGTGTCCCGTGCTAACAATGAAGGGGTACCATGAGAAGACTCTCCTAAGGCCGTCTGCTGGATCCTTACTTCTGCCTGGGCCACCGATACCACAAGTTTTTGACCTTGTTATTTCGTTATTGAGCACTTAGTCTTGATCCTGTCACTCAAAAAGTTTGGTCTTCCTTTTTTTAATTATTAAGACAAACCCAAAGTCTTACCAAGTTTCCTTGCTCTCTCCCTTATCGCCCCCCCCCCCCCCCAAAAAATTCTTCTGTGCTCATACTGAGCAAGACTGAGCTCAGAGTTTACAAAGTTACAGTTCATTTCCGAATGTCAGGACATTTGCAGCTGATGGACCTGGGCCTACCCATGCCGAGGGAGCTGGGCTATTTCTTTCCTCATGCTCCCAGTCATCCTCATGCTCCAAAATCATCATCCCCCTCTGGTGGCCTGGTCCAATTCCATCTCTGCATGAGAGAAGAAAAATTCTGATTTACTTTTCTTGGCTGTTTTCCATCTCTGATAAATGGCTAACTTCAGGTGCCACATTCTTCTTCTCTTTGAACTCGACTCCTGCTGTCACACCGCCTATGTTCAGGCTACTCTGCTTCCAACATCACCTCCAGTGCAACAAACCGCAGTGTTGGAGTTTCATTATTTTTGCAGAGTTGCAAAAGTTGGGAGACCCTGAGAAAGAGAAAGTAGGGGAAGAGAGCTTGCACATCTAGGCCTGAATTAGTGTAAACCTTGAATCCCATGAAGGTCAAAGTACTTGAATTTTCATTGCATATCTTCCATTGGGCCAAAACCAATTTTTAACATGTAATCATAAACTCTAGTAGTGTGAATTCAAATCATGCAAGGGATTCATTATACACATGCGTGAATATGCTTTGGCAAGGTGATTACAGGGAACGAAAACTGAAAAAGACAACTGGAAGGGCAAACAGGATGACTTGAACTAAGCCAATGATAGAACATAAGGGTTTTTATGAACCATAAAATGAGTAAAGGTTTCTTGAGAGATCTTCCAAAAGGTGCTTGGTTTATTTTAGTTAATTCAGGTTGACAGCTGATATGCATTATAATTATTGGTGTCATTTCACAGGGTCAGAAAGAAACCGTGAGGCAAGACTTTAGTCCCAAGTGAAGCTCACAAGTTTCCTATGTAATTATCTTTCAAGTTCCATCATTAAAACTCCTAAGAACATGCAGGCAAGAATGCTGGGAGACCAGAGCAACCCTAGTGCTAGTGTTACAACCAAAGCCTTGTTTCCTTTTTCAGGAATCACCAGCTACAAAAGACGGACACCCCAAAGATTCCTCCTTACATGGCAGCGCCTCCGGGAAAGAAAACAGAGAAGGTGGAGAGAGGTAAGAAATGTACCCACCTGAGCCATCTCCTCTTCGTCCCCTCATTCCATCCCTGTATCCCCTAAAAAAAAAATTGGAGGCCAGTCAGATCCAAGGATAGGTGGAGTCTCCTCCCTGCCACGTAGTGGTAAACCTGGATTTTGCTTGTTGGAAAGACTGTAAGGGGTGCTCTAATTTTAAGGGATTTTTTTTTGTTAGGAGAGATGATTTTTCATTTTTTAAAAATGAGTTGGCAAACACTGGTGCCAAGAACATCTGATTTGTCCTCCCTCTGCCCTGCATGGATCGGAAAATGTAACTTTCAGAGTTTCATAGAGTCCTCTCAAAGGAAGGACAAAATTAGCTGCAGTGCCCAGCTTCAAAACAGATTTTCATCTCCTTGTCCTTTTATGAAGGTAGATCTGCAGATAGGCCATCTGTAAGGCAGATACTTAGAGCTGTAATTTCTAGGGGTGGGGATAGGGTTAAACTGATATTTTCCCCACAGGCAACATAGTTTAACACAATGGTTCTCAACTTGGAGTCCCAAGTGGTCGCTGGATAGATTTCTGGACATCTTTAGACTTGGATGAAAAGAAAAAAATTACATCTTTATTTTCACTAACCTCTAAGTGAAATTTAGCATTTCCTTTAGATGTTTAAGAACATTATTATGAGGAGGAGTGCATGGGCTTAACTAGACTGCCAAAAAGGTCCACAACACAAAGAAGGTAAAGAACCCCTGTTCTAGCAGAAAGAACACCAGCCTGGGGGTCAGATGGCCCAAGAGTTAGTCTTGGCCCAATAACAACTAGTAAATTGTGTACCTGAATTCAGATTTGGTCTCAGATATTTACTAGCTATATTACCCTGGGCAAGTCACTTAACCTCTGTTTGCCTCAAGTTTCCTCATCTGTAAAATGGGGATAATGATAGCACCTACCTCCCAAAGTTGTTGTGTCTCAGATGAGATAATATTTGCTGATGGCTGGCACATAGTAGGGGCTAGCTATCATCGTTATTATTTAGAATTCCTTCTTTGGGCTTCAGTTTCCTTAATTCTAAAATAAAAGAGTTAAATTTGATGACCTCTAAAGTTCCTTCCACCTTTAAATCTATGAACCTATGAAATACCTCTCATTTTATGTCACTCTGTACACGTAAGAATGCAGTAATTTCATCCACATTAAATTCAGCAAACAAAAATGCAGCTGTTCTGACAAAATTCTGCTAGCATCAGCAATCAGCAATGAGGATTTTTTAAATCACCCTAAAACAAAATATTTTAACTGACTAGAATCATGCTTTTTTTTTAAATAGGAGGTACCTCAGAGATAATCTAGCTGTAGACTCTCTTATTTTACAGATGCAAAAACTGAGTCCCACAGAAGGGAAGCATTTTATCCAAGGTCACGCAGTCAATCAGTTGCAGAACCAGGACTAGCTAGAGTGAAAATGTCCTAACTCCCAGGTCCTGTGCTTTATGCCATATAGACTTCTGTAGGAACTTGTCTTCCCCATTAGAAAGTAAGCTTCCAGAGAATAAGGATTGTTTTTTCTTTTATACTTGTGTCTACAATGCCCGACACGTAGTCAGAGCTTAATAAATACTTGTTGGTGAATTGATTCTGTCATGATTCACTTTACCTCTTAGGGCTTAGGGAAGCCTAGAGACCCTCATCCATCATCTGAACTCACTTATCACTTCCTTGCCCTGCCCATTCTTGAATCTTTAAGAGCCTTGACCATCGCCCTTCCTCTTCCAGGCAGCTGAAGTCCCCAGATGGTTTGGAATCGACCCAATCTGAGGAGGAAGTAGATGAGCTCTCTCTGATTGACCACAATGAAATTATGGCCAGGTTGACTTTAAAGCAAGAGGTGGGTAATTTAGGCTGTTCCCTTTTAAAACCCCCAGTTTCAGAGAATTTTGCACAGCTGAAGAGAGGGGGAAGTGGGCTTTGGGTGATTTCCAACCTCCAAGGAATTTAAATAGCAAAGACCAGGTGACTGAAGCTAGCCCATGCTACCAGAGGCTGTGAGGATTCCCACCAGCTGGTGAAAATGGCGGTCACTACCCTGCTTTGTACAGCACCAAGATGGCTTCTCTGCATCTTCAGACCTGCAGACACAGACTCACTCAACCCACCACTGCCACTGCAGGTTTCCTCCATCTCTTGCCTTTTTGTTGAAGCAGTATGGCTGAATAGATAACATCCTGGGCTTAGTGCTGGGAAGATCTGGCTTCAGATCCAGCTGTTTGCTGTGGGCAAAATCATTTCATTTCTCTGAGCCTCATTTTCCTCATCTGCAAATAAGACCCAATCCTCCCTGTAGTGCCTACTTCAGGGAGTAGATAGATTCCTGACACAACTGAGATGATATGTAAAAAGTGCTTTGCAAACTTTAAAGGGCTGTGTAAACATCAGTTGTTACTATTTTCAAATAGTAGATAGAGAGCCCACCTTGAAGCCAGGAGGACTTGGATCCAGTCCTGCCTCTGACCCATACTGACTGAGTGACCAGGCAAGTCATTTGCCCCCTCAGTGCTCTCAGCACCTCCCTAAGGCTGAATTGCAGAGAAGGTGTCGACCTGCATTGGTCAAGGGTTTCTTATGCCAGTGAAATCATGCCTGCTCCCTGAGCTGATCATCATTATTAATTAAATGTGGCAGTTGTACCCTGATACTGAGGCACGCATAGATGGGCTGCTGCCCATCTATGTTACCAAGTAGCTTCAGGAATTCAAACCACTTGACAGAGTAGCCTGGTCAGGCCTAATGGAGCTAGCACTGCTTCTGGGCTCTGGGGCTGAGGCAGGCAGGCAGGCAGGCAGATAGACATCCTTCTTGGTCTGCTAACGTCCTAGATTGGCTCTCCCTGATTCAGGGCCAGTAGAGTAATGCATTCATCCTGAAAAGCTTTCAGCATGTCAAGGAGTATGGAAGGGCAGCAATCTATCACTGGTCAGCACTTATAGGAGGCTCTTTGACAGCTGGGATCCACTGAAGAAGGGCTAAGCCATTAATAATCCCCTAAGTGCTATTTTGTGACCCCTGCCAGAATTGCACCTGAAAAATCCTATTATGGGCCCATTTACCCACAGCTAGAAATGCAAGGTGCTTCTAGCACTCTGGACAGAGGGGAGGCATTAGTGCCCAGGGATCCCAGGTGCTGCTCAGGAGTGTTTGCCCTAAGCATCAAGAGGAGGGGTGATATTTGATCTTGATTTGGCTTCAGGAAGACACAATGCACAAACATTTGATGGTTAGAGGCCAGACTGCAAGACCCTAGGTTCCCTGTGTGGCCCTGACAGCAACCTGTGACTTGGTTTTTTTTTTCTCTTTTGTTTCCTTCTTCACCCAAAGAAGGAAAGCTAGACTGACACCCCCATGTCTTATGGGGTTGAGTGGCAGTTGACCAAAGCATAAGTTTCTTTGTAGTCCTCTAGTAAAAGGCCTTGTGGATGTGCTGTTGTGGCCAAGTAGTGATCAGCAAAACACCTGCAAACAGAAACAGATCCAACCAGGGGAGAGGCCTGAACACAGAGCCCATCCTGCTTGGAAGGATGGGGTGAACCTGAACCTTGTGGGAAGCTGATGCCCACCTCAGCCATTTTCCTTCTCTCACTACTCACTTTTCAGATGATCTGTTAAAACCTTTCCATCTTACCTGTTGCTTGAATTCAATGCATACTGATAAGACGTGGAGATGAAATGAGTATTGTCCCATTGTCAAGTGGTTCAGTTTCCTCTGATCCAGCAATGCCTGAGAACCCCAAGTTCTTACCCCCATTTCCTTCACATGAGCACATAAAGACGAGCTCTTGTCTGTGACCCCTGGAGTCCTGTTTTTCCATGCTTGGCCACTGAGCTAGGACCTCTGTTGGGTTATAACATGACTCTTTTCTGTTCAGTGATCTCTCAGGTATGACTGCCCTAACCATCCCATATCTTTTGTCTTCACAGCCCTAAGCCCTTATATGTGAGACTGAACCAGAAAAGAGGCTTGGGAACTTCCCCTCTGCCCTGTATTACCCATTTCTGTTTTCATTGCAGGGTGATGATGGGCCAGATGTCCGTGGGGGATCTGGGGATATATTGCTGGTCCATGCAACTGAGACCGACAGAAAAGGTTAGTGAACTTGACTGTTAGGGAGCAAGCCCCCACAATACTGTTTAGCCCTGGCCTGTGCCCATGAGGCTAGCATGATGCTAAAGAATCCAGTCGTGGTTCAGCCCCTCTCTAGACTGGTAGCATTGCTCTGTGTCATGAACACGGCCTGCCCCCCAGGTAGGAGGTAGTTGTTTGAGGGTGTGTGCCATTGACCAGAGAGGAAATTCAGGCAAATGAATGTATAGGAATCAGAAAACTCATTCCTAGCACTAGAAGAACAATGCAGAATGGCATTGGGTCATCAGCATTATCTTTGTAAGGGACGGACAATGGGCCACTGTTGTGTTACACACTTTTCATCATGAACCCTGTACTTCATCACACTATATTAATCCAGCCTTAAGCTGTGAGGGCTTCATTCATGTACGTTCCTAGGACATTGTTGGAAAGGAGTTCATTGTCCTCTCTGGTGCAAGAGAACAGATAGATGGGTCCCTTAACCTCTCTGGGTGTCCCTTCCTTGTCTATAAGGAGGAAACTGGACCAGACGATCCATCGGGCTGCAAGTACTTATTAAGCACCTACTGTGTGCCAGGCACTGCTCGGTGCTGAGAATACAAAGCAAAATGGATGAGTCCATGCCCTTTGGGAGTTTTTATTCCAGCAAGGTAGAATGAGTTTAGGGTCAAGACCTAAGCCTCCCATCCTTTGTACAAAAATGCTTGATTCTGTCATACTCATAGGAGGAAGTGGGATGTGAGAAAAGTACCTCTATTGGTAAAAGAAAAATCCCCTCTGACATAGAGAACACTAGATTAGAAGTCATGGCCCAGCTCTGCTACTCCTTCCTACCTGTGAGACTTGGACCAGTCATTTAACCCTCTCATTTTCAGTTTTTTTATCTGTAAGTGGCAGAGATTAGACTAATCAAAGGTGTCAAACTGGTAGCAAGACTATAAGCAGGCCACAAAAACATTAAAACGTAACTGGGAAATGTTTAACAAAATTAATATAAATACAGTACAACATAGGTAATGTGAATTTGTGGTTTTCTAAGTTAGTGTTAGACACCACTGGACTGGATATTTTTTTAGGTTCTTTCTAGGTCTTAATCTTTAACCTTGTGAATTTAGACTGATGCAGGTGAGTCTATACAAACTTTCTCCAGACTCTCTCATTTATTCATTTAACATTTAGTAGGCATCAACAAAGCACTGTGCTGAGGACTAGGGATACAAAAGTAAAAATGACAGTCACTGCCCTCAAGTAGTTTACAAACCAAACTACTGAGGCAGAGGTGGGGTGGGAGCCTGCAGGGGGAGTCAGGGCAGAGAAATACACAGATAAGTAAATAGAAAATATATACAGAGTCATTTTGGAGGGTGGGAGAACACCAGCAGCTGGGGGAAGGCAGGAAAGGCCACATATTCCAGAAGAGGTGGCCCTTAAGCTTAGCCTTGAAGGGAACTAAGGATGCCACAAGGCGGAGGTAAAGAAGAGACATAAGGGGACGCCCTTCTCAAAGGCACAGATGTGAGGGAAGAGATGTCAGATACAGCAGGCGGCCCAGGCCAGTTTGGCTGGCTTATACAGGGCATGGGGATAAATCAGTGGGGAAAGTAAGCACCAGAAGGTGCAGGGCTTTAAATACCAAAGACGTTTGTACATTATCCTAGTGGCAATAGAGAGCTATTGAAGCTTCTTGAGCACAGCTGAAAGACTGATCTCCTGTGCCCATCCAGAAGAGACTGTAGCCCTTTCCCTTTTTACTTACTTAGGCCACCTGGGCTGGGACTCCTCACTACACTCACTTACAGTGAAAATTTCTTACCCTAGTTTTTCACCCATTTTTCCAAGTGACTGAAAAGGACATGGATTAAAAAGGGAAATAGGAGACCTTTGTTTCTCTTACCAGAGAACATAGGTTGTGAGATCTGAATGGCACCTTAGAGAGGAGCCTTCATTTCATGGAGAAGGACGCTAGGGCCCAGAATGGTTAAGCGATTTTCCCGAGGTCACACAATAAGCCAGTGGCAAAGCCAGGCCTGGCACCTGGGATTTCACACTCCCAAATCATGTTCATGCCACTGTCCTTCCATGCAAAGTGATGGGGGTAGGGAGAGGAGGAGGAGGGAGGTACTTTGCTTAAGGATTTGGGTGTCTTTTTATTTTTTTTGGAGGTGGCGGGGTTCAAAGCATGGGCAGAGGGTGTTGTTATGTCAAGGCCTGGTAATTGATCACTTTTTTCCCTCCTTTATAGATTTGGTTTTGTACTGTGAAGCCTTTCTGACAACCTACAGGACGTTTATCACCCCTGAGGAGCTCATTAAGAAGCTACAGTATAGATATCCTTTATACATTGCCATCAGTAATGTTCATGTTGCCCCCCCTCCACCTCCAGAATACTGGGGTGACTGAACTGCAAAGCTCTGAGGAGGCTGAGAAGGGAGGGTTCTATTAGGCAGGGGGTTGTGATTAAGGGAAGTTTTCAGCATGGTCTGTCTTGAGGAACACAGGCTTCGGCCATACCCCGCTCCTTGTGCCCCTTGACATTTGCACTTGTGAGCTTAGACTAGAAGGGCTGAGACCCAGGCTGGACCATATCCAGGATAAAGGGTGGAAAGGTGCTATCCAGGGACTGACTGGAAGGACCTGGGGACGTGTAACCTTGGGAAGAGTAGACTTTGGGAGAGACGCATGACTGTTGTCCTTAGGTGTTTGAAGAATAAAATATGAAAGGGAGATTTAACTTGGCAAGGCAGCATGGAATGATGGGTAGGGTGCTGCTGGTCTTCAGGAAACGCCTGGATTACTACTTGTCAGGGATATTGGAGGGAATTCCAGTTGGGGTAGGATTAAGCTTGATGACCTTTGAAGTTTCTTCCAGCTCTGAGATTTTGTAAATACTCACACAGACTGGCCATTGACTTGGCAGTTTTAAGCATCTTCATAATTCCGAGCTTGCTCAGTCATGAGGTCACAGGTGTGTGGCAGAGTTCTCACCCTAAAAGTGTTGGAAGATCCTGATATAGGAGGTAGAGGGATCAGAGAGCACCAGTACATGATGCTCCCCCCAACTTTGAGCAGTCAGAAGTAATGTTGCATGAGGAGGCAGGAAGTGGTTCAAACTGGCTAATTGACAGTCATCATTTCTTGATAATCTGGTAATTGTGTGAGCACACTCCCCCACTACCCCCCAACGCACACATGTCCACACCCACACCCCTCCCAGGACTTAGAAGTATTCGCCTGGTACTGAGTGATCCTCTCAAATCCTGTACAGACTAGCCCACAGTCTACAAAGCCTAGTCAAACCATGTAGATGCTTTAGTCTTGATAACTTCCCCACTAAGATCCTGGGTGATATAGATATTTTGAGGTTGTTCTGAAGAAAGCCCTTTGTAAACCTTAAAGCCCTATAGAGATGGATTGGTATCATAAGAGCAGTCAGAGTCAACTCTTCCCCAGTCACTGACTGGCCAGGGTGGAGAAGCGCTTGAAGACGTCCTATGGGGATTGACTGAAGGAGCTGCAGGAGAGAAGGCTTAGCATCAAGCATGATTGCTTTCTTCAAGTATCTGGAGGGCTGCACTGTGGAAGAGACGTGCTTGTCTTGCTTGGCCTCAGAGGCAGAACTAGAAACAGTGGGTGAAAGCGATAGGCAAACTTTAGCTCAGTATGAAAAAGAAATCGTAAGGACCATTTTCTCCTCTCTAATACAACTGCTCCATTGAGACTCACAGAGGGCACTGCCTGCTGGGCTGGCTCCACTAGAGCCCACACCCCTCTCCCTCCTCTCTTCCTGGATTCCAAGTCTGCTGGGGCTGCTTTTTCCCTGTAAGAAGCTTCCCAAGGAAGCTGTGATGTCTGGCTCAGTAGACCTTCCAGCGTCATAGCTCAACACTTCCATCTGCTGGACAGATGCAATTACTATTTCAACACGAGGAGAGAATCCCACTTCCCCTGACCATCACCATGCTCCGTGGCCATCCTGAGGCCCTGCTGCTTCCATAGTTCAGTATCTCTACCCACCCCTTCTCTGCAGCACCTCCTCTTAGGAACAGCCTGCCCCTGCTGGCCCTCCTTCAAGTCTTGTAAATTCCAATCTTAAAAACATATCCTCCGGATAAGACCCGGCGCGTCAGCCATTGATGTGAATAAAAGAGACCTGCTCATTTTAGTTGGCCTGAAACTCACCGTAAGCCAGCTGGGTGGCAACAGCTGCTAAGGAAGAAGGCTTAGGGGATCTTCAGCTACCATCATAGAACTGTAATGAAAGGGACCACACTCAGTACCCCAGGCAGTTTTCTGCTATCAGTTATAAACAAGTTGTGGATATACTTTTACAAGGGACAGAGAGGATCTGGAACAACCCCAGAAGAGGGAGACTGGGATGGTCTGAAAATGGTGCCTCACAGAAGGACGGGCAGAGGAGCCAAGAATGTTTAGCTTACGGAAGAGATGACTTGGGGGAACTCTTGGATATTTGGAGACCAGCACCTCCAGATGTCTGAAGGGTGGTCACATGGGAGGGGAAGCAGACATTCTGTGTAGCTCCTGAAAGCCAAATTACGAGTAGTGTGTAAGTGGGGCATCACAGAGAGGTAGAGTTCATGGAGTCATAATATATCCTGGATCTAAAGTTAGAAATGACCTTAAAAGTCATCTAGTCTGACATCCTCATTTTACAGATGAGGAAACTGAGGCCCAGACTGACCTGCCTGAAATCACACAGGTAGAATGCAGCAGCAGAGCCAGGGTATTCAAACCCAGGTCGTCTGACTCCAGATTCAGGGCATGACACCATGCTATTTCTCCCCACCCAAGAGAACAGCCAGCATCGACCTGTCCAACCATGGACTTGGCTGTCTAATGAGACAATGAGCTTCCCTTCTCTGGAAATATAAATACATTTTTTTTGCACAAGGTAGGAGATGGAATTCGGAGTCCGTTCTGATCCCAAGAGTCTGTGGTTAGTACAGGTTATCAAGACAGTCACACACCACTCGGTGCCCATTCCTCCCAGGGCTTTTCAGGAGTTGTTTTTGTTTTGATCCTTCTCTATATCCCTCATGTTCCTCAAGGCACAATTGGACACTTAGACCCTAGGCAGCAGGGTTGACCTTCCTGGCCTCTGGCCTTTCTAGAAATTCATCTCACTAAAAACTGAACTGACCTGGCTGATAGGAGTAGCCTGAGGCCTGAGAGGCTTCAGCTCCTCCCTTCCCATTAGCTGTGTCAAAACAGGAGTTAACTTCCTTAGCACATGCTCCACGTATGAGAAATTCTGCCCCTTCCCTGACACGTTCAAGAAGCGAGTCAGCAAGAATACTTTCTTCGTGCTGGTCCGGGTAGTGGATGAACTGTGGTAAGCATTCTTGTTCCCTTTGTCTTCAGCGGGGATCGGGATTGAGGACAGAAGGACATGAGCCAAGGGCCAATTCTCTAGACTTTTGGTGTTCCGGGACATTTCCCCCACTGGGAGGGTTTGCCCCTATGTTTGTCCACCCCTTCCCTCCATACCTGGGACTGGCTTCCAGGACGGTAGAGGCTCATTAATAGGGCATGCAAACTATGATGGCTTTTGATTATTTTTTCCTCTCATTTTTCCTTTTCACCTATCTGCTAGGAATAGAAGCTAAGTGGAGACAGGCCCTGTATCTTTACTGTGTTCATAGTGCCAAACCCAGTAGGCCACATTGCATCCTTTAAAGATACGCTTATGATAATTCAGCCTCTCTAAAACCTGTTCTGTGAGAGGGGATGAAGCTGACCACTCTCAGCCAGAGGAATGAGGCTCATTCTTTCATTTAAAAGAGACTTACTAAGTACCTACAGTGTACAAGGCACTGTGGCAGTGCCAGCCATACAAAGACATCTGCAACAAACACCTGTCTCAAGGAATTCGCAATCTCCTGATGGAAAAACCGTGAACCACATATCTGTGCTACAAGGCAGAATGTGATTAGGAGCAAAGAACTATGAAAATCTTGAGACAGAAGAGATGACTCTGGGTGGGTTGGGGAGGACAGTTAGGACAGCCCAGAAGCAAGAAGTCTGCTTAGGAAGCTATTCTAATCATCTAGGCAAGGAGGGATGAGAGCCTGAAAAAAAGAATTAATTTCCATCATTTCTTATAGCACAATAGTATTCCATTACATTCGTATACCACAGCTTTCTCAGCCATTCCCCAACCTGATGGGTATCCTCTCATTTTCCAATTCTTTCATGCTTTATTTTCTTTAAAGAGTATTTTGTGGTTGTATTTACATGTCATGTGCTTTTGTAGATTGAATCCCCAATATTTTATGCATTTTGTAGCAACTTTAAGCAGAATTTCCTGTCTGTTATTTCCTTTTGGATTTTGTCATTGCAGCATAGAACTATTACTGATTTTTTCGGTAGATTTATTGTGTATTCTACTACTTTATTAAAACTTTTAATTTTCTCAAAAAAAAATAGAATTAATTTCAATGAGGATTGAAGGATGCCAGAAATGCTTCAGAGGTAGCATTGATAGGACTTAGCAATTGATAGCCTATGGAAGATAAGAGGAAAGATTCAAAACTGACTAGGGGCTCGTGTATCTTGGTGACCAAGGGGTCCCTCCTACCCACAGAAGTGGAGAATATGGAGGAGGGCTAAAAACATTGCCCTGCAACTTTCTGAGGTGAAAAAAATCAAAGGTGAGGTGTGATGCTGGAAAAACACGCCAGGTGCCCAAGGGGAAAGATAATCCAAGATGCCCCGGGCCAATCTTGGCAGCCCAGAAACTCCTGCTGTACTCTTCCGTTCATCATCCTCACCAACGCAAGTGTAATCTCCCTGACAACTCTGATCACATCTCTCCTCTCCTCAGAAGCCTTCACTGGCTTCCCATTGCCTTCCAAATAAAGCATACACTTCTCCTGTTATTCAAAGCCCCCAGTGGTCTGTCTACAACATTGCTTTCCCACTTTATCTACCATTGCTCCCCTTCACATAATCTGTCATTAAGCCAAACTGGACTATTTACTTTTTGTACTCTTTCCTGTCTCCTTTGAATGAATGAGTGAATGAGAATATATTAATCACGTACTAAGTGCCAGGCACTTTGTACCTTTACTCACCCTGCCCCACACCCTTGCTCCCATGCCTTGAAAGGTTTCTCCTCTTCCCTCTCCACTTTCCGCTGTTCGAGGACCAACTCTTTATGTCCCTTTTTATCTTTGTACCCACAGGGTCTTGCACACTGTGAGTATTTAATAAATGTTCTGTAAATTGAATTGACCTAAGTAGCCACTGAGAACTGTTTGAAGTCGAATTGAAAGTAGAAGCAGTAAAGGAAGGAAGAGGAGAGGAAAACCCCAAAACCCAAGACACCCCAGCATTGCTGGCTCTGTTGATTACTGCCCATGTGATCTTGGGCAAATCATTTCCCCTCTCTGGACTTCAACTGTAAAAAGAGGATGCTCGCTCCATGACCGCAGAGGTCCTTCCCAGCTGTAGATCCTGTGTGCACCCTAATCCTCAGTTTATCTACAAACATTTTTTTTGACAATGCAGTTGTTGCCCTGCCTCTGATTTCAAGGTGAGCCCCTCCCACAGAACCCTGTGCCACTCAAGGTCTGTTTCTCTTACTGTCACCACACTTATGAATGCCCCCAGTGACTTTGATTGTTTCTCCTGGGAGGCTAGTCTTGGGCCCCAGGGGCCATCTTGGCCGTTTCTTTGAGACATATAGATGTCCGTAGGTCATAAGTGACTCTGCGCTTGCTTGCTCTGAGTGATGTGGGTCTCTTTATCACACCTCAGCCTGGTGGAATTGACCGAAGAGATTCTAAAGCTCCTGATGGAGTTAGTGTTTCGGTTAGTGTGCAGTGGGGAGCTGAGCCTCGCCCGAGTTCTCCGGAAGAATATCTTGGACAAAGTGAACCAGAAGAAGATGCTAAAGTGTGCAAACTCTGACCAGCCCCTGGCTGCTCGAGGAGTGGCCGCCAGGTGAGGAGATTGGGCCCCCCTGAGCAAACCCTCCCCAGCCTGTTCCGAGGGCTCCTGTTCGCTGAATCCTCCAGATCACTAGTGCGTGAGCCAGGGGAGAGCCGCACAGTACACTGGATTGTGAATCAAGAGACCCGAGTTCAGATCCTGGCTTGGTCACATCCCACCTGGGTGACCTTGTGCCAGTCACTTAGCCTCACTGGGCTTCTCCTTCCTCAGTTATAAAATGAGAGAGTTGAACTTGGTGTCCTCCAAGATCCCTTCCAGCTCTCAAACTGAGCCATCCATCTTCGCATTTTCAGCAGCCTTTTCCCACCCACATTTCCATCTACTGCCCCCTCCACCCCAAATCCTGCATGCTAAGACTTAAGTGCTTTAGCAAGCCTGCCGCAAGGTTCCCCTAGAGACCAATCCCTTGTGTTTCCCAGACTGCCGGTCCTAGAACATCCTGCTACTTTGGGGGTTTTGTCGTATAGTTACTGTCCCTGAGAGGAGAAGTCAGCCCCTTGCTCAGGGTCACACAGCTGGTCTGGGAGAGGCAGAACTTCAACCCAGACCTTTCTGACTTCCTCCCAAGCTAGACCTTGATCCATTCCACCACGGGCCTGCCCATATAGTAACTACTAGATTACTGTATTAGCACCCCTACAATGAGTTCTCTTCTAAAGGAAGTCTACACAGGGTGTCCCAAAAAATCTTAGTGCCGCCTTAAGCACTGATAACACTGCACTAATACTTTTGCAACACCATGTATATATGTGTTCATTATGTATACACCAAAAAGTAATTAAACAAATTTACTGTAAAGATATATTTACAACCTGTATTTGTAGAGGATGTTTCCTTATCTGGAAGCTCCTTATACCAGTGAGATCCCAGATCCCACCTCAATTGCTGTTAATTTTTATGAACAGTGATCAGGAAGGTGGTTGAGACCCATTGCATCCCCCAGAATACTAAACTGTATTGGAGGAGTGAGCACCTCCACAAAGTTACCTCTCCCAGTCAATTTTCCCTCAGCTATGTGGAGACTATCAGAAAGGACCAGGTAGGCTGGAATCAAACCCTGAATCTTGAGGGAAGAGGAGGCAGGTTTCTCTTTTTCTGAAGTGTGAAGCAGTAGAGAAGACACCATGCCTTAAAACAACCACAAACCCAAGGTCAAGTCACTTGTTCCACTGAGCCTCTATTTGCCCCATCTTTGAAATGGACAAGTTGGATTAGATCTTGTCTGTGTCCCCATCCAGGCTTAACATTTTAAGTCCCTTCCCATCCTAACCTTCTGCATCTCCAGGTCTGCTAACACTGACTCCTTGCCCCACCTCATCTCTTTCAGACCTGGGACTCTGCACGACTTCCACAGCCATGAGATTGCTGAGCAGCTGACGCTATTAGACGCTGAGCTCTTTTATAAGATAGAGGTACGGAGCCCAGACCTGGTCTTCAGAGGAGGGAGGGGAGAGCCCACGGGAAGACTGAAGCCAAGCCTGGGACTGTCCCATCCCTTTGGAGCAGGTTGTGAGCTGTCAGGGAAGGGCTGGGCAAGGCTCACTGAGTCTCAGGGAAAACCAAGGTGTTCGAGCTATCAGATTTGTTTCATATTTCCTTTTTACCTTTCAGATCCCAGAAGTTTTGCTTTGGGCGAAAGAGCAGAATGAAGAGAAGAGCCCTAACTTAACGCAGTTTACTGAGCACTTTAATAACATGTCCTACTGGTAAGGAGGGACACGGGGCATCTTCACCTTCATTTCTCTGTCTGTTTCACAGACCCGCATCCCGTGAGCCACCTGCTGCCAAACTTGGGTGCATATGCCCACTTGGGAACACTTTGAAAGAATTATGAAGTGACAGCACTTATTATTTTGAAATTTTTTCTAATTCCCTGAATGAAACTACCTTTTAGGCATGTAATTCTCAGAACAAGGAAACCAAAGCCAACCTGACCAGACTAGCCACCCCCTAAATAGAATAGGCTTCCGTCTCTGTAAACAAGGGAAGGACACTCAGCCATTCCGTGGATTGTGATTCTGTTTAGACTTCCATTTAAGACTTTCCTTTGGGGTTCTTAGTGCTTGGGAGTGTATTTACATTTCAGAACTGGAAACCCAAAGTTTAACTGACCTTAGAGCCCTAAAGAACTTCCTTTCCTCTCAATGAAGGGTTGGTCTTAACCTGGAGCTAGGAAGTCAGACATCTAGACATCTTTAAACCACTGACAGATAACTACTTTCCATTGCCAAGGCATCTCATTATCTTCATTTGAAGAATGGACCTATTCTGAGTGAAGATAACCAGGCCAGGGAAGGCCCTTATATCAGAAAAGGATTTTGATCTTAAAGAATGCTCCAAGATGGTGTATCTTAACCTGGGGTCCATGGACAATATGTTTCTCTGCATTATTCTTCCAATACATTTTCTCCCTTACTGGCTTGTAAATTTCTCAAGAACAGGGGTGGAATCTTCTCTCTGTCTTTCTCTCTCTCTTTTTTTTAATCCCTTTTATGAGGCTTAATGTAGTGTTCTTTGCCAATCAGGCTTTCAGTCAATACCAGATGGTTGAGTGGATGAATGAAAGGAAGGAGGGACAGATAGATGAAGGCTTAGAAAGAGAGATGGAGGGATGGATGGATAGATGGGTGATCTTAAGAAGGACAGCCAGTCACATCTCTGCTGATTGGAAGCCCAGAATCAAAATCAATTTAGGAGTGACCTGGGTCTCCTTTTTACTCCAATGTCATAGGGTTCGTTCAATAATAATGCTGCAAGAAAAAGCCCAGGACAGAGAACGGCTGCTTCTGAAATTTATCAAGATCATGAAGGTAATGAAGGCTTAGCTGTAGCCTACATTGCTTATTCTTTAAAACGGCCCTTTGGGTTGCACGAAAGTTTTTCGTTGCTAGGCGGTCCCCCCCCCCATAACAAAGGCTTCTTTCTTCTTGTAGCACTTGAGGAAGCTAAATAACTTCAACTCCTATCTGGCCATCCTTTCAGCACTGGACTCAGCGCCCATCAGAAGGCTGGAGTGGCAGAAACAGACCTCAGAGGTGAGCTAGGACAAGGGCCTCTGCATGTGGAGTTTTAATAATCATCAAGTAAGAAAGCAGCCAGTCATTCATCCATGGCCTTACTATACATCCACAAGGCATTCCTGAGTAAGATACAAGCCCAGCCCTCTGGAGGCTAAGCTTTGAGCCTCCCTCAGTGCCTAGCACAACGCCACACGGTCAGCACTTAATAAGTGGTGGTAGTGTTTGAAGGACAAAATAGAGAATTTCTGGTTGTTTTCATCTTCAATGATGAATTTTACTTATTGAGTCAGCAAACATTTATTAATTAAGCACCTGCAAGCCACCAGGAATGCAGAGACAAAAATTTATAAGACACAGACTTACTCCTTGTGACCATGGTCAAGTCTCTTCACCTTCCCAGGCCTCAGTTTCCTCATCTGTAAAATAGGTAGTCCCTGAAGTCCCTTCCAGCTCAAAAGCTGTGATCCTATAATAAAGAGCTTACAAGATAGTATGTAATTTTCAGAATCTCTCTTTACGCAGTGAATTCATTAAGCAACAGGCATTTATTAGTAGAACCAAGTACTGTTATAGAACACAGTCCATACAAAGTCAAAAGAATGAAACAGGCCCTGCCCTTAAGGAGTTTTTTTTTTTGGAGATAATGTATAAATAAATACTCCCAAAAGAAGGTATTGGGGGTGGGGGTGCAGCATGCGAGAAGAGTAGTGAGAGAAGTAAAGAAGGAGTAAAGGGGAGAAGAATCATGTATGGCCTCATGTAGGAGGTGGTTTTGTGCTGAACTTTGAGGGAAACTAAGGTTTCTAAGAGACAATGGAGAGAAAGGACAGCAGTGAACCACAGCGCCTAGCACGTTGTAGGCATTTAATAAATACTGCTCGATTGAGTGAATCAGTGAGGTTGCCTGGTTTCATCCTAATCCTAAGGCACGCAGACCACCAGCCCTGCCCAACTGAACGTTCTTGCAAATCAGCCAGTATTCAGTGAGGTCAGATCAAGACAAGATCATTTCCAGCTGAGAGAATTGTTAAGATGGTAAGATTTAGAGCTGGAAGGAATTATAATCATCTGGTCACAGATACTAGAAAATCCTAGATTTTAGAGCTGGAAAGTTGCTCCAACCCCATTACAAATGAGGAAACTGAAGGGCACAGGAGGTGAAGGGACATGACTGTTATCACTGAGGTAGCCTAGCAGGGATGTGAACCTGGGGCCCCCAATTCCCCATCCTGTGCCCTTTCCACCACAGCATGTTGGACTCCTATGTGCCAAACGCTGGGCTAAGCACTGGAGATACAAAGACAGCCCTTCCCTTAAGAAGCTTACATTCTGTGGGAAGCAATGCAATCAGCCAGTCAATCAATAAGCACTAACTTATTAAGCACCTACTAAGTGCTGGTCACTATGCTAAGTACCAGGGTGCAGAAAGAGGCAAAAGACAGTCCCTGCTCTCAAGGAACATATAATCTAATAGGAGAGACCACAAGCAAACACATAATTATAAACAACTATATGCAGGAAATGATGAGAAGAGGGAAGGCACTAGGATTAAAAAGGGTTGGGAAAGGCTTCCTGTAGAAGATGGATTTTTGGTTGGGACTTTAAGGAAGCCAAGAGGCCAAGATGAGGAGGAAGAGCATTCCAGGCATAGGGGACCAGCTGGAGAAAATGCCAGGAGTCAAGAGATGTCACTGGATTTAATAGTGAGTTTCGGGTAGTAAGGTATAAGAATACTAGAAAGGTGTAGGGGAGAGTATCTTTGAACACCCAACAGGATTTTGTATTTGATTCTGTAGGTGATAGGGAGCCACTGGAGATTCTTGAGTAGGGAAGTGACATGACTGGATTTGCGCTTAATTTCCCAGGTAGAAAGCGGTAGCATCGGGGGGGACCAGGATGGGCCTCATGTAGGATGTGGTGCTGGCCTGAGAGCTCTGAAGAAAGTGAGGGATTCTGTAGAGTGCCACTGAGGAGGGAGCACTTTCCAGGCATTGGGACCTCCCCGTGCAGAGGCACTGGAATAGAAGATAGAATGTTGTGGATGAAGAGCAGCAGTGAGGCCAGCTTGGCAAGAACACGGTATACATGAAGGAGTGTAATGTAAAGCAGGCCTGGGAAGAGCTTGATGTACAGAATGGCCCAGAGCAATGGGTATTTGATCCTAGAGGCGGTTGGAAGCCACTGAGGTTTCTTGAGCAAGAGAGCAACATAGTCAGACCTGCACTTCAATAATATCAATTTTAAGGGCTGTGTAGAGTTTGAATTAGAGAGGAGAGACTGGAGGCCAGTTAGGGAGCCACTGCAGTAGTGGATTTAAATGGAATTAAATGAGGGCCAGAATGACAGAAGATGGAAAGAAGTAAAGCTTCATTGATACAGGTCTCATCTCCCCAACTAATGATACTTCACAAGGGCAAACATTTTCTTTTTCTTCTTGTTTTATCCCCTCACGGCATCTAATAACAGTGCCCTACACATTATAGGTCCACACTAAAGAAATGAATGAATGAACGCATTGGCTGTCATTGTAAAAAGATAGCCCTACCAGCTTATCAGTGGAATATGTTTCTAGAATGGTGATGGGCCTTTATTAGTCCAGCCTCATTCTCTGTCTCAGTACCCCCTTGTGACCAGTGGTAAAGCAACGGCTACAGGGATGCCTGGGGGTGAGGAGCACTGCTTATGTCCGTGGAGCAGAGCAGTACCAGCTGGCCCGTGCAGCAACTAGACCCACAATTTCATGAACATCAAGCTCTGAATGGCCAGTCTTTGCCTCTTGATAACAGACAAGCCTGGTTCAGTTACACTGAAGATTTTGACCTGAGAAGATGTTGAATCTTACTTGGCTTATTCCTGGACTTGTAGCATGCCAGAGCTGGAAGGTATCTTAGAATCAGAATGTAGGATGTGAAACCCAGAGGGACCTTGGCCAGCTGTCACACAGACAAGAAAATTGAGGATTCAGAAGATCATTTGTCTTGCCCAAGGTTGTCCAGCTGGTTAGTAACCGAGCCAGAACTGGAAGCTCATTCCCAGTGTGGTGCTCCAACTACTACACCGTGCTGCTTTTTCATACTCCCCTCTTTGTCCTGTGTCCCCTCTAGGGCCTGGCTGAGTACTGCACTTTGATTGACAGCTCTTCCTCCTTCCGAGCCTATCGGGCAGCTCTTTCTGATGTGGAGCCTCCCTGTATCCCATACCTGTGAGTAGCATCTTCCTCACACTCAGAACTTCCTCTTTGGAACAGGAGAGACATTTACCGGCATCCCTTCCTGAATAAAAACCCTGAACAACAGCTTACGACCAAGAAGTTTGAACCTCTAGATAAGAATCTTTCTCCAGTGGAAAGGGCCCTATGTACCAGCTTTAACATCACTAAGTACTTTCTTGAATTTCCCTCTGTGATTACTAAATATCTGCAGACTGTTCCTCCAAGCTAAGATGGTGCCACAGAGAGAATTGCCTTCCCTCGTCATACTGAAGCCAGGTGGCTCTTTCAGTGCAATCTGCCCCATTGGGGCCCCACAAAAATCCAAACATCCAGACCCTCGGGTGAGGGAGAGTATAGCTGTGGTACACAGGACTGAGCTCTCCCTCGTGGCGGAGGTGTAGATAGCTAATCCAATCATTATTACTCATATAATCCCTCCTCCAACTTCTTTCATCTTACTTTATTGGTAACTTGTTTCAACGCATCATTCAAACCTCTACATAATTCCCATTGCATCCTCTAAAACAAATAAAAGTGATTGCAATTGATAGAACATGCAACTTTCCTGTTCCTTAAAAGAAAGGGGTAAGTATATTTCTAAATGAAAGTCCAGTATGTAAGTAAGGTAATCCAATGTGGTTGTTTTTCCAAATTTTGTTGCCATTTAAAGTTGTCTCCATTTATGTGGAGTAGGGAGTAATCATTTATATAGCACCTACTATGTGTCAGGCACTATACTAACCACCTTACCAATTCATCTCACTTGATCCTTACAACAATCCTGTGAAGTAGATGCTATTATTATCCCTATTTCACAGTTGAGGAAACTGAGGCAAACAGAAGTTAAGCGACTTGCCCAGGGTCACACAGCTACTAAGTGTCTGAGGCCAGATTTGAACTCAGGGCTTCCTGACTCCAGGTCCAGTGCCCTATCCACTGTGCCATCAGTTGCCTGAAATAAATGTATATATTGTTCTTTTTGACTCTGCCTTGTTCACCCTGTATCACTTCATATATATTTTCCCATTATCTCTTTGAATGCTTCCTATCTGCTGTTCCTTATGACACAGTAATTCCATTCCCTTCATCTATCCTAATTTGTCTGGCCATTTCCCAGTCATTGAACAGTTTGTTTCTAGTTTTTTGCATTTACAAATAGCTCTGCTTGGAATCTTTTTTATACAGATAGGTCTTTTCTTGTCAGTCATTTCCTTGGGGTATGAACTCAGCAATGGGAGGTTGGGCCCAGAAACTATGGCCCATTTTCTCACCTTTCTTGCATAATCATTGGGCCAGTTCACAGCTCCACTGACAGTGAATTACTGGGCCTGTTTTCCCTCATCCTTGCGCTATAGAATTTTTTCATCTTTTGTTGTCTTTGCCTCATTTATGAGTGTGAGATGACAAATGAGTTTCCATTTTCTTTTCTATGATTATTAACAATTTTGAACACTTTCTGGACAGTTGTTAATATTTTACATTTCTTCTTTTGAGAACTGTTTTTTTGTATTCCATTATCATTTATTGTGAACCCCTCCCCCACCTTACTTTCAAACCTGATTTCAACAATTAAATGGGAAAATCATTCTACTTAATTGTTCACTTATTCGTAGGCAGTCACAGATAGCCCATAAAGTGGTTACCACTACAAGGATATAATTACTTCCCTGTAGTCGAGCCTGTGTGAGCTTGACAAGAACTCCTGAGTTATGAATAGTAGCTAAGCCCTTTATTTACCAACCAGGACCGTGGGCTCCTCTCAGTCAGGACTGAGAGGCTTCAGCCTCTCAGAGGGACCTCATAGAATTTAGAACTGGGAAATACCTTAGAGAGCTTCTAGTCCAGCTCCTCATCTTACAAGGAGGAAATTGAGGCCTGGAGAGGTCAAGTGAACGTCTCATGGTCACTAGCAGAGAGAAGATTCCGACTCCAAATGGGTGGCGGAGGCTGCTACTGCTGCTAGACAAGGCGATTGAGATTCAGGAAAGCTATGTGAAGAAAACGAAACTCCCAATTTGATGGACAAAGAATATGTACAAGGGGTAGATATATAAGCAAATCCATCCATTACTCTTTTGGTGTCACAAAAATAGGCAGGGGCTGCCCACCACAGAGTTTTGTTTTGGATACAAATTTCTTTCTTTCTTTTTTTAAAATTAATTAATTAAAAATAAATAATGAATAAATATAACCAATTAAAATAAATAAACTTTAACAAGAAAATAAGGATTTTCTTTTATTATCAGCTCAACAAATATGAGTATTTCAGTATACAAAGAACAGAAAACAGGATTGCCTATGAAGCTGAATTTCCATTTAATTCAGCTTGGGGTTTCTTTTTAAGTATAGATTATATTTAGAGAGGGAGCTGTTAAATAGTAAATTGAGAACTGGCTTCCAAGCCAGGAAGATCTGGATTTAAGACCCACCTCTGACACTTACTGGCTGTATGACCCCGGGCAAGTCACTTAACCTCTCAGTGCTCTGGGCAGCTGTCTCAAGATTGTAAGCTGAAGGAAAGGTGCTAATCTGTGTTGGTAGAGAGCATTTACTGTTGCACTGAGCTCACAGATCCAATCCCCATCCTCATGTTACATCTAACATGGTGGTAACAAAACTGCCCTGCTTGTCTCTCTCCTTCTGAATATTATCATACTCTCTTCTGTATATTTGTTAATATTTCATTGCCACTCCATTTTTAAAAATGTCTTTTGTGCAGCACTACCCACCAGTTAATTCATTAAACCACCCCACCACCGCCATCCCACCTGTCCCAGCCCTCATGGCAGCTTCCACAGATCATCTATTACAAGCACTTTGTTTGCACAGAACTTGTAAATCAGGTTGGCCCTTCACACTAACGAAATGCCTTGTTGATCATTCTAGGGGCCTGATTCTGCAGGACCTCACCTTTGTTCACCTCGGAAACCCAGACTACATTGATGGGAAAGTGAATTTTTCCAAACGTTGGCAGCAGTTCAACATCCTGGACAGTATGAGATGTTTCCAGCAGGCGTAAGTTCTGACATTAACCCCCCACTAGTCATCACCCCCTAATGCTTCCAAGATATCCTCCGGGACAGCTCCTCCCATCACCAATGCAGGGCCCAAACTCTCCACACCTTCTTTGGGGGATATTATTTCATGAGTGTCTGCAGCCTAAAGGATCATCACCGGATGGCTGTCCTCATGGGAAAAGCCTTTTTGGTCTTAGCAACACTTGTCCTCAGTCTTGGTCTGTGGCTGGGCCTGGCCCTGAAGCTTTTCTAGCTTGGTAGTCCTAGAGAACTGTGCAGTTCATAAAGCATTTTTCATATGTGTTATTTCACTTGATCCTTGTAACTCAGTGCAGGTAAGTCATTTGGGTAGGTGTCATTTTGAAAGGACTGCATGAGATAGTGGTAAAACCAGTAAACTGGGAGTCAGAAGCCTTAGGGTTTAAGGGGGAGTCACAGAACTGGAAGGGACCTCAGAAACCAATCCCCCCCTCTGAGCAAAAAGAATTCCTTTATAGGACACTAAACTATAGGCACTGGTTGAAGATTTTCATTGAGGGGGACACCCCTCCCCATTATCTCCCAAGGCAGCCCATTCCACTTTGGGGCAGCTAACTGTTAAAAAATTTTCCCTAAATTAACCTCTATACAATATCCACCTGTTCTTCCTAGTTCTTTCCTCTGGATCCAAGTAGAACAAGTCCAGTGTGACAGCTTTTGAAATACCTGAAGATAGGCATCACGTCTCTGCCTCTCTTCTCTTCTTCAGACTAAGCATCCCCATTATGACTCTGCACCATGCTCTCTCCAGTGTCCAGAGCCTTTCTGAAAATGTGGTGGCCAAAACTGAGTCCAGCCCTCCAGATATGGTCTGATCAAGGCAAAGTCCCCGGGCACGCTGCTCTCCCTGTTGCCAGAGGCTCTGTCTTTCTTAATATAGTCTAATCTTGAATTTTCTTTCTTGTCATTCCTGTTGGCTAATCGAGCTTACAGTTCCTTCAAGACCCCTATCTCTTTTTCTGATGAACCATTGTCCAGCCATATCTCTCCAATCTTATACTTACAAAGCTGATTTTTTTTTAACCCAGGTATAAGATTTTATGTTTGTCCCCATTAAATTTCATCTCAAATACAATCCACCATTCTATTCTCGTCTGTCATCTTTCTGGATCTCGGTCTCTCATCCAACTTGTTAGATGCCCCTCCTTGCTTTGTGTCGTTTGCATGTTTTGTAAGCGTGCCGTCTCTCCTTTTATCCAAGTAACTGATAAAATGTGAAGGGGTGCAGATCTAAGTGCGTGACCCCGGAACACCCCACTGGAGACTTCCTCCCAGCCGTTAGTGACTGCTCTGTGGGTCCGGCTCAACAGTCAGCCTGTCCCAAGTTCACCTGATGGTACTCCCATGTGGCCCACAGCTCTCCATCTTTTCCAAAAGAATAGAGTGGTGCTCTTCTTTGTTAACGCTTTGCTAAACCCTGGTCAACTCTAGAGGGAGACAACATGGTGTAATGGAAAGAACACAGTCTCGAGAGTCAAGACCTGAATTCAGATCCCGACTTACTACCTTGTGTGACTTGTGCGAGTCACTCAACTTCCCTTGGCCTCAGTTTCCCCTTCTGGAAAATGAAGGAATTGGACACGACAGCCTGTCAAGTCCTTTCCACCTCTAGCTCCGTGGTCCTGTTATGCCGTGATCTATCTCTCACATTCCTGGCCAGGATCGCCCAGTCTGGTGAACCTTGGAGAGAAATAAATGAGATTTGTGCGGCGTGACTTTTACTTTGAGAAACCGTGGGGTTTTTTCATTTTTGTGATTTCCACTTCCATTTCTAGATGTTCGCTAACAATCCCTTTGAATAATACATTTCAGAATTTTGCCAAGCAGCAAAGTAAAGCTCACAGGACTCTAGTTGGACAACTGTTCTCTTTCCTTTTGAAAATCGGGAAAACATTTGCTTTCCTCCCAGATATACAGTTGGTGTTGGTATCCTGTTCTCTGTGATGTTCAGAGATCACTGGCATGAGCTCAGCAGTCACATCTGCCAGGTCTTAAAAAAAATAAAATGAAGAAAATCTTACTGGCATCTTTTGTTGTGACACTGCAGTGTGACACCAGCATACCTCCAGGACATATTATCCAGTGTACCTTCCCAGCATACCTCCGGTATACCTTATACAGTGCATCTCCCAGTACATGTTCCCAGTATACCTCCCCAGCAGCAAACCATCCTTTACAACAAAGAAAAATAGACGAGCAAAACCAGTAGACTCAGTGACCACACTGCTAGATCCTCTCCCCCCACTTTCTGCCTGAGAGAAGGAAGTCCTGCTTTATCAGTTGTTATCCAGTAGCAGGACTGATAATTAGAGTTCATCAAATTTGGATCCCTTTTGGTGATGATTCAGTTTACACTGTTGCCATTAATGTGCGTATGGTTCTCTTGGTTCTGCTTACTTCACTCTGTATCAGTTTATATAGGTCTTCTCATGTCTCTCTCAATTCCTCATTTATTTTCTTGTGGAGCAATAATATTCCATTTCATTCGTGTACTACAGTTTGTTCATCCTTTCCCCATTCATTGGGTACTCACTTTTTTTTTTCTATTTGTTTGCTACCACAAAAGAGACTGCTGTGAATTCATGGGAGCCTTTCTTTCTGTCTTTGACCTCCTTGGGATATATGCCCTATAGTGAAATCACATCTGCCAGTCTGTTGCATACCCAAGGGAGTAGTTCATCAGAGCCAAGTGATTTCAACTCATAAAAGGCACATAATGTGCACCTTACTTATCTTGGGTATCAAATCACTGTTGGCCATTTTTGTTCTGCCCTTTTCAGTCCAAACACCGTTTTCCTTAGCAGTGAAATCAGAAACAGAATTCAAGTTGACCAATTCTGCCTTCTCTCCACCATCCAGTGTCCATCATCCCATCGACCCCAAGCAGTGAAGTGATTCTGTCCGCTTCTTTCTTCTTCTTTTCTTCAGTGTAGCTTAGAAAAACAAAAGCCTTTGTGCTGACCATAACTATCTTCCCCAGACTCCACTCATGCCATACTTGAACACTCTGGCGATTATTCCTACAAGGCCGTGTAACATGTGTTTGTACTCACCCACCATTCTCTGTCCTTGCCTCCATTTTCTATCCACATCTTTTTCAGATCTGGCTTGGGTGGTGAGTTCCCTGGGCATCCACAATAGTATCTTTAGACTACTCCCAGCTTTCCCTCTCACTGAAATTGTTTTCCATTATAGCTTCAGAATTTCATTCTTAAACTTCTCATCCCTTCCTGGGCTGACTTCCCCTGTAAAATTTTAGTTTATCAGCACTTAGCTATCTGTTCTCTGAACTTTTTGAAATCTGCCCACTCGGATCTATCCAGAGTGCATTCCCATATTTCTGTCCTCTGCCACAAATCTCAAGGGAGAGTCATCACTTCCTCCCCAGGTCCCCATCACTCTCCCTTTCGTCACCAGTCTCTCCTTCTGGATGGCAGATCCAGAATACGACCTGCTTTTCCTTTGGAGACATGAAATGACTGCATCACAGACTCTTGAGCCATTGCTTCCTCATTTCAAAAGCAGAGGTAATACTACTTCCCCTTCTTCCTCGCAGCCTGGTAGTGAGAAAAGCACTTCTTAAATCTTTACATGTCCCTACAAATGTGAGTCGTCATCACCATTGTCATTGGTATTTCCCCATTTTACAAATTGAGTAAATAGAAGCTCTGGAAATTAAGTGACTTTACTGAGTATCACACAGTGGTGAAATCCTTCCTGCCCCCTAGTGCTGTGCTCTTTTCACTTCTTGGAAACAGGTAGACTTTGAAGCAAAGTTCTTGTAAAGGTTGATGAAAGTATTTCTGGGGGTTTCCTAAGCCTCTTAGAAGCCTTGGGCCAGGGCACTCAGGGAGTGAGATCAGAGAATCTTAGAGAGAGAAAGGCCCTTGGAGGTCATCTCATCCAGCCTCCCACTTAGGACCAGACTCCCTTTGATAGCTTCCCTGGCATTGGTTTGGAGACACAGTCTTCTAGGTTACTTGACTTACCAGATTTCTGCCTTTTTTGTGTCTGGTTTTGCAGACATTACGAAATCCGCAGAAATGAGGATATCGTGAACTTCTTCAATGATTTCAGCGACCACCTGGCCGAGGAGGCCCTTTGGGAACTGTCTCTCAAAATCAAACCCCGGAACATAACACGGCGAAAAACAGATCGAGAAGAGAAAACCTAGGAGGAGGAGCAGTGAGCGAGATTGTCGCTCAAGAGACACACAGAAGGCAGCTATGAGACTGGAATAGACATTTGGGCCTGTTACTGGACAACTCACCCCAGCGGTGAAAAATGATCCTCCACCCCATCCCACCCCTGTTCCCCTCTACCCCCCTGGGTCTGCAAATGCCTGATTCTCAGAGCCAAATAACTTGTGCTTGGGCCTCCTGCCCAGTTGGACAACAGCTCCCAAGCACCCAGGCCAGCCCCTCCAGCCAGTGCAGGAAATTCTTCTCCACATCCACTTCCATTTTTCCTAAATGCAGCCAAGACTTCACTCCATACCTGGAGGGAGGGGACACAGAAGAACTCAGTGACTCCAGCAGATCCCGTTCAGGCTTTGTGACTGGTTTGTGACCTGGTGTTTTCCTTTTCTGGATGGTTGACTGCTTGTCTTCAAGCCCTGTTTAACACTGTGAAGATGCAGTCATTCCAGGCCCAGGCAGCAGAATGAGGGAGGAGCTCCTACCCAAGCCCTCCCCCCCACCTTATATGTCTTTGACTTTCCTGAAAGGACAGAACGAGGGGCTAAGAAGCCTTAACACCCTTGGTGTTAAGGACTGGCCCCCATATAAAAAAAGTTGTGTAGCTTAGGGAGGATCTGGTCTCTTTGTAGAGATTGTTTTTGGGATGTGTGCACAGGCTGACGATAGAATTGAAGAGATACTTTCCCAAATAGCCAGAGTTTGCCCAGTCCCCAAAAAGGGGTCACCATCTGGCTGGGGACAGTGTTGTCATGGTGTCATCTCTTGCCTGCTTCCAGACTCGGCTCTTTAAAAGCAAAGGGTGTCAGACACCTCTCTCTTGTCCCTGTAGATGGTCCTGCACCTTCAAAAAGCTGCTGTGGTCTGGGTTTCCCAGGAGCCAGGACTCCTTAGTGACAGTATCAGTCCTGGCTTCCTGGCCCCTGAGTGCAGGGGCGTATGTCAGTGTCAAAAAGGCTGGATGCCAGGATGAGAAAGTTCAAGAAGTTCTGGTCTAAATCACAAGGCCTTGGAGTGGCTCAGAATGAGATCAGATGCAGGGGAAGCAGCCTATTTGATCAGACAGACAGATGGGTCTGTCTGCAGGGACAGAAAGGGAAACTCTGACCCCCCCCAACACCCCCTTAATACTTTATGATCTTCCCACACTTAAAAGGCGCCTCTTCTGTTATTGATTCCTATGAAGCTTCTTTTAGAAGCCGTGCACAGTCAGGGAGAGGGGCTTGGAGTAAGGCAGAGCTTTACCTTTAAAGAAGGAAATTCTGGTTCAGCTTCAGTTCTTGGAGGCCCGTTTTCTGGAATGAGGGAAGACTGTCTTGACTTGCAGAGTTTGACTGGAGAAGGAGGGATAGGTATGAAGGACATTTCTCGTGTTCTGCTTCTTTCTCCTCACAGTCTGCTGCCAGCCAGCCTAGGACCCTTCCATCTCTGGAGGACTGGGAGCCCCCTCGATGCTGAGTTCTGTTCCGGTCTGCTTAGTGCGTGCCTTAAACTTCACCCTCCATCCTCTCACCACCTCTTCTCTTGCCATTGCATTCCTTCTAGGATACTCCAAGGCCTCTAGGTTTGACTCCACCTCTTCTGGTCCCAACAGAGCCCTTCCTGCCAGGTTTATGTTACACATCAAATCAATTTTTGTCTTTTTTTAGGAAGAATTCTGTTTCTCAACAAGACTCACTGTAGGTGACCCCCTTCCCCTATTTAAGTCATCTAACAGAGAGGAAGAAGGCATGGCTGTTGGAAATAGACATGGTGGAACAACGTAGGTTCCCCAGCTGGTCATTTAACACATCCTGGGTTCTCATGATCTTTGGGGCATTTCTTTGAATCCACATCAGCACTTCTTCCATGCTGCTTATGGAGAACACACTTGGCCACATAGATTGACAATCCAGCACAGACCTTAAGGAAGGAGAGATGCAAACTTATTTGGGGAGAATTTTAGACTTACTATTTAGAGGGAAGGGGGAGTGGGGGAGGGGATGGAAACCCTCTTGGTTAGGCAGAACCGAGGGCATCCCAGTGAAGGGAAAGAATCTTTCAGCAATAGATTCCTGGCTTCTGCTGTTGAACATCTGGTGCATTTTTACAAGCCACGCAGAAGACTTTGGGATGGATGAAACCATGACCTGGAGAGGGGAGGAGTGGGAGTGTGTCAGGTACAGGGGGCTTCATGCAATGTTCCCCCTCCCCAGTGGGACAGTTGAGTGGCCCTCTGGGGCTTTCGCTACTTGCAGCCCCGGTTTTAACATTAATGGAACAAAAAAAATCAACATCTGTTGATTATTTAAACAGATGTGGGCGTTTTGTTTTTTTAGAGACAACCAGGACACTTCATTTTGCTGTCCATCATGGGCCTTTTGGCATCTTTTAACAAGAAGTCGTATTTTTTTTTTTCTGTAAATAGAGAGGAGAGGAAAACGGAATCTGTGAAATGTTGGACAGACCTAGAGCCGTGGTTCTGAGTCACTTTATTATTTAAAGCGTGCGTTGTAGTCTAGGTGGCTTATTAACAGTATTGTTTGTGTGAGGTTTTTTTCCTTTTGTTCTGTTTTCTTTCTCTTTTTCTAAGTTGTCCTTTCATTTCAATCTTTTTCCAGCTTCATTCTCACATCTGCCTCTGGACCCTTGGTTTTGGGGGGAGGGGTTGCCCGTTGAATGTTGGAGTGAGTGTGTGTGTGTGTGTGTGTGTGTGTGTGTGTGTGTGTGTGTGTGTGTACCCCCGAGTGCTTGTGAAAAAAATAGGTGCTGGGGGGGCCAGGGGAGGTCCCGCCTTTGGGTCCTGGGAATGTAAGATGACTCCTGGGCTTCAGAGCGGGCCTATAGGAGTCTCTGACTGCTGGCCCTGACATGTAGTTTTTGAGTTTCTTCCTCAAAAATCAACCTCAAATACCGCGCCCCCCCCCCACCCCCCTTCCCGCAGTCAGCTTCGGCTACAGATAGGTTCTGGTTGCTGGCCTTAATTCCCCAGCACTGAGTTAGGGATCCTCTTTCTTCCCCCTCTCAATTTGGATACTTACATGTGAGCAAGGACCCCCTCATCCTGGCCTGTTTTCTTTGAACCACTCCCCCGTGGTGGGGAGGGTGCAGAGATGGAGAAAAAAGAGGAGGTACATTTTCTCTGTTGTGTCTCTAAGCAAGCTAGGAAAGGTTCCACCCCAGATATGGCCACAGGGTGCAGGGGCCACTCTGCCTGCCCTCCCAGCACCTCTCCTGGCCTATGCCATTTGTGGTCTGAGCCAAGTGCCTTGGTGAGCCCAAATGGCTCAACTGAGCTGTCATAGGTGGAAAGGGATCCATACTCAAGGTGTCCCTGATCTGTGGCCCATTGCATGAGTTCATAGAGTGAGGTGCAGTATTTTTTAATTTATTGGTGAAGATTTGGGCTTTCCTTATACCCCAGTATCAGAGTTCCCCTTCCAGCCTCTACCATTCCCTAGCTCAGTGCCACAGACCAGGGACCGCCATGCGTATTTCATTTCTTACAGGGGAAAGGTGAGAGTTGAGTGGGGGGAGGGAAGTGCTGCCTGAAAGGACAGAAGGGATCAGGCTTCATTGCCTTTCCATACAGGAAGGTGGGTCTCTTCTGCCGCGTACGTGTGCCGGGTAGGGGTAGGCCAGGGGCCAGTGGTGAGCCCATGTTTGAGCTAGAAGCCGCTGGTCTCCTCCTGCCTGTTCCTTTCTAGAGTATCCCCTCCGCAAAGCCCCTTTCCCTCTCCCCATGTTACATTGTACTATATATTCCCTACTAACCCATCCCGATAGTGACATCTCCCTGCAGACATTTCAAATGTGTAACTTTTATGTTAAAGAAAAATAAATACCGATGAAAGCCCCCGGCCTAACGATCATGTTTACAATGCATGCAGCCGTGTGCGAGATTAAAGTGACAATCAAACACCCCTCAGGCTGGGCTTGCCTCCTGTGTTCTGTGGCTCTCCTCTGTCTTGGGTTGACTTAGCGATGGAAGTGTTGGGGGTGCATGGAGAACCACCATTTCTGTGCACTTGTGAGGCCTCCTGGTGGCAGGCAGGTGAGGACTGCCCCGGGGAAGGAGGAAGGGGAAGGGGGAGCTTACGCTGATTTTTGACCCTTAGACGGCCGAACTAGGAGCCATGAGCAGAAGTCACAGGGAGAGGTTTCAGCTCCACGGAAGAAAAAGCCTCCTCCTCCTAAGTAATCCGTATGTGGAATGGGCTGCCTGGGAAAGTGAGGAATTCCTTATTAGTGAAGGCTTCCAGCGGAGAGGATTAACATTTTTCAGTGACATTGTAGGAAGTTCTGAGCCTGAGAAGGCTGTGTGAAAACCAGACAGAAGTCATACAATGTGTCCATAACACTAGGAGGCCCAGTAATAGTCATGGGACACAGGAAGACCTAACATAGGTAACAGTTGGCTTAAATACATGAGTGGAGGCAGCTAGGTGGCTCAGTGGATAGAGCACTGGGCCGGGAAATTCAAATTTGGCTCCAGAAGCTGGCTGTGTGACCCTGGGCGAGTCACTTAACCTCTGTTTGCTCTAATTCAGCAGAGAAGGAAATGGCAAACCACTCCAGTATCTTTGCCAAGAAAACCCCCTACTGGTTCATGAAGAATTAAACACAACTGAACAACTGCACAACACCAAAAATGCCATGGGTTCCATTCAAGTACTTCAAGATGGAATCTAGGAGGGGCCGCCAGGTAGCGCAGTAGATAGAGCTCCAGCCTTGGAGTCAGGAGGGCCCGAGTTCAAATCTGCCGTCAGACACTTGACAAATGCTAGCTGTGTTGCTTAGCCTAGCAAGTCACGTAACCCTGATTGCCTCACCAAAAAGCCAAAAAGAAAAAAAACGCACATACAAGATGGAATCTAGGAATACCCTTTTCTTATGATTTGTACATTCATAGACCACCTGCTGTATACAAAGACCTGCGTTGTGAGAGAGGGTCAGAGGCGTTAGAAGACAGCCCTCCCCTCCACAGAGAGGTTACGGTCTAGAAGAAGAAGCCCAGCACTTCGGTAGTGGTGGGGACCCAGTGCCAGAGGAGTGAGGCAGATGGACCAGCGAGAGGAGATTCATTTGATAAGATGCCTATTCTGATGAATAACCTATGAGAGCCAGGGATTGCCAGGCTGATTTGGCCCAGCTGTGGAGATGCTTTCTGTACATTCGTCATCATTTTTCCCGTGTCAGATGATGCTGCAAGGCTATTTTGGTGGTCTCCAGATAGGATAGAAACTGAGTATGCTTCCCCCTTTTTTAAACAAAAGGAGGAATGATGTGGGGGATGCTCTTAGCTGTCCTGGAATATCTTTATTTTGAGATTTGCTTTTCCATACATCCCATGGTGTATTGGGTAGAGCGAGGAAGACCTGGAAACAAGACGAGGCATTTCTCAGTGCTCTTTGCAGAGAAGAGCGGGCCTGCATTAGTAGAAGGAGCTCCCTGTTTTACAGATGAGAAAATAAACCTGGAGGGGATAAGTGACTTTCCTAAGGCCCCACAGCTAATAAGTGTCTGTGGCAGGATTTGAATCCAGGATGCCAAGTCCAGCTCTTTATATTATGCCATGCTGCCCCAGCTCCAGAGTCCACAAAGGGGGAGCTCACTGTGGGCTAGAATGGTCATGGACCTTCTTGGAGAAGGCAGGACACAATGAAGGGGATGGCATAAAGATGTGCATGGCCCCATTGAGAGCAGTAAAACTGACTGGAGGAAAGGTTTCAGATGGGAGGTAATATTAGAAAGGTCCGGTGGGGCCTGCCCTAGAGGTCCTAGAACAGCAGGCCAAATTGTTTGGATTTTATCCTGTAGGCCAGTGGGTGCCCAAGGGGTGTGTGACCAGAGGACAGAAAGAAGGTCACAGCCAGGCCTCTCCAAGATAACCAGTCATCATACTTTTGTTTTTGTTTTTTTTCCCCCAAAACAACCACACATCCCCCCAGTACTGACCTAACTCTCCTGATTTCATCACCTTCTAAGCCTGAAGCCCTTCTCAGGGCATCTAACCTACCCAAAGGCACCCACTGATGCCTTTGGGAAATACACCACCCACATACTCACTAAGGGGGAAGAGGGGAAATTACTTGATAAGTGCGAGTGATCAAAAACAGTTTGGAGACTAGGTAATCAGTCCAGCGTCCTGGTTGTCCCCCCACCCACCCTCATCTGCATAGCAAGTATATTAAGACCCTGTATTCTGAGGGTGAGGATGAAGCAAGGGAGACCAGACAAGGCCACAGAAACTCTTCCCTTCTCTGAACCCTTGAGCAAAGACGCTAGAAGGGAATGGGTAGAGGACTGAGCTAAGAGTCAGGAAAAAATGAATTCAAAGCCTCCCTCAAGGTGAGGAGCAGATGGGATTGACAGCCCCAAGATAAGTGTGGATCTGAACACAAAGCAGCAGCCTCGGTCTTCTCTCATTCCTTCCAAGAGGCTGGAGTCCACTAAGGGGATTATCCTCGCTAAAACAAACCCCCAACCTCTCTGTGATGTGGCTGGATTATTTCAGGGCTGCAGATATTTAAAACCTCCTCTGGAAATAACCATGATCTCTCAGCCCTGTGCTTACCCCAGGATGCTGAGGAGATGGGGACCATTCTGTACATGTGTCTGTCCATTGGATGAAGGAGCTGGAGATGTCTAACCTGGAGAAAGCAGGCAGAACAAGGACCAGTAAGAGGGTCATCATAGAGGGCAGGCAGCTGGGTGGCGCAGTGCATAGAGCACCAGCCCTAGAGTCAGGAGGACCTGAGTTCAAATCCGGCGTCAGACCAAAGACTTGACACTTGACACTCACTAGCTGTGTGACTCAGGGCAAGTCACTTAACCCCAATTGCCTTAAAAAAAATAAAAATAAAAAAAAGAGGGTTGTCATAGAATCAAAGGAGCCAGAGTTGAAAGGGTCCTTGGAGATCATCCTTAGACATCATTTTTTCAATGATGAGACTGAGACTAGCAAGGAAATGTAAATAAATGTCTTGCCCGTGTCCACTTAGCTTCTGAGTGTTAGGACTAGGATCCAAACCCATGTCTCCTGACTCAGATAGTATCTGAGATCAAGACCCAAAGTAAAGTTGTAGGGAAGGAGAGGCAAGAGGAGGCAGAGTTTGGAAAAGGCTTAGCTGTGAGAGAGTCCCAAAGGCCAGTCCCACCCCTTGATAAAACCGGAGTTTTTGGAGTGATCTGTCCAAGCCAAAAAGTGGAGTGAGGAATCAGAATCCTACCAGTTCTAGGCACTTACTCATCTGGAAAAAAGAGAAAGAAGGAAAGAGGAGGGGGGGGGGAGGCAAGAGAAAGAAAAAAAGCATTTCTCAAGTACTGTGTGCCAGGCACCGTAGTAAGCATTTTTACACAATGCTTTGGATATAGGAAATCTGGAAATAAAATTTTGTCTTTCCAAGCTCAAAGAGGCACCTGGTATAATGAAAAAGCACACTGAATCCTAAACAAGATAACCTGTGTCCTAAGTCCATATTCATACTCTGCTCCTTCTCTTTGTGGTCTTAGGAAAAAACATTTCTCTTTCCTGAGCTTCAGTTCCTTCATCTACAAAATTGGGGGGTAGAAATGGGGCAGGCTGAACTAGATGATCTCTAAGGTCTAAATTCAGTATTTCTCACCAACTCTCCTCCACCCAAATAATGATTTCCTCTCTTCTCCATTGTGTGGAATGGGCTTGGTTCATGATATCCATAAAGCTGCATACACAGCCATCACCCCTTTCTCCTTCCCCAGTAGATACTGTATGCTCCTGGTAACCCTTCTGACCAGAAACACTAAGGGGAGGAGTCCACAGGTGGGATTCTCAACCAGGTATGTGAGGATTTGTGCTCTTGTCCACCCTGTTTTGTGTTGGTCCTTGGAGGAAGGAGTGGGGCCTGAGGAACACTCAACCCTAACCCTCTAAAAGTGAGAAGAGTTGAGGTCTTGAGGGAAGGCCGTAGCCCTCCCAACCAGCCTTCAGGACACCCTGGTAGGTCGAGTTCTTGGGGAAAGGAAGGAGGAAGGCCACTTCTCAAGCCTGCTGCCCCCAAACAGCCAGGCTCTGCTGTTCTCATGGTCACTAATGGGGTCACAGCTGCTTGTTTGCTGACATTGGTGCAAGTTGACCTATGCTCATGTAGCAAGGCCCCCCACATGTAGCATGGAGGTTCTCAGGGAAGCAGAAGGGACATCTCTAGCCTCTTCTCCAAAGGAGACTTTGTGCACTGACTGGAGAGGAAGCTGGAGGGCAGGGGGCAGAACCCACCACTCTGCTCTCCCCCAAAGAGAGGGTTACCAGGATAGCATAATATTTAGTATTAGCCTAGGGGATGAGTTTCAGGTTCAATCTAACTTCTGATTGCTCTTCCATTGCTGGGGGGAAGGAGGACCCCAAATCTTATTCTTGCCCCCTCTGGGCTTCCATTCTGAGATGAAAAAGGGAATTGGACAGGAAGGACTTTCCCCAATGAGGAAGGTTGCCATTCCACTGACCGAAGCCTCTCAGGCTGCCCCCACCAACTTCTTTTAGGGGTGAGAAGGACATGTAGGAAGGAGGAATCAGGGGCTGTATGCCCAATAAGGCAGACGTACAAGGCCTGGCTGGCTGTGGACAATCTGGCAAGTGAGGTGTATGTGGAGCTGGGTCAAAAAGGGTTTGGAATCTGGATGGAAAAGCCAGGATGCCCTGGTCCCTGGAGTGCCTGGGAAACAGGAAGTCACCAACTTCTGGAGAGAGAAGGGGATTTTCGGATGAAGACATTCCTTGAAGAAGAGGTCTGGCCACGCCTCTTCTGAGCAGCATCTTACACGGAGAGAAAGCCAGTGAGTTACTTAGACGAGCAGGTCCAATGAGAAAGGGTTACTTGTTTAGCAGTCCAAAAGCCTTCATGGGAGAATTCATCCTTGCTCCAGGCCCTTGCTTCTTCTTGGCCTGGGAAAATTTACTGTCAGGACCTCTCCTTTCAGACCACTTCCAGGCAAATACAACACCCACACGCCTCGACCTCACATCAGCCATTTCTAGTTCCGCGGTCGGGGAGGGAGAGGAGAGTGACTGCACAGATTCATCCTCACTCACACCACCCCCCCCAACCAGATCTATTCTGCTACACGTTGGATTGCCTTCTGAGCAAGGGAAAGTGAAAAGGAAGTCTGAAACAGGAGGAGTGTTTGTTCCACCAGGTTGCTACTGTAGACAAAGGTGAGGGGTGCCCTTTGCAAGGAGTCCATCCTCCTGAGTCCCAGACAGCCAGTTGTCTGGGAGGCAGCCCCAGTCACGGGGAACTAAACACTCTATAATCATTTATTAAGTGCTTAACTATATGCCAGACACTGTGCTGGGTGATGGAGATCCCTCCCCTTAAGGAGCTTATATTCTGACAGGGAAACAATGTGTACTCACATGTAAGAAATTTGGTCCTCACACCAACCCTGGGAGGTAAGTGCTATTTACCCCCATTTTACAGGAAGCAGGAGATGGAGTGTCATGTTTGGTTAGGAACTGTGTGCCCTCTTAGCAAGGTGCCAGTTGCCACGCCCACAACCTACATTGTGAGATGCTCCCATAAATGCCTCTAAACAAAGACTTATGCCCTGTAATCTAATCAAATTACTTGGTGACCTCATAAGGAACACTTCTTATATTCAATGAAGACTCAAAATCTATCTCCTTCCACCCATTGCTTCTAGTTCTGATCTCTGAGGTCAAGAAGAAATAGACTAAAGCTTCCATTTGACCTTCAAATACTTTAATTCAACCATCTTATCCCACCTAAATCTCTTCTCCAAGTTAAACACAGACCAGTTCTCTCACCATCCCATTAATGTTAGGGATGGACTGTCATCCCTAGAACCAATAGGAGCTCCCTTGTGCTTGGCCCAGGGCCCTCAAAATCAACGTTTCTTCCTATTGTTTCTGGCCGAGAGCTGGGAGATTCACAGAGGGAAAGGTCACAGAATTGGGAAGGGGGGGATGGAAAACAATTTTTCCAAATATGTGTCTTATCTTCCCCCAACTAGACTGTAAGTTCCTTGAGGGCAAGGACTGTGCTCCTGGAGCAGTTTGTCTAGATCTGTCCTTTACCCCACGATGATCTACTGGTAGAGAGAGACATGGAATTCAAGAGAGACATGGCTTAGAATCTGGCCTCTAACACACAAGTGTTACAGCCATGTGGGAATCACTTAATTTCTCTGAGCCTCACAGGGTTATTTTAAGCATCAAATGAGATCATATATGTAACAGCCACCCCAGATTGGCTTGAGCTGTGAAGCTGCCTGCCGTGCACACAGAGGGAGACGTGATTTAAGATGAACAGATTAAGTAGTAGAGAAAAACTACCCCTACCTGGGTTATCATCATATTATATTAAATACATATTATATTATATTATTATATGATATGATATTATGAAGTATATCAGGGTAAGCTGGAGATACCCTAAGGAAGTTGTTGGGGTCAACCAGACGTACGGCAGCTCAGAATATTTGACCACAAGCAATCCACCAGCCTCAGCCTCCCCAGCATGTGGGATCAGGCATGAGTCACTACACCCAGCGCAATGCCCTCATTTTCAGATGAGGAAACTGAGGTTAGGAAAGATAAGTGACTTGGCCAGGATAGTTTCCTCATATATAGTTCCCTATATAAATGAAATCACCTCTCCAGTTCCCATCCTTTGTAGACTTGGAAACTGCTCAAAGGTGGGAACTATGTCATATTTCATCTTTGTGTCCCCATTGGTAAAAAGGTGTTAATAATAATGACCACCACCAATCAAGTCTCCTGAGTACAAGGTCAGCCTTCTTTCTATCCTCACATCGAATGTTTAAGTTCCTGTTGACTTGCACTAAATTATACTGTTTTTTTTCACCCGCAGGGCCTGCCACATCCTTTCGAATAGATATTATAAAATTTATTGATGTGTCAATTGAAGTTAATTAAGTGGGAAAGAAAAATTAATGCTGATGAGGCCAGAGACCTAATCCTAATTTTCTGCAGATCTGGCTCCCAGACACCACCAGGCTTTGAAAGCATGAGTGTCATGTGTCCCTAACACCACCAGGTGGAAACAGAGGCTCACACATTCTCAAAGAGTCTTTTCCCACCTCCCCACCTGGTGGCAGAATGTGTATATGACACCTACTAGGAGACATTTAGATTACACAATTGGTTCTAGATAATCTGTCCAGAGTCAAGGAAGTTACATAGGATCACTGACTCACTGGGGGGCCTCTAGACCAGGGGTTCTTTACCTTGTTTGCAAAGAACATGGGACTCCTCTGTGAGTCTGGTGAAGCCTATGGTACCCCTTCTGTGAACAGTATTTTTAAATGCATATGATAAAATACAAAGGAAATCTATCATATTGAATGTTATCAAAATATATATATATTTTTTAAAACACAGGCCCCCACGGTTGAGAACCGGTCCATTAGACTATAAGCTCCCTGGGGGTTGGCAGCCGGATGAACAGAATACTGGATTTGGAGTCAGGAAGACCTAAATTCAAATCCTGCCTCAGATACTTCCTGGCTTCCCTCAGTGATGTTAACCTGAAATAGAAACAGGGGCCATTAATCTATACACAAGAATGCCTTCGAGCCACATGTTGACTTAGTTTTAAATGTAATATTGTCTACGATTGATTGTGTTTTTATTTATTTTGTTAAATATTTCCCAGTTACATTTTAATCTCATTTGAACCACACTCAGGAGTGTTACAAGCGGCATGCAGCCCATAAGCCTCACACTTGGCACCTCTAGCTTACTAAATCTGGCAGGTGATGCCCAAAGGAAAGAGATGTGTGGAGACCCAGTGGAGTCCAAGCAGCACATCATCCACACACACAGGGTTTTGCTCAGGGTTTTCGTTTATTGACCAAACATACTCACCTGGTTTCAGGAAGTTAAGGTTTGAGAGAGTCACTGTGAAACTCATGGCTCTGGGGTGGGGTGGAGGACCAGGTGGCAAGAGAGCCGGTCATAAGGTCAAAAGGGAGAGAGGAAGATGAAGCCCAAGCCCTGGGACACAGACGATCTCATCTCTCCAATGCAGTGGGGGAAATAACAAATACTGATTGGCTCTGCCTTGGGCTCTCCTTGGAGATCGGGATGAAGAAACCGGGAAGGAATTATTATCTTTTCCTGACAGCTTCCTGGACTTTGGAGTGTCCTTGGAAGAATGGTTAGTCCTCTGGTTGCTAGTAGATGCTGGGTTCACCAATAGGAACACTAAAGTGCCGCAGGGCCAACCCAGAGAGACATCATAGGATGTAAATCCAGAAGAGACCTTGGAGGGGTCATCTACTCCAACTCCTTATTTTACAGAGAAGGAAACTGAGGCCCAGAAAAGGGAAACAAGCTGCCCAAGGGCCCTCTCTTTCCATCCTTCTCTTCCCCCTCTCTTTCTTCTTCTCCTTCTCCTTCTCCTTCTCCTTCTCCTTCTCCTTCTCCTTCTTCTCTCTCTCTCATCTTCAGAGCTGGGCTGGGAAGGCCAATAGAAAAGCAGAGATTGGCCCTGGGTGGGGAGTTTCATCACAGCTCATGGAGGACCCGGGCTAATGCCCCCAACATCTCAGATGGCATCCTGGGCCAGAGGATAGTGCCAAATGGTGCCACAGTGAGTTCCAGTAGAAGGGCTGGCGAGTCCCAGGGGCAGAGTGGCAGCAGGTGGGCAGTTGAGGAGCAGCACTGCAGACCCTGCTCTCTCCCTGGAGGGCAGGCAGGAGAGGAGGGAAGAGTCCACAGAATGAGAGCAGCTTGGATACGCTGGGTGCTTTCCTCTTCTATGTCCTGGGCGGCAGCAGCAGCAGCAGCAGCCAGGCGTTGCCCTGGGCATCAGGAGGAGAAGTCCCAGGAAAGGTCCCTCAGGGAATGTAAAGGGCCACTATGACGTAGATGACCCAGCTGGTGGACACAAAGACCCCAAAGAGCAAACTGAAGAGCACCAGGGAGCGAGCTTTCTTGGAGGCCTGTTCTGCGTGAGCCAGGTCTCCCCGGCTCAGAGCTGCACGGGTCTGGGGCACAGAGAAAGAAGGCCAGAGGTAAATAGGGCCATTGTTTCAAGAATCCCAAGCTTTCTTCCCTCCCTCCCCTCCCCTCACCCACCCCCAGGGCTGGGGAGCCACAGGGTTGCAGGTTAACTCCTTCCAGGAGAGAGCAGTCCTAGACCAGAAAGTTTAAAAGAAGGAAGCACACTCCTGGCACCAGATAAATCCCCAGTGCCCTCCCTCGGAAGCCCCAGCCTGGCATCACCCTGGCCTGGCATTGCCCCGGCTGCGGGTCAGCCTACCTCATGAGAGTAGACAATGGCGATGAGCCCGGTGATCAGGCAGCAGAAGAGGGTTACCAACACAGACTCTACCATGTAATCCTTAGGCAGGGGCCTCCGGTCCATGGCAGCTGACATATTGTTCATGGGGCTGTTATACTGCAAGGGAGAATAAAGGCTGAGGAGGGGGTTGAAGAGAGTGAAAGAGGCCCTAAGGAAGGGAGAGATGAGGACCAAGTCATAGAATCATTGCTCTGTACAGCTCTGAGGGACCTCTGGAGATAACCTCGTCCCCAGCCTCAGCGCAGGTCAAATATTATGATCCCCATTTTGGGATGGGGCAAATTGAGACCAAGAAGTTAAATGACTTGCCCAAGGTCACAGAGGTAATAAGTAGGTGGAGGACCAAACTCCAGGCATAGCATTTTTTCCACTCCAACACACCCTCCCTATCCAGCCAGCATATTAATCCCATCCAACATGGTAACAGGAAAAGAATAATGAATTTTTAGATCAAAGGAGATAAGATGTTTTTAAAAAGTGCTTAGCACAGTGACTGGAACATAGGAGGCACTACATAAATTCTTACTTTCTTCCCCTCCCTTCCCTCAGAGACAGGACAGTGGAATTTCAGTCCCTGACTCTGACACTTACTATCTGTGACCTTGGATAAGTCACTTCTCTATGCCTCATTTTCCTCATCTGTAAAGTGAGGGGATAGGACTCCCCTTCTAAGGCAGGACCCACTGAGCCCAATGACAGGAGGCCAGGCCATAGTGGAATGTGTCTAAGGGCTCAGTCCCTTGGATTTTCTGCCCACCCTGAAAAATGGTTCATAGACTAAGGCCCCCCTAAACACCTCCCCCAGTGGGAAGCTGAGGGAAGAGGTGCCACTCTCAAACTAATCCTTCTACTTGGGGGACTAATCTACTTTAAACTGGTCATCTAAGTTGCCTCCCCATCTGAGGCACTGTGTGGGCTAGGACGGAGAGATGAGGATAGAGATGATACCACTATGCCACGTACAATGGTATAGGGGAAAGCTCCAGAAGACAGGTTTGGTGATGGGTACAGAGATGCGGGTGAAGACGCCGGTGGGTAGAGGGGTGTTGGAGAGGGTCCTGATGGATACAAAGGTGTGGCTGATGGTGCTGGTGGGTAGAGAGGCTGTGGTGAAGGTCCTGGCTGATACAGAATAGGCATTTGCCCAGAGAAGCCAGACGGGAATGGAGGGTAGAGCATATGGACAGCCTTGGGATCCGGCGGGGTATAGGGTGGAGGCTCTCCCACGAAGCCGATGCCTGCTGCACACTTGGGCATCTGCCCATTCTCCTCAGCAGGCTTGGGCTGCGGAGGACTCAGGTGGGATGAGGCTGCGCCATCGTTCCAGGATGCCAGGTTGGGCAGCGGAGGTAGTTCTGCTGCCGTCTCTCTGCTCTCCCCACTAGCCCTGGGGACACTGCCCTCCTCCGCTGGTTCTGCTGCAGCACCCACGGCATCCCCTGTGCCTGAGAGCTCGCGGCTGGGGCGTGGGTCCGAGGAAGGGACAGTGCTGCTGCCTCTGGCTTCTGGACCTTTGAGAGAATGACGGTCACATGAGACCCACATCACCCAAAACTTGGACAGAAAGGGCCAGGGACTTGGAGCAGCTGTCATTCCTTCATGTGCACTGCTTGGATACCTATTCCCAACTCACAGAATTGGAGAACAGGATGCCAGAGCTGGAATGGAACCTAGAACCTAGAACCTAGAATGTCAGTAGCTCCCAGCCTTTCTTCAGTCTATAGATGAGGAAGGTGAGTCAGAGAGTGAAATAACCCACCCGAGGTCACATAGCAGTAAGGCATAGAGCTGGGATCTGAACACAGCTCTGGCAGCAAACCCCGCACTCTCACCATGATAGTATGCTCATTCATTAGTGGCCAAGTTGCCAAAGTGACCTTCCTAAAGCAGAGGGCCACCCATTTATTTATTTATCCTGTATATAGCTTGTTTCTACGTAGGTTTACTTGTTGTTTCCATTATATTTTCCTATGTTATTGCAATTATATTTTTTATTATATATTTCTTTGTATCTCTGTCAGAGGGCCTGGCACATAGTAGGTAGGGGCTTTAAAAAATACTTGATTGACTGACTGATGGTTCTTCCCTTTGCTTCCTCTCCCCCCATTCTATATATGTTAGTAGCTCTCTATTTTCTCCAAGATAAACAGAAAATGTTTGACATTCAAGGCCCCTTATAACCTGCCCCTACCTTTGCAGTGCTCTTACACTGTGCATCCCACTGAGATCAGGTAACTCGGGCCTCCTGGCTTCTCCCTGGCCGTTCCCCACGCCTGGAATGCTCTTCCTCTTCCTCTCTCCTCCTGGCTTCCCTGGCTTCCTACAAGTCCCAGCTAAAAGCCCACCCTCTATAGGAAACCTTTCCAATCTCCTCCCCCTGTTGATTTATTATTTCCAGTTTACCCAGTACACAGCTTATTTGTATAATAACTGTCTCCATGTTGTCGCCCCCCACTCCCCAACCTGGCCTTAGGCTGTGAGTTTCTAAAGAAGAGGGATTATCCTTTACCTCCCTTAGTGTCCCCTGTGCCTAGCCCAGTGCCTGGCACCGATGAGTCAAGACTGATCAGGCCTCACAATGGGGCATATAATATGGCAAGTGCTTAATAAATGCTTATAGATTGGTTAATAAAGGTTTGTTGATTCACTGGCCTCAGCCGGGTGCTTCCTTTGACGCCCTCTGGTTCCCTAGGTACCTGGCCCAGCTGCCCCGCCTGGAGGGGTTCCACTCCAGGCTCTCCCATCCCATCACCATGGGGCTCAGCAAATCTGGGCCAGGTGTCTCCCCTTCCATGCTAGCTGGCCTCCCCCTACCCCAAACCCTGTCATCATAACATAAACCGCAGCTTCTCCCCCTGGCCTCACCTAGGCAAATACCAGGCCTGATCAGGTGCAGATAAGGTTAGGGAAAGTAAATAAATGTCCAAGCACAGGCTGATAGCGGATATCTTTGGAAAGCTTTTGGGGCCTCAGGTTTCTCCCAAGAGAGCCCCAGACTCACCTGATCTTACGTCAGGGGCCAACAAGGCTCCCAGGTCCAGGCTGGGGCCAGCCCTCTAAGAAAACATCAGTGTCCAATGGAGACATGCAGACCATAATTTGGACCCCGCTCTACGAGGGGAGCCTGAGGTATCGCAGGCTCCTGGCAGGGGACCCCAAGGAGAGACAACTAAAGGCAGATGGGAAGGTGAAAAGCATCTGGGCTTCTTCACCCCCACCCCCAGCCCACCCCCCCCCACCCCGGCTGGCTCTCAGCAAGCTCCCATCTCCTCCAGATCAAGGCCGCTGACAAGGCTGTGTTTCTCTCCCCAGTAAAGTGAGCCTTGCTCCATAGAGGCCCCGGGGTCCCCTGTGGAGCAGGGACAGCTTGGGGGATGGGGAGGAAAGGGCCACTAGGCTCTATGTAATTCCTCTCTCTCCCATCACTCCTTCTCCAGCCCCTGCCTCATCCCCAGTCTCTTCCTCCTCCTGTGCTCTCTTTCTGGCCCTCTCATTTCTCTGCCTGTCCCTGTCTCAGTCTTTGCCTTTCATATTTCTTCCATTCTGAAGCATTTATTAAGTGCCTACTATGTGCAGTGTACTCTGTGAGGTTCTAAGACGACACAAAGATGAACGAGGACCCCGGCGTCTTTTCCCTAGACGTGGTCTGGGCACAGTGACTGGAAGGGGAAGGGGAGGGAACAGCCTCCAGCTGCGGCTATGTGCTGGCGTCTACTCTGCCCTCTGACCCACGCATGCCTTCACCTTTCCCAGAAGGGCACCTCGCCTTCCTGGTCTTTGTTCACCCCTCCTCCCTATCTCTGACTTCAAAGGGAGAAAAAGGGCTCTGCCGGGGTTACCACTAATATAATCCTGGGGGGAAGGGTAAGAATAAGATTAGGGTTGGATGGTCCATTACCACAGGACTCAGCCATCTCCCCCCACCCACATAATTAGCTGACCCCATGACTCCCTGGGGAGACAGCTGAGTGCTCACCTCTGCTCTGCTCTCTGCCATTAACCCCTGGCACTGGCGGATCTCATACTGAAGTCCCAAAACCTCTCCCGCCTTAGAGGCTGTGCAAAGCTTGCTGGGCTTGGGGTGAGAAAGACCTGGGTTCAGATCTTGTCTCAGACACATACTAGTACAGTAATTCTCAGGACCTCATTTTGAAGTCAGCTTGAAGTCTATGACTGTGTGATATTTCTTGGAGATCCCAAGATGCCCTAGTCCAGACTCTTCTCTCCTTTTCCCCCTCTATCCTATGGCCCCGGTAAACACTCTCCCTTCTCTGTGCAAATATATAATTATTTGCTGGTTGTTGATTGATTGATTGACTGTTGGCAAACAATCGGACCCACCTGGGGTTCTTGGAAACTGGTTTGGGACGAAGGTGGCTTCTCTGCTCACCTTGGAAGGGGTCAGATCAAGACCTGCCCACAAGTCCCTCTGGAACCAAGATCTGCTTCCCTTCTCCTCCACTCCCTCCTCCTCCTCCTCTCCTTCTTCCTCATCTCCTTCCTGACAGTGCTCCATTTCTCTGAGCTTCCTAGAAGCCCAGCAACCCATTTCTGTGGGCTGTAGAAAGGGGACAAAGAGGACCCAGGAAGGAGCAGGCGGTGAGCATGGCACCTGGGTGAGAGGCACTGTCTACTTCGCAGACCCCCTCCCCAGATCCCCCGGGGGAGCCTCCCCTCTCTCTCTGGGGGCGGGGGCTCTCCTACCTGGCTCCATGGAGAATAGTCCTCTTGGGCTGGGCAGTGGGCTGGGCTGCCCAGGCCACAGGTGCTCCTTCTCTCTGCTCACCGCCTGGTGCCCAGAACCCGGACCTGCTCCGGCTCAGTCCTCTGAGCAGTGACTGTCCTGCCCTGGGGCTCCTCTTTCCTTGCTGGGCTCCAGTTTCCTGTAGCCTGACTTAGCTCCGTTAATAATTGACAGGCTTGTTTGCAGCCGGCTGTGTCAACAAGGAGCCCTCATTCCGGGGCCCCTCTGTACCAGTTTTTTCCGTGCCCCAGAACCCCATTCTGCCGGATGGCAGTGCCTGGCAAAGCTGATGGGCCCTGCCCGATGGGAACTGGCCAGAGACTGACACCTCCCTCCTCGGGGGCCCAGGGCAGGGGAAGCAATGCCTCTAGTCTTTGATCCACAAACAGCCCCAGCAGCCTCATCTTGCTCGAAAGACACTCTGGAGGGTCCCAAGGTGACAGATTATCACGATGGCACTGACTGGCTGGTGGAGCCCAAGGCAGGACAAGTCCTTTCTGAGGTCTCAACCACTCCTTTGCTGGGGCCTCCTGGGAAGCTGGGGAAGAACTCAGACCAGCAGCTCATTTGGGGGTCACAGAAGAGGACAATTAGGCTTGCCACTCAAATGCTAGATAGACACTTGGTGCTCAGTAATGTTGAACATCTTGTTGGAGTTCAATCAATGTTAGGCATATATTTGGTGCTTCCTAAATACTTACTGAAATAAACTGATTTTTAAAAATAAAACTGCCTAGTATCCAGTGGTACATCAAAGGAATGGGGAGGACAGAGATAAAGCTAGAGGGAAGCAGGGAGAGATGAGGAGAAAAGTTCTGGCAGAAAGGTTAGGGGGTCCTTCTCTTGATCTCAAACCAGTAATAACAATAATCATTCTTATAGGGCTGTGGTAAAGAAAGTGTTTTTTAAGGCATTATAGAAATATGAATAGAAATTTAGGTATAATTCTCTGAAACCAAGGCCCTTTCCAAGCCTGGAGCCTGTAAAGGCTTGGCTTTAGAGAAGCCTTTGACCTTGGGAATTTCCTTCATTCTCTACCCAGGGGTGGGGAACTGGATTCAGTCAGAGGGCCACACTTGAGGACCTAGAGGGCCACATGTGGCCTCAAGGCCAAAGGTTCCCCATGCCTGCTTTACACCCATCCCAACTCTTTTGGAAGTCTTGTCAGACTAGAGAGTTTCATGGGCTTGATCTGGTCCAGCCCACTTTATTTTACAGGTGAGAGAATTGAGTCAAGGGAGGTTGCCCAAGGTCACACAGGTAGTTAACCCCAAAGGTGAGATTTGAACCTAGGGCCTTTGACTCTGGACAAGGCTAGATTCATCTTGAGGAAGGCCTCAAAAGCTAGGCTAGGAATTTCACAATTACTTCTGTAATGCTTTCTTCAGCATCTGTAAAATCTGTCCATTCATTTGGGGTGAATTCTTTTCATCCCAATCGACAGCGCCTGTATTTGGCTGACTGGTCTCCTTTTAGTCTTGACCACTCAGGCTTGTGCTAATTCACCACATGGTTTGTGTGGGAAGGTCATTTGAAGAGATTTCTGCCGATTCTCTGCCACATCTCAACAGCAGTCAGAGCTCTCCTGTTTGCCTTCTGGCATGGGGCAAGAGGGCCTGTGTTGTGGGGGCACGGGTCACTACCCAAAGGTTCTGGAACAGACCTTAGGAGGACCAGCAGAATTCTCCTGACTATGTTACTCAGAGGGACAGCTAGCTGGTGCAGCGGATAGAGTGCTAGACCTGAAGTCAGGGATGGGGTTGGGATCTGGGCCCCAGAAAGGAAAAACCCTGGACTTTCCCACATGGCCAAATCTCTGGCATTCCCCTGAGGCTATAATCCCATCAACGGGCCTTTCATTGTGGACCTCCCTATGGCCCGAGGCCATTTTTCCATTCTCCCTTGGTCACTAGTCCAGGTCCCTGAAATTCTATTACCTCATAGACTACTTGGCCACTCCTAAATCCCTCCCATAGTCTTTCTGTATATAAGGTCCATCTTGTCTCCATTAAGATGCTCAGATTCTTATAATCTAGCCACTGCTCAGATTCTTAAAATCTGGCCACTGCTTAGATTCTTATACTCTAACCACTGCTTACCCATGTTCAGACTCCTTAAGAGTCTGCCCAATCTGATGGATGTTCTAATAAACCTTGTCTTTGGCTGAAAGAAGGCTTGGGTCGAGATCTTTCGGGCAGGACCCGCATGTTGTGACTTTGGGGTCCCAGCACCCCTGAACCCCAAAGCCACATCAGTCAGGAAGACTCCTCTTCCTGAGTTCAAATCTGGCCTCAGACACTTACTAGATATGACCCTAGGTACTTAACCCTGTTTGCCTCAGTTTCTTCAACTTAAAATGAGCTGGAGAAGGAAGTGGCAAATCTCTCCAGTATCTTTGCCAAGAAAACCCCAAATGGCATCGGGAGGAGTCGGACACAACTGAAAACAACTGAACAACAACAAATATGATGTTCATGAGTCCCAAAGCAGGAGGGAGTGGGAATGGTAGAAAAGACCGTGAGGTGCAATAGAAAGAATACTGGTTTAGGAGTCAAAAGCTCTGAATTCAATATTTTTTTTTTCCTTTTTGGTGAGGCAATGGGGTTAAATGCCTTGCCCAGGGTCACACAGCTAGTAAGTGTCAAGTGTCTGGTCTGAGACCAGATTTGAACTCAGGTCTTCTTGACTCCAGGACCGATGCTCTATTCACTGTACCACCTAGCTGCCCCTAAATTCAAATCTTGCATCTGACAATTACTACCTACATGACCATGGACAAGTAACTAGGCCTCAGTTTCTTTATCTGTAAAATGATGGGGTTGCCCTAGATGGCCTCTGAGGTCCCTTCCAGCCCTAAAACTATAACCTCACAACTAATGAAGGATCAGAATAAGAAAAAAAATCCTCAGCTGGCTGTAGGGCATTTTAGACCTCCATCGGCTAGAACAGAGAGCAGGAAAAGGCCACAGCTTAATTATAAAGGTATCTGCTCCAGATACCTACCATAGGGCTTAGCATATAGTGAATGCTAAACAATGCACAGGTCTGACCAAGTCATCATCCTGCTCAGAAGTCTTCACTGGTTCCCTGTGGTTTATAGGGTAAAGGAGAAACTTGTCAGCTTTGCAAGTTAACATCCTCCTCAATACGTCTTTCTGAAGAGGAGTGCACGACCCTCACCCTTTTCCTCAAATGAATTTGGGCGTTTACTTCTTGAGGGGGGAGGTGACTCAAATGGACAGGTCAGTGAGAAGCCCAGTATCTCAAGTACCACTTAAAGTCACTTGAGGAGACAATGAGATTCAAGGAGGCTGGTCAATGAAATTCTGAAACTCGGTAACCAGGCCCCTCTGCCCCTCCGCCCAGGGCTGGACAATGGAATAATGAAGTGCCTAGATTATGTATGAAACTTTGAACTATTGTCCCTGGTTACCTCATTTCCCCCGCCCCCTGGCCTTTTGTGTTCCTGATTACCTCATCTTCCTGCCCATGGCAGGTTTTCCTCTATAAGAAACCCTAGCCTCTCACAGTTAGTGGGCACCTCCCTTAATTGGGGGCATCTCCCTTAAGGAGCCGCCTCCATGAATCGGCCATCTCTCTTGGGGGGTGGGGCCCTCTCTCTTAAGCTGGGGTCCCCCTTGAGCTGGGTCACCCTTAAGGGGTGGAGGAACATACTTTGTGTGTTGTGTTGCCTAGAATTTACTTGATTTGGAGACAGCCTGGGTGAATTCTTTTGAGACGACCTTGCACCCCTCTGAACCTCAACATTTCCAGCCTTATTTCACATTATTCGCTTTCACAGCCTCTAAGTTTCAGCCAAATTGGACTAGTCATTGTTCAGGGATCTCATTGTACCCCCTCTGACCTTTGGTGCATTCATTCACTCAGGCTATTTCTCCTTTACCTCTCAACCTAGTGAGATTCTTTCTTCCTTTAAGGCTTGCTCAGGTGCCATCTCTTCCTGAAAGGTTTCCTTAACCTCCCCAGTCGAAAGTGACCCCACAGAATAAGCCCTGGATTTATACCTGACTTTGATACTTGCTACCTGTGTGGCCTTGGACAAGTGGGTGACACAACAGATAGAATACTGGGTTTGGAGCTAGGAAGAAATGAGCTCAAACTGCCTCAGATACTCCCTAGTTGTGTGATCCTGGGCTAGTCAGTTAATTTCCCTGTGCCTCATCTTCCTCCTCGGTAAAGTGGAGATAATGATAGCAACTACCTCACAGGGCTGTGTGAGGATTGAATGAGTTAACATATGTAAAATGGTTTGCCAGCCTCGAGGTGCCCTAAAAATGCCAGCTATTATTATTACTGCCTCACTCTGGGCCTCAGTTTTTTCATCTGTAAAGTGAGGTGGGTGAACAAGATGATTTTTGTGGTCTCTTCTAGTTTTAGGTTGTATGAACCACACATTTTTTCTAAAGTATATTGTCTATTCGAGACATTTTTCCTAGTACTTTCTTAAAGGACATTCACTAATTTCAAGTGAAGCCTTGAAACTGCACCTCTCCTTTGCCCTAATTATATTTTATCTTGTATCCTGCCTTCCTCCCCAACTTTTTTCTTTTTTTTTTTTTTTTTGTTTAAGGCCTGTGATTTCATTGGTCACTCTATCTCGTAGAGAGAATTATTGGTGGAGTCTAAACCAGTAACAAACACCAGGTGAAGCATAAAACAAAGAGATATATGCCTGCCAAAAGTATTCACCATTGTGATGGAGGAGATCCAAGTGAAGAGTTCAGATCAAGGCAGGATTCCCAGAGATGATGATGTCCTCCAGATGCTCCTGCATGAATGCTGTTATATTCATTGAATCAAACCCCGAGACATGGCAGAGCTTCCTGGAAGAGACCTGTAATCACTCAAAGGAATCTGGCCTTTCCATCCACACAGGAAACACCAAATGGATGAAAGACTGTCTCTTGCCAGGATTTCAAGGAATGAGTGAATATTCAGATAGCCAGCAGAGCTTGTCCAAAGTCTGTGTATCTGGGACAAATAATGAAGCCTGTTTATTGACCCAAAGCTTCCCAAACAGCAAAAGCTCATCTCTTTAATATAAACTCTTATTGCATGGAAGCACTACTACTACTATTAGTACTACTACTGTTGCTATTGTTCAGTTGTATTTGACTCTTTGTGACCCCATTTGGGTTGGGTTTTTTGGGGGTTTTTTTGTTTGTTTGTTTTTGGCAAAGATACTGGAGTGGTTTACCGTTTCTTTCTCCAGTTCATTTTACAGATGAGGAAACTGAGGCAAATGGGGTTAAGTGACTTGCCCAGGGTCACACAACTAGTAAGTGTCTGAGGCTCAGCGCTCAATCTACTGTACCACCTAGCTGCCTCTGCCTCCTCTTCCCTTCCTACCCCACCCACCCACCTACTAAACAAGGACTGCTACGTAGCTGGTGGCACACTGGATAAGGCATTAGTCCTGGAGTCAGGAAAACCTGAGTTCAAGTCTGGCCTGAGATTCATATTAGTTGTGTGACCCTGAACAAGTCACATAATCTCTGTCTGCCTCAGTTTTCTCATTTGTAAAATGGGATCAATTAATGGTAAAATGGGTACCTCCCTCTCAGGGTTGTTATGAGACTCAAATGAGAGAATATTTGTAACGAGTGATTAGCACAGTGTCTGGCACAAAGGTGCTATATAAATGCTTATTCCACCTCCTCTACTACTTAGAATTCATCCAGTACAAAACATTTTCCAAATATTATCTCTTCCTTTATTATCCCCATTTTGCAGATGAGAAAACTGAGGCCAAAAGAGGTTAAGTGACTTACCCAGGGTCTCGTAGCTAGTAAGGGTGTGAGGCTGGATTTGAACTCAGGTCTATTATGACTCTAAGTCCTATACTCCATCCACATCTGGGTGCTAACTAGATGTGAGGATCACACTGGAGGCAACAGAAATGTGAACAGGCTACAGCACATAACCAATGCAGACTTGAAGGAGAAGGAGAGCAAAGGACATCGTCGTAGATAGCTCCATGATAACCCTCCCTCTCGATTAGAGATGGAGGTGGGAAGTGGGGAAGGGAAGGGGGAGGGAGAGAGAAATCAAAGAAGGCCATTGGAGGAACCAGGTAGGGTGAATTTTTGAGGGGGGGGGAAACAATAGGAGTTAAGTGACTAAGGTCACACAGCTAATGTTTGATGTGAAATTTGAACTTAGATCCTAGTGACTCCAGGGCCGGTGCTCTATCCCCTGCAACACCTAGCTGCCCCTAGGCTAACTTTTAGGGGGACTGGAGTCCCACAGGATGGACAGATGGGAGGCATTCACTAGAGGGAACTCCTGAATCACGGACTTCCCAAATCCATTGGCGTATTTGAGAGGGAACAGCCTTCGAAGAAACTTCAGAGAATTGCCTGAGGTTGAAGAAGTCCCAAGACTTGACCAGTAATGAGGCCCTTGAACGCTGGTCTTCCGGACGTGGGGTCAGCTCTTCAGATCTTATTTGTGTACGCGCTGTATCCCAATTAAGCCGTGGAGCTCTTGGAAGACAGGAATTGGCTATGGTTGTTTTAATTTATCTGTCTACGGGCTGGGATGAAATGGGGAGAGGTTGGCCTCTGTGTATCTGCCAAACACCAGGGAATGGTTCTGTTGACACATACTGGCTCCCCATCCCCGGAGCATGCTATAATCTCCCTGATGCTAAATTTCTTAGCAACGCTACGGGCAGAACGAGCATCTTGGGAGAGCAGCCCGGTGGGGAGGACCTCCTGGGGCCAGTATGCAAATATTTAGGATAAGTGAGTGCGGGGGTAAATAGTATTGTTCTCTTCCAAGAGTTGCCTTCCAAGTCAGGGAAGCAGTGGAGGTAACTCTTCAATCACCCTGCCCGCTCCGCAAGAAAGACTGACGGCTGGGCAAAAGGACATTTAATAACCTTGAGCATGCGCTCTCCCCTCGGGTCGTAGCCGACTACAACTCCCGCGTAGCTCCGCGGCGCTGTGGGGACCCCTTAGCAACTAGAACCTACGCGTGGTGTCCGCTGGGAGTTGTAGTCTGGGCGGCTGCCTCTGACCTCTGTTCTAGGGGCGGTCGGGCCAGCTAGAGCTGGGGGCGGGGGCGAAGCCGATGCAGAGAAGCCGAACTGGCCATGGCCTCGGCTAGCGGCGGCGGCGGCGGGGTGGCCGCTGCGGAGCCCGAGCGCCCTCACCAGCGGCCTTTCCTGATCGGGGTGAGCGGCGGCACGGCCAGTGGAAAGGTGAGAACTCGGAGTGGGGGTTTCATTGGAGGGGGAGAAGGCAGCCCCCCTCGGGAGGCGAGGAGCCGGTCCCGCGCCTTGCAGCGGAGCCGGTCTGGGGCCCGCGGGGCTGGAGGCACGATCCGAGGGGGTGACATGAGGACCCGGCCCGGCGGGCGAGTCAGTGGGCCAGGGAGCTGGGGCAGGGGCTGGGCCCGGGGCGGGGGCGGGGGGGGCTGCCCGAGCCCGCCTCCAGGACCCCCGTAGGAGGCCGGGGCTCTGTGGGGAGCCCCCGCCCCTCCCCCCACCTGTAGCCAGCCCGTACTTGGGTTCCGGGTGCCGGGCCCTGCCGGGGGGGTGGGAGAGGCCTCGGCCGACCCATTCGGAGGGGCTTGAGGCGGGGGTCCTCCCGGCTTCCCCCCCCAGTCCACAGTGTGTGAGAAGATTATGGAACTGCTGGGCCAGCATGAAGTGGACCACCGCCAGCGCAAGCTGGTCATCTTGAGCCAGGACAGGTTCTATAAGGTCCTGACCGCCGAGCAGAAGGCCAAAGCGCTGAAGGGCCAGTACAACTTTGACCACCCAGGTAGATCGGGAAACCCGGGGGGTGGGGGCCGAGGGAAACGGAGAAGGGACGGGGTGTCACAAAAACAACTGCAATAACAGTTCACGACACGGAGTCTTTAATTTACAGAGCACCTCCTTACAAGCAGCCCGTGAGGTAGGTAGTGTAAATGTTATCCCCATTTGATAGATGAGGAATATGAGGCTCAGAGAGCTTGACTTGCACACATGGCTAGTAAGTGGCAGAACTTTGACTCTATATCCAATGATTGCCCTTCCTTTACAGTCTTTATTCCTTTCCCCCTCTCCCTCCCCTTTCTCTCCACCTCTTTTCACTCACCCCCTTTCTCCTCCCCTTCCCTCCCACTCCTCCCCCCTCTCCATTTATTCCTCTCTTTGCTTTGGTCTAGGACAGTCCTGGGGAGATCGAGGTGATTCTGTGAACTAAACCTCTACTCCCACAACAAAGTAGGCTGGTGTTTGCCTGAAGCCCATTTCAGAGCTGTCCCCGAGGGGGAGGGTGGACTCTTAACTGAAGCCAATCAAAAAGGCTTCTTCCATGAGGACACCAGCTCCTCCAGGCCTTCAGCAGAGCAACTAGCAGGATCCCTGCGCTGCCACCACTGTCATGTGGGTCTTTCTCAGTCAGGATGTTTCCAAAGACCCATTGTACAAAAATACGTTCTTTACAACTTCCCTTTCATTCCCCTGAAAGACAGTGACTAGTCCTAACAGTAGAGATGTCAGAGACTTGTAGTAGCCAATCTAACGGCAGCTGCAGGAGTTAATGTGTCAACAGTAGCCAGTTAGGAGCCCCGAGGTACCAGCTCCTGAGTGGGAACCCAGAGCCAGCTAAACAGGGAGAGGTCTAATGTTCTAGTCATTATGGCTGCCCCGTCTTCCTTAATCCTTCTCTACAAAAAGAAACATTGCCCTAGTAAACTTGTCTTTAAAATGACTTGTCCTAGAAACTAGAGCCTGGTCCTTGCTTGCCTCCTAGAAAGAACTTTGAGAATGCCAAATCACTGCCTTGCCATAGTAGGCCCTTCATATGTACCCTTCTTAAGGAGAACCAACTTCCTGGTGGAGATAGCAGTATAGATACCAGTTATTGCCAGATAATTATCTTTATGAATGTGTTCATCTTGTGGTGTGCAGAATTTTAAAAGGTTGTATACCTGCTAGATGTTAATTATATTTCATTCACTCTGTACGGTGTTTGATGTCCTGTAAGTACTACTGTTGATTTTTTTTAAATTGCCCCCAGCTAGCTGTAGGCCATACCCATGGCAACAAGACTCTATCTTTATTTACAACGCCTATGTAAGAATAGCTTGGGATGGTCTTGCCTTTTGTTCCATCTCTGCAGATGCTTTTGATAATGATTTGATGCACATGACCCTGAAACACATTGTGGAGGGCAAAACCGTTGAGGTCCCGACCTATGATTTTGTGACCCACTCAAGGTAAGCAGATGGTTTCTGGGAGGGCAGAGGAAGGGCTGTGCACTTCAAGCCCGTTAGATCTTCCTCTCAGGTGCTTACAGCAAGGACTTCCCTGCAGCAGGCCCTGCCCCCAGTCGGTTTCTGTGGATTCTTCGTGATCTGCCCCTTCCAAGGATTCAGTGCCCCCAGGACCGAAGCTGGTTGTGCAGACTGCCCCGGTGACCCTCTCTCTCCTGCAGTGTCCCATTTCCTCGCCTCTGCCTCGCAGGTTACTGGAGACAACTGTGGTTTACCCTGCGGATGTGGTTCTGTTTGAGGGCATTTTGGTATTCTATAGTCAAGAGATCCGGGACATGTTTCATCTTCGACTCTTTGTTGACACCGACTCAGATGTGAGGCTGTCTCGTAGAGGTAAGGGGGATGCTGGAGTTCCTGAATTCTGACCTTAGACAATTACACTTATGATGGTCTAAGGATTGAATTGCTACTATTTCAGTTCTCCGAGATATGAATCGTGGGAGGGACTTGGAGCAGATCCTAACACAGTACACCACCTTTGTTAAACCTGCCTTTGAGGAATTCTGCCTGCCGGTACCACCTTTGAATTTGTTCGTTAAAAGTTTTTTAAGTGACTTTTACATTATAGATTCAGTAATCCCCTTCAAAAGGTTGTGTCTTGTCCAGTTTCAGTAGGATGTTGAGTCTTAGATGAAACCTAGTTAATATGTAAAGAATGATTTATATGTAATTTGCATGTAACGAAGAATTTATATATGGAGGAATTTGTGTGCTAGGAAGGATTTGTACTTTAGATGTAGGGAGGCATTTATATGGAGGGAAGAGTTTAGTTGGTCTAAACAATAGTTTGCCTACAGTTGACCTATCGAGTCCCCTACATAATGCCTTTCTTTCTCCATACTGATTTTGGCCAAGCCTCTGAGGTGCCCAGCTACTTTGAATATTTAAGGGATTAGCGTCTTAGTAAACTTTTTAAATTTCAAAATTAACATGACTCCTAGCACTCACTAATTTAGAAACACTGAGAATATGGATTTATGTTGGGAAACTTTTTTTTTTCTCCAGATGTATGACTTTATCAGTATAGGGAACTACCAGTAAAGAAACACCCCCTCCAATGCATATGGTCACGAGTTCTACAAATAAGTGTTAAAGAATTTCTTGAGGGCACTAAGAGGTTAAACAGATTTGCCCAGGGTTGCAGAGCTTTAAAAATGTATAGCCCCATGTAATCCTATGCTTATGATTCTCCATTTCCAGAAATTAATTTTGCATCAATAAGTGGGCAATTCCAGACTTTTCCTAAACACATATTTAATAAGTCAGCTCATTAATATTAAGGATTTAATTGGCCAGGTTGTATGAGCAAAAAAGCAGCTGTCATACCATGTGTTGCTCACAAGGCTATGAGACTTCATCCGGTAGTGAAACTCACTTGCTCACTGCTCTGTGTCCACATTTGAGTATTTATTTACATTTGCTTCCCAGCTCCTTGTAGGGTCAGAGGTGATTGGCTGGATCAGAGTAGAAGAATATCATGGATTGCTAGGAGGTGAATCTAGAGCCTTTTGATCTTACTTGGTTTACCTTTGCCTGCAGCTGGGTCTGTAGCACAGAGAGATGAGCCATACAGGTTATTTTTCACAAGAAACATCAGGGGCAGTGAAAATGATAGAAAGTCATTGGAGAACAAAGTTGTTTTCTCTTGGCTTCCTACACCTGTTCAGTTTGGCTCATTTCTGTCTGGTAGAGTGATAGGCAACTCACACGAATCACCCTATCCATTCTTGAGGCCATTGAGACACATCTCCAACCCCTCCTGCTGTGTGCCACCCCCCCCCCAACATCTCAAGTTCAAAGTAGGATGAATTCCACTGAAAACTGCAATCATCCTAGAAAAATCTGCTTAAGAAAACTCTCATTTCATCTTGCAGACTAAGAAGTATGCTGATGTGATCATCCCTCGAGGAGTTGACAACATGGGTAAGAAAAATGTCTGACCTCACTTCTGAGTGCCTGCAATTTCCATCTTCGAGATGCATTTTGGCTACAATTCTTAAATGTAGCTTGATGCAAAACCCCCACATTCAAGAGCCTGAAGGCTTGCGCACCACTTTTGTTGTATCTTCTTGCCAGTTTTGTATCTACTTTAAAATTACAATTTAAAACTTAAAAATTGAAAAGGAATTCTTACTACCAGAGTATTTTAACTAGATTTCCTTACAGATATTAAAAGCGTCAAGTGTGTAGATTTTAAAGAGCTCACTTACTGATTTCCATTGTTTTTACCTGCTGGGGTTTGACAGTGGTCCACTGTCTTTGAGTGAAAAGAGCTATGTTTCAAGGAGTAATTATTGGTTATAAAACTGAAGCAGGCAGCAGAGTTTCCTAGGACAACCTTTGGGTGGGGATTAAGTTCAATGAGCTAAAAATCAAGGTGAAGGAATTAGAATGATTTTTGCTTTTCATTTCGACTTCTGGTTCTCCCCCTACTTCAGTCACTCATTAACCTCTCTTCCTTTGACGTTCATGCTATTCCTGTCTACCAGTAACCCAATCAAAATCTTGGTAGCTGTTGTCTACAGACTCCAGGTTACTCCTTTTCATTCCTCAAAGAGTTCCATATGTAACTCACAATCCCCCCCCCCCCAACTCTTGCCCCCATACTGGGGGTCTTCAGCATATATCCTGATTCTCCTTCAAATACCCTAACTGTTCACCTCCCTTGAGCTTCTCTTCTCTACCTTAGATATACACAGAAACGGGCAGACCCTTGATATTTCTGTTACCCACAAATGTACCACCTCCATGTTTAAGAATTCCCAAATCCTCTCATCTGACCATAATTTCTTGGCTTTTCACCTCTGCTTCCTTACAGGTTCTACTTTTGGTCTGTACCATGATCTCTAGTCCCCTTGACCCCTCAATTCCCAGGCTATCATCCCTGCACTAACCACTCTCTCCTCTTTTTGGCACAGAGCCAACAGAGTTCTACATTGTCCTCTGTTGAATCCCCAGCCCTCCCATATCACTGATTACACCCAGCCAAACCTCAGCCTTGGACGACTACCACCATTTGTTGCCTCCACTCCTACTGATGTGCTGCTGAACAAAGGTGGAGAAAATCATGCAATCATTCTATGTCCGCTACATAGAAATGTTCATGTTGTAAAACCTCTGCTGGGCCCTCACTGCTGCTAGGCAATCCTTCCATACTTGCCTTATCAACTCATCATCCCGTTGTTCACGGTGGCTCTTCAAACCTGAGAACCCTGCCTCATATTTTACAGAAAAAAATGAGGCCATTCGCTGTGAGCTTCCTCCTCTTCTCTCTCCCTCATCTCATAAGCCTTTGCCTGTCTCACATGATAAAGTGGCCTTACTTCTTACCAAGGCTAACCCCTCTGCTTATTCAAGCCATCCCATTCCATCCTATCTTCTCTCTTTCACCCCAACTCGTTATTTTCAATCTCTCCCTCTCTATTGGTTCATTTTCTACTCCCTATAAACATACTCATATTGCCTCCATCCTGAAAAAACCCTCACTTGATCCTTTCATCGCTGCTATCATCTTATATCTCCTCTGCCCTTTGTAGCTCAAGTCCTCAAAAAGGCCCTCTAAATAGGTGCCTCCACTTTCTCTCCTCTCACTCTTCTTAACCCCCTTATAATCTGGCTTCCAACCTTATCATTCCACTAAAACTGCTGACTCCAAAGTCACTAGGGATCTCTTAGTTGCCAGATCCTGGGGCCTTTTCACCATCCTCACTCTCCATGACCTCTCTGCAGCCTTTGACTCTGTCGATCACTCTCTCCTCCTTGATATTCTCCTCTCTAAATTTTCAGGACACCACTCTTTCTCGGTTCTCCTTACCTAGCTATAGCCTGCTGGTGGGTCTCCCTGAATCATCACTCCATTTCATCCTCCATTCAGCCACTAAGTTATTTTCCTAAAACGCAGGTCTGGTTGCGTCACCACCACCACCCTCTACCCATTCATTAAACTCCACTGGCTCTCTACTGCTTCTAGAAGCAAATATAAAATGCTGTTTGTCATTCAAAGCCCTTCCTAACCTAGCCCCCTCCTACCTTTCCAGTCTTCTTACACCTTACTCCCCAGCCACATACTCTGTGATTCAGTGACAATGACACTGCATTTCTCAGCTCTGGGCGTTTTTCTCTGGCTATTCCCCATGCCTGGAATGTTCTCCCCTCATCTCTATCTACTGACCAACCTGGCTTCCTTTAAGTCCCAACTAAAATCCCATCTTTTACAGGAAGCTTTTCCCAACTTCTCTTAATTCTAGTGCTGTTAATCATTTCCTGTTTATCTTGTATAAAGCTTGTTTGCACATCTCCCTCATTAGACTGTAAGTTCCTTGAGGGCAAGGATTGTTTTTTTGCCTCTTTGTATCCCTAGCATTTAGCACTGTGCCCAGCACATAGTAGACACTCAATAAATGTTATTGATTGCTGTCTCTGAAGAATTAGAGCCACATTTGTACTCTTATCATTTGCAGTTGCCATCAACCTGATCGTACAGCATATTCAGGATATTTTGAATGGTGACATCTGCAAATGGCAGCGGGGAGTTCCAAATGGGCGGAGCTACAAGAGGACGTTTCCTGAGCCTGGAGACCCTCCTGTTGTCCTGACTTCTGGTAAACGGTCCCACCTGGAGTCTAGCAGCAGACCCCACTGAGGAGCAAGAGGCTGGTTATAAGCCGATAAGGCAGATCTTCCTTGATGACATTTGTATAATGAATGGATCTGGAGTTCCTTTTTTTTTTTTTCCTAACAAAAACCCTAAGTCCTTTAGAAATATTCTTTTAGTCACCTGTTACAAAATTATTCTAAGATGAAATTGTTTAACCATTTAACAGAAAGATGTTAATTTTATTCAATCTTAAAAGTTGGGAAATACTAAAATGACCTTCTTGATGTTTTAATCTTCCATGTATTCAGGAGGCTTCTGAAATCTCTTTGGGCCACCTGAAAAATGCCCAACACCTGCATGAGTGAAACTGCTATGCTTGCTCCCAGAAGTAATGCTAGTAGTAGCACATTTAAAAAAAAAAACTGGGGGTCTGGGTCCTGGCTCTGTCGTTGGTACGACCTTAACATGAACCATGTAGAAATGTTTTCTTTCCTTCTGGGTTATACACAGGGCAAATAAGCAGAGGTGGGAATGCTGATAAGCACTTTAAAAAAGAAAAACACACAAAAATAACTACTATTAAATATAAAGGAGAGTGACTCCTACTTTGAATGTGTTTACTTGAGGACATAAAAGACTTGACAGGTTACTGCAGACTGAAGGTTTGCTGCTAGAAGTCAATCAAACAGTTCTGGTGTTTGTGTGGTGTTGACTTGAATGTAGCTATACAATGCCCAAGCAAACAGCTCCACCCAAGGCTGTTAACCCTGTTCATCTATCCCTGGAAATTGCCAAGTCGAGGCTGACCTGTCCTGGGACCTAGGACACATGCTGCCTACCACCAGAACGTTCACATTATTACTCATTGCCATGTCAGGTGCATGCTCTCCTTAGAGCTAAGTTACACAGTGGAATCTAGGGGTTCAAAATGAATGTTGTTGCACAAATCAGCCCTCCGACTGCCGTACTACTTATCATATATGGCCTAGCACTGAATTTCGTCTATGAGAATGTTTTGGTCTATATGGTTCTATTTAATCTTTCCTCCTAACTAGTGTTCAATTCCCTCCATATAATATTTATGTACATTATATATATACATATATAAAAGCTGTTTTATAATCAATCTCATGTATAGTGACTTATGGTTTTCTTCTATCAGGCATAAATCATTATAGTTATTATGAGATACATAAGACAGGGAACTTTGTTTCAGGTCCTTTGGTTTTCTAAACTGTAATTACCTAAAATCTTTGTCATGCTTAATGTACTGTTTTGGGACTAATAAACACCAGTAGTGTTCATTTGTCTCCTTAAAATTATTTTTATATATGTAAATATAAATCAAATTTCAGAAAGAGGAATTACAGAGATGACTCTACCACCTTTGAGTTAGAGACCCTGTTCCCTTAACATAAAGCTACCCCAGAGCAATAGCTCATAAAGAAGATTAAAAAAAACAATACCATAGCAATAAGATACTAGGAAACAGTAGGCTTTTTTATCTTGTAGTCAGAATGAGAGGCTGATGACCAAAGTAACTTACCTTCCCATCGTACAGAATGGCTTCTGTGAGGTCTCACCAAAGATGAATACTCAACTGTGCTCTGATACAGTAGGTTTAGGAAATATTCATGGCAGCATGAGTCTAGCCAAAGGAGGAACTGAGGATAAGAGCTATTAGGACTACCAGCAACTTCCTAGTTAAAATGCTGAATTGTAGTTTCATCATGGACTCTTAAGTTCTTTTGGCCTATATAATTTTTGTCTCCATCAGGCTGTAGGGTGTGACTACATTAATCAATTAAATGAAAGGGGGTTTTGTTCAGTTAAGGTCTGCCCAAGTAGAAATAGTCTGCTCTCTAGTTTCTAGGAGAAGACTTGTCCTTGCACAAAATGTAGTTTATCTTTTAAACGGCCTTCTCACTGGTGAAATGAAACAAACAAGTAGTTAAGTTTTCAGTTACCTCTTCCTGTAGTTAAAGGCCAGGAACTCATCAGTTCCTGTATAAGTCATTCCTTCAATCCCAGAGTAGCTCTGCCCATTAATAAACAAATGCAAGAAAGAAACCAACAAGGTCTGTTCTACTTTATCCAGCCCCCATCTCAGATTTTCACTAGTTTATTCTTTTTCCGTTAGTGTTTTCTGATCAGGATATCCCAGCTGGATTTCCAGCGAAGGGCCTTGAGCTCATTTGCTGAGAGAGATTGATCTCCATAGGTTATTGGGCTGAAAGTGTGATAAACCATATACACAGAGAAAAACCATACTACAATTAAGGAGTTGAATATGTTCTTCTGGAGCTGGGATCTGTAGGATCAGAAGATAAATGTATGTGAGAGATTAAAAATATATGTATACATATATAAAATCAATAAACACTTATGCAGTTACTTTACAGCTTCCAAAGCATTTCTGCATACAAGATCTCATTGGATGTTCTCAACAGTTCTATGAAGTAGATGAGGACAAATGAAACAAGTTCAGAGATAATAAGGAACTTGTCCAAGACATCACAACTAGTGGCAGAGCTGGGCTGGACAGAACACAAACCCAAACCCAAGTGTAATTAATATTCTTTCTATCGCCTCTTGCTGCCTGTCCAAAAAGAGTAATGTTTTCTTCCTCCACCATGCTACCCCAAGAGTAATTATTGCCTTTTGTTGTTTGAATCTGGGTCTCCCTATCTCACCCTAGCTGGAAATGCAGTGGCCACTCACAGTCTCGATCTTACTGGCGACTGGCGTGATACCTTTGGCCTGTTCTGTTTCTGACTTGGGCTGGGTGCCCCTCCTTAGGCAGCCTGGTGATCCACTGCTCCTGATTTACTCACCATATTGGTGCTGGACGTAGTGTGGACTCCTGATGGACTTTAGGTCTACTGCTGCTCAGAACTTCTAAGCTCAAACTACCAGCCTTGGTTTCCCCAGTAGCAGGGATTGAGTGTGTGCCATTACACCTGTCTGGGAGTAATTAATTGCACCTGAAACCCATTCCTCCTGACTATGTTACTTCTGTTACGGTGTACTACCCAGTCACCCAGTCACCTAGTCACCCAGGCTCAAAACTTTGGAATCCTCTCCAACTCTTTACTATTCTTCACATGTTGCATCGGATCTGTCTCCAAATTGTTCATTCTAATTCTGTAATATCTCTGGTATCTGTATCTTCCTCTGTATTTCCACTGCCACCACATTAGTTTAGCCTCTTACTTAAATCTCATCTCAACTCATTACCCCCATCAGTCTTCCTCTACTCTAATCTATACTGAAAAGAATATGCCAGATCTATTTTTTTGAAAGGCAGCTCTGATCATTTCTTTTACTGCCAGCGAAGAAAGTCTAAGCTTCTACTAGACACACCTTCTGCATCTAACTAAACTGGATTACTCCCTTTTCTTTGCACCAACCTTTTGCTTTCCTGCTTCCATGACATAGCTCATACTCTCTGGAATTATTCTTTCCCCTCCTCAACCTATCTGAACCTTTATGGCACTTTGTAGCTCTATTCTGCATGTCTCACATTTTTCTACACTGTATCATAGTTATTAGTATGGAATGTACATGAATATTTCTGCTAGACTAAGTTCTTCGAGTGCAGGAGTCATGTCTTATTTATCTCTGTAACTCCCATGGTGCCTTTTCTACAGCAGGTGCTCAATAAAAATGCTTGTTGAATGAATGGGAAAACACATTCATTCTTACAGTCCCCCCAAATCAATGTTATCTAAAATTGCAAGTGACCCCACATACCTGCAGAGGTGCTCACTCACATGCTGCAACACAACAGGGAGCAGGATGATCTGGAAGGTGAGAGCAGGCAGGTAGTGGTAAAGGAATAGCGTCTTCTCCATCATAAAGAAAGGGAGATAGTTTACAGCCCAGCCCCCACAACACACAGTCCCAGCCAATACCCAGAGCGACCAGGAATCTGAGGGAGAAAATTAAGGGAAAAAAATCATCTTAAACTTGTGCCACCAACAAGAAAATGCAGATTCTGATGAGTATTTTATAAATTTAGCCTTGCCTATTCAAACTGTTTAAACTCTCTTTAGACTTAAATATAAAATATCACCAAGTAATTTCATATTTCATTTTCCTTCCCACGCTGCCGTGGAGAAGGAGTGGGATGTTTGGCCAGGGCCCATTTTCTCCATCTTGAACTGATGTAAAATCACTGCCCCAAGGAAGCTCGATCCTCAGGCTGAATGCCACCAAGGGCCTGTATTTAGAAAACTCTTCCTGCCTGTTACCCTGCACTGTAACAGAGAAGACTGCAACAGAGGGTGGGAAATTAATTCCCATTGTTCCTTTGGGAAAACAAAAATAGAAACAGAAAATCCACCAGAAGGAGCCCCGACTTAGGGCTCACCGTACCAAAGCTGTCTGTCCAGCTGTCAGCCTCAAGGTACACTGAACTCTCACTAGAATGAAAAAGAAAGAATATATAAATGAGGAAAAAAATACCTCTACTCACCCTCAGGGATGTCACAGACATTTCTCCTCCGTCTGAGCAGGTACCAGAAAAACAGAAGTACATAGGCCAAAGTAGCGATGTTGGCTGAAGACCAGGTCAAAGCATTTCCAAGCAGATGGATTTGAGCCTATAAACATAACGGGGCATTACTGTAGGCATTTGGTCTTACACATACATGGTGGAGAAAATGATTAAGTAAAAAACTCACTTATTTTTAGCACAATCTGCAAACAGTTCCTTGTCAGGTTTATAAAGGTACTCAAAATGTTCTGCTTTGCAGAATAATAAATGGAGGAGTAAGCTGTATATTTAACGATGGCATCTTTTTCCCCAATATAAATATTTATTAACTAATTTCTACGTGCAATGTACTGTGTCAGGTACTGAGGGCAAAGATAAAATGAAAAAAACAATGAAACCCAAACCAGCCTCTGTTCCTTGAGGAATTTCTATGATAAGAACACACAGCAGCCACCTAAGTATTTTCTGACAAACTTTTTCACAGGACAATCTGAGTGAAGCCCAGTGAAAGTGCAGCTACAAACTCCAGGCCTTTATTATAAGCACTGCGTATGTCATTCCCTTTATTTCAGGTCCAACTTTACTGTAAGTATAAATCTCTGCCTAATTTCTCTGGGTAGGAGAAAGAGAAAAGCAGCAGTCTGGTCTCCATGCTTCAAAACTCTCTCCACATCAGTCCATCCTACATTTGGCTTTCAAACTGATCTTCCTTTAACAAGGGTCTATAACACATGACTGTGTTATAGAGGAAGCTGGGAAACACAGTGGTTAGAACACTGGACCTGGAATCAGGAAGACATGAGTTCAGTTACATACTAGCTGTGTGATCATGGGCAAATTTAAGTGGCACAGTGGATACAGTGCTGGGCCTGAAGTTGGGAAGACCTGAGTACAAATCCCACCTCTGTAGCTTACTGGCTGTGTGACCTGGGCAAGTCACTTAACCTGTATACCTCAGTTTCCTCAATTGTAAAATGAGGATCAAGTAAGACACACAAAAGAAAACAGACCTAAGAGCACAGTATTTGAGAAATCCCCAAACCCCAGCTATTGGGTGAAGGGCTCACTTACTATTTGACAAAAACTGCTGAGAAAATTGGATAGAAGTCTGGCAGAAATTAGATTTAGATCAACACCTCACACTATACACCATGATAAGCTCCAAATGGTTACCTTTCCTAGATATAAAAGGTCACTTCATAAACAAGTTAGAGAAGCTGGGAAGAAATTACCTTTCAAATCTATGAATAGGGGAAGAGTTCATGATTAAACAAGTGATAAGAAGCTAGGAAGAAATTACCTTTCGAATCTATAAATAGGGGAAGAGTTCATGATTAAACAAGTGATAAAGAAGAACCCACAAAATAAAATGGACCACTTTGATTACATTAAATTTAAAAGGTTTTGCACAAACAAATCTAATTAGTAAAAATTATAAGAGAAACAAGTAAACAGGAAAAATCTTTGTAGCAAATTTGTCTGAGAAAGGTCTCATCTCCAAGCTACAGAAGGAATGGATTCAAATTTATATGACTAAGAGTCCTTCTCCAAATGATAAATGGCCAAAGGGTATTAACAAGAAAATTTCAAAGGCAGAAAACCCAAGCTATCAAAAACCACATGAAAAAATGCTCTGAATCACTAATAATTATAGAAATGCAAATTAAAGTAACTTGGAGGATCTGCCTCCTACCTCTAGACTGGCAACAGTAGCAAAAATGGAAAATGACAAAGGCCTGGGAGGGTTCTGGAAAACAGACCTACTTATGCCCTGACCTGATGCAGGCATGCTGGAAAGCAATCTGGAACTGTGCTGCCAATCACCAGAATGTGCCACCCTCTGACCCAGCTATGCCAGATGAGGGCCTATGCCCAAAAGAAATCAAAGAAGAAAAGGACTATATTTATAAAAATACTTATTTCTGTATTCAGCTCTTTTTACAGTAGCCCCAAAAAAGAAACTAAAGAAGTGGCTAAATAAACAGTGGTGTATGAATGTAAAGGAATATTGTATCATAAGAAATAATGAAATGGACGATTTCAGAGGAATCTGACATGATGCAGAGTGAATTAACAGCTGATTTATACAATGATAACAACATAATAGAGAAAAACAACTTTGAAAAATTCTGGTGTTCTGAGCAATGCAATGATAAACCAAGAATCCCAAAGAATGAAGATGAAACACAACACCATTTACCTTCTGACAAGAAAAGCAGAAAGACACATACATTTTCAGACATAACTAATGTGGGAATTTGTTTTACTAGACTATGCAGCTATGTACTGAGAACTTTATTTTAGGGGAGTTTGCAGGTGGGGGGGAGGTGCTTTTTTTTTTCTTTTTTAAATATTCGCAGTGGTGGTGGAGGAAGTAGGGAGCTCCTCACCCAGAGGTAGTGGGAGGGACAGATTTTTTTAAAGAGAGACAAAAGAAACACATGTGGCATAAGAATAGAAGGCATCAATAAAATTCTTAAAATGGGAAAAAAAAAGCCTCACCCCTTAATGTTTGGTGGGAGTGCTCATTCTTAGTTACCCAAACACGCACATTAAAGAGACTCATCGACTTCTGCTTTAAAGAAATATAAAAGCCTGAACACAATACTCAATCACAATGGAGTTCTTAAAGAAAGCATTAAATCATTCATGTGGTTTGCCAGAAGTCTGCATCCAATGTCCCTTCCATTTCCCCACTTACGCTGGTCCTGGGATGTAGCCAGTAGGCAATATTTGTCTCCAGTGTGAGCCATTCCAGGGGTGAGGAGCTGTACTTGTGCTCGGTTTCTTCACTCCTCAATGTCAGCATCTTCCACTAGAATAAAGCAGGTTTGCTAGTTCCTTGATTCAAAACTATAATGTAAGTAATACCATAATCATCAAGAAATTGTTCAAAGATTTCCTGGATCATTTTTACATCAATCAGATCTTTCAAAGGCGTATGGGGTACACTGCGGCTATTCACATGAGCTTGAAGTTCATTCTAAATCAGAGGTATTCAAACTTGTGACCCTCAAAACTCCTGAGTGGGGCCAGAAAGAAATTAAAATGTAAATGAGAAATGTTTAACAACATAAATAAAAATTTAACAGAGATAATGTCAATATAAGCTTTTCTAAATCAATGTTCGCCAGCAGGGATCCGTTTCTACATTATGCAATAGGAACAGGCAACATGGAGCACTAGGCAGAGTTAGGAGCATCAAGGGAATCTAGATATCTGGGTCTTAGATCCAGCTATGTCATGAACAAGCTTTATGACTCTGAGTTAAGTCACTTATCTGTGAACTTGAGTTTCTTCTCCTTATCTATAAACGGCGCTTCTTAAACTGTTTAAGAAGCGCGGTTTATTGATAAGAAGCTCAGGTGACCCCACAGATTTAAAAATTGCAAGCGGAAAAATTTTAAGAAGCCCTGATCTATAAAATGAGGAGACTGGACAGACTAATGATGTCTAAGAGGTCCTTTTCACCTCTAACATTCTATAATTTTGGAATTTTAACAAGCTAAAAGTTTCCATTTCATCAGCTAAAGAAGGAGGTCAAACATATCCTTTGGCAAAGTGTACTGGTTATGGCACAGTTCTAATAAATCTCCCTTCTTAAATATATCACAAATCCTATCTGCAGAAGCTCAAACCATGTATGCAGCAGAATTAAACTGATGGGTCAACAAAGGTTCTGCTTTCTACTTATAATTAAAAGGAAAGGGGGAACACTGGAACTTCTGAGTCTTCAGTTCAGAGTTCACAAGATAACAAATTACTTAAATAAGGCGAAGAAGGCAAGGTTTAGTTAGAAAAAAGTGTTGAATTAGCCAGTGCCCAGCAAGTAGACTGTTTCCCAAGCACACCCTAGCCCATTCACCTGCAGTTCTGTGAATCTGGCCATAAAACTGAGGTTTTTGCTGATGTCAATCTGAGTGGGGGAATGCAATTCCAGCTCTCTCTCCTTTTGTTCCTGGCCTGAAGAGTAACAAAATAGGTTAAGGTCAGTCATCTATGAAAAGAAACTGTTAAACTCCTTTTTTTTTAAAAATCCCACCTCCCTTGACTTCAAATGACTAGTGAGCCAGCCTTGGTCAAAGCTGTATCATTCAAGGTAAACTCCCCTTCAGCAAATTAACAGCTGGGAGAACCATGAATTTATATTTCACTCATGTTTAGGCACTGAAAGAAATCAGCTGCCTTCCCAATGATAATTAAAAAGACCTTTAGTTATTTATAGCTTTGGTTCCCCTTTGCTGGACACAAATGTTCTGTAATTTAGGTAGAGATAATGGGGAAAAGATTTACATGGTAAGAGCAAAGAAAAGGCAGTAGAACTCTCAACAGAATTTAAGAATTCAGCTTTCAAATTTTTTTTTGTACAAAGTACTGTATAGATGAAAATACAGTTTTCCCAAATCAGACGAACTAGACTAAGGTTTTCATTACAAAGATAGATCAGTCATACCAATACAGAATTTGTAACTCACTCATGACTTACTTTTCCCATATCGGTGTTCCTCCACATTCCATACCATGCTCTGGTGATAGCCCTTGGACAATTTTTCACCAATGATCTCTAGTTGCCGATAACCCCAGTCAGGTAATAATGCTCCACTCAGCTTGGGGGGGGGCGGGGAAGGGGAGATAAAAATGAAAGAAGGTATTGTAAAAGAAAAGTTTCCCAAATCTGCCACAACTGGGCTAAAGTGTTAGGGTTACCACTGATTCATTCCCACCCAAAAGAGCGCATCTTATTTTTTTCCTACGATGTCCTCATTTTAGAATTATTTGGACTAATGCCATTACTTCAGATAAACCACAGCACTGAAAAGGCTCATTTTGCCAGCAAATTGGCAAAGACAACAAAAGATGGAAATAGTAGATGTTGGGGGAACTGTGGAAAAACAGACACATTAATACACTGTTGGTGGAACTGTGAAACGGTACAAATATTCTGGAAAACAATATGAAATTATGCTAAAAAGTTAACTAAAATGTCCACATCCTTTGACCCAATCTCACTACTAAGCATATATTCTAAGGAGATGAAAGCCAGAAAGAAAAGTCCCGTGTACACCAAACTATTCATAGAAGTTTTTTTTGTGGTAGCAAAGAACCGAAAATACAGTATGACTGTGAAATGCCTAAACAAACTGTGCTCTAGGAATGCCATGGAATATTACCAAACTGTAAGAAATGATAAATATGTAGAATTCAGAGAAAGACTTAAATGAACTGATAGAGTCAAACAGGCAGAACCAGGAATACACAATGTAATTGGAAAGAGCAAAAAACAGAAACCAAACCCTGTGGAAATATAATGACCATGCTTGGCCCTGAAGAAGAAACAAGAAAATGTACTTCTTCCTTTCTTTACAGAGATACTGAGGACTATGGGTACATAACACTAGACTCAGTTGATGTGCTGGTTAGATACTATGGAAATGCTTTTTTTCTCTTTCTTTTAAAAATCTCTGTTACATAGAATGGTTGTATAGGGGAATGAGAAGGGATATATTCAGGAAAAAAAGGCAATACAAAAACAAAACAGATTGGTAAAAAAGATTTTTGAAAAAGAAACAGAGCCATCTTCAATTTCACAGGGGTAAAAAAATCTTAGCAGTTTTCCTTTACTTTCCTTTACCTCCTTTACTATTGGTGCTCTCTCTCTCTCTCTCTCTCCCTCTTTTTAAGGCCTATTCATATTGAAAAGTAAAGCATGAAGAAACTGAGTACCTACAGCTTGGGAAAAAACGGTTTGGGAAGAAGTCCTTCAACTATGGAACCCTTACCTTCAATACTGCTGAAGTGTTCACGTGTACAAACCGAACTTCTGACAATATGGTCTTCCATATATCTGAATCTGACTCACGGTTTACAATATCCTAGAAAAAAATCAGATCTTTTTGTATTACTTTTGTTTCTCTTTTCCAGGGGCTGAATGATTTTCATACATAGAAGGCTCAAAGGTCTTACATGAGGGAGGCAACATGGCAGAGAGGGAGCTGACCTCAGAGTCAGATAGACTGAGGGGTTCAGGGCCTTCTGCCCTGTACTGGCTGTGTGCCTGAGCAAGTCCCTAAACCTCTCAGTGTCCTTGACAATCTCTCAGACTACAAGTTTCAAACAGACACTGTTCTGCATGATTAGAGGAAGTTTTCTCCGCAGGAATTCCATGTATCAATTAAATCATAGGTTCAGTAGGAAAAAAAGGCTAAAGGCTGATACTCATTAGATCCTACAACCAGCATCCAATGAAAGACAACAAGCGTTTCTTTTTGCTACCACTAGCACCTCTCCTAACACAAATCACTTAGAAGTTGTGTACAGCCATGGCGAATCACCAAGGCCCATGACCCACCCTGCAGACAGGAAAGCACATGAGAGGCCCATTTTAAAGGGTTTTTCCTATTTTACATTTTTGTATTATCTTTTCACAAATGAAGCTCAAGGTGCTGAGCCATTTTAAGAACTAGGCATTTTTGGGGGGGTGGAGGGGAAAGGGAGAGCTTAGGCAATGGGGTTAAGTGACTTGCCCAGGGTCACACAGCTAGTAAGGGTCAAGTGTCTGAGCCTGGATTTGAACTCGGGTCCCCCTGACTCCAGGGCCAGTGCTCTATCCACTTCACCACCTATCTGCCCCAAGAACTAGGCATTTCTTAAACATGTTTAAGTGTAGAAGAGGGAGTGGCAAAAATCCAGGTCATTTGCTGTCAATGCCAGAACTAACAGTAGCACCCGCCTGGCACAAAGCTTCCTGAAGCTGGATTTGACTTCAGTTACTTAAGATGAGCATTTGGCAAGAGAAAAAATATTCTCTCCCTTTGTCTTTTAGTAACCTCATTTCACCTCTATTTTCTAACTGCCTCAAAAGAGAAAATAAAATAAACATGCTTCACAAATGGACTTATGAGTTTTTAAGTAAATGAATATAACTTCTAATTAGAATCATAAATCAGAATTCTTCTTCGTAGCAACTCACATTTTATATAGCACTTTTGATAAAACACTTTCCTCAGAACAATCCAATGATGTAGTTAAGGCAAGTATTATTATCCCCACTTTACAGATGAAGAAATTGAAGCTCTAAGAAGTCAAGTGGCTTCCCTTGCAAGGTTCACAATGCTCAGGTAGGATTTGAAACCAAGCCTTTTGGTTCCAAGTCCAGTGTGCTTTCTACCACACCAAGCTGTCTCTCCACAGGGGTTCAAGTATACTATTCAACTTAATTCAAAAAGCATTTACTGAGGGCTCATTGTCTGTCAGGCACAGGTCAAGGTATTGAGGATGTGGAAACAAAATTGAAACAGTCCCTCCCCTTGAGAAACTGAGCATCTACTGGGCTTGGGCAGGGGGTAAGGGGACAACGACAAAATTACACAGATAAATATACACAAAACAAATACAATTTGTAATCTGGAGGGGCAGGGGAGATGTGGAAAGGCTGCATGCAGAAGGTGGCACAAGGGGAGCTTTGAAGGAAGCTAGGAATTCTAGAAGATTAAAGAAAGGAGGAAGAGCATTCCAGGGACAGCTTGTCCAAAGGCCCAGACACAGGAATATTGTTTCCTAGGGACAAAAAAGGCTAGTCTGCTGATGGCATATAGTGCATGAGATGGAGTAATGGGGAATCTGTCTGGAAAATAGGGTGGAGTCAGACTGTGAAGGGCTTTAAATGTCAAACGTGACAGTTTGTATTTTATCTGAGAATAAGGAAGCACTGGTTTTTGGAGGTACTATTACTTTTAATAACAATTTTATTAACTTAACAACAAAAAACCCTTATTCAACATAATGTCATTCCATATCTGATGTAGTAAAAAGAGCCCTAGGCCGAGTCAGAATTCTCCCACTACTGCAACTCAAAATCTGGTGGTGCCCCTAATTTGATAGCGTTTGTAACAAGTCATTTGGCCCCTCTGGGCCCCAGGTTCTTCATGTGCAAAATGAAAAGGTTGGATTAGGTGCTATCTAGAAAATTCTATTCAACTCACCACTCTCCAAAGGTTCTGTGCTGGCATGGAAATATTATAGTCGATGTAACAGGAAATTTCTTGAGAGTGTGGACTCAGAGGTGCAGCAACATCGTGCCTGAATCAATGAAAACAATACTTTATGGAGAAATTCCTCAGTATGGGTCCTTTGCCCATTTTAAGATAACTTTGGGGAATATTTGTGATGTAAAAAAAAAAAAGGTCTGATTTTCAATGACAAAGCCTCAGGAAAAGGTGAATAAGTTGTTCAAAACTTTTATCGATGACTTAGATACTCACAGATGGCATGCTTCTCTAATTCTCAGTGACACAAAGCCAACAAAGGAATAGTTAACATGCTGCATGACAAAGCAAGGAACCCAAAAATGTCAACAGGTTAAAACACTGTTTCAAAATGAAAATTAACTGTCATGAATATAAAGTCTTACATATGAATTCAAAAAATCAGCTTCATGTATAAGATAAGGGGAGATAAGGATAGAGAACAGTTCATTAAAAATTATTTGGGGGGCAGCTAGGTGGCGCAGTGGATAAAGCACCGGCCCTGGACTCAGGAGTACCTGAGTTCAAATCCGGCCTCAGACACATAACACTTACTAGCTGTGTGACCCTGGGCAAGTCACTTAACCCTATTGCCTAACCAAAAAAAAAAAATTATTTGGGAGTTTTATGGACAAGTTAATTCCATTTGAGTCTCTAATATGATATGACAGCTAAAAAAACAAATACAATCTTAGTCTGCATTGATAGGACAGTGTCCATGGATAGGGAAGTGACAGTACCAATGGCGTCTGTCCTGTGTCATACCATGTTTAGTTCTCTAGAAATCACACTATAGGAAAAGATATGGATAAGATGGATCAGTCATGTGACAAGAGTGAAGGTCAACTGATAGACAGCTATTGTGTCTTCATGATGCCAAGAAAACTTGAGAACGGCTCCATGTACCTTGACAGATCCCCATGTTGTGAATTTATGGAAGGAGATGAATAAGAGCTATATAGGATGGGCAAGGACAAATGGGTGGCAGCCTTCATTATCTGAATAATTACTCCTATTGATGATACTTTTTAAAGCAGAGACAAAACCAAAACCACTCAAATCTGGCCTCAGTAATCTGCACAAATCTTACCATTAAATAGTATTAGACTAAGCTAAATATAAGTCACTTGGTTTGCAGGCTGATGTAGAATCAGAGTCATGGTGAGCCATGACATTCACCAATATGGGCATCTTCCTCACTGGTACAGACCATAACACACTGATATCTTCTCTCTATGATTCTCATCCATATTATTGTACAATTCTCCTCTGGAGGAGCTATTTAAAGGCCTTACCTACTCTGCTGGGGTCTTACAGCATTTTATTCATACCAGTAAAACATTCAGGTTGTCCATCCTCTCACTACATGACTGGCCTACCTCCTGCTCCAGACACAAATATCTTTGGCAAGGTCTTTTATTCCAGTTTTGTATGCAAGTCATTGTTGCTGCTGTGCTGTGTTACTTACCCTTGTTATGAATTATTCCACTGCTGTTTGGGCCAAGTGCAATTCTGAATCTTCCAAGATTGCTGTGTGTCACATAGCACCAACCACCAGGAGAATGAGAAAGGCTTTGGCAGCTGAGGGCACCTGAGGATCACTGAAACTGCAGCAATCCAGCCCAAGCTACCCTGCTTAGCCAGGTCTAAGGTCAGCTCAAAGACTTCGAGCATGTTTAGAAGGGACCTCAGAGGTCCTCGACTCCCACCCACACCTAAACAAGGGTCTCCCAGACAACATGCCCCAGGGGGGCTTAACCAATCCTGACGCTCTAGTCCTGCCACCATCACCTGGAGCCTACTGAGCATTTTAAACTAGAAATCCTACAGGCATCTCAAAATCAGCATGTCCAAAACAGAATTCATCTTATTTTCTCCCAACTCTACCTCATTTTGAACTTTCTTATTTCTGTTGAGGGTATTACTATCCTTCCAGTCACCCAGGTTCACAATCTCATAGCCATCCTCAACTTCTTACTCTTCCTAAAGGCAGCTGATGGTGCAGTGGATACAATGATGGCCCAGAGTCATTAAGTTCTGAGTTCAAATCTGGCCTCAGACATTTACTAGCTGTGTGACTCTGGACAAGTCACTTAACCTCTGATTGCTTCAGTTTCCTCCACTGTAAAATGGGTATAGCACCTACCTCCCAGTGTTATCTTGAGGATCAAATAAGATAACATTGGGAAAAGTGCTTAGCATAGTGTCTGGCACACAGTAGGTACTGCATAAATGCTTATTCCCTTCCTGCTTCCCTTCTTCACCCCATATATCCAATCAGTTTCCAAGCCTTGTCATTTCTACCTTCTCAACATCTCTTGCTTCCTTCTCCTTATCTCTACTCACATGACCATCCTCCTAGTTCAGACCATAATCATTTCTCGTCTAGATAACAGCAGAAGCCTCCTAATTAGTCTCCCTGCCTCCTGTTTCTCCTCTCTCTAGTCCATCCTCCACATTTTCCTGAAGCATGAATCTCACCGTCTCACTCCCCTACACAGCAAACTCTGGTGGCTCTCTATTGCCTCTAGGGTCAAATACACACTGCTTTATTTGGCCTTTAAAGCCCTTTGTAACTTGGCACAAATTTCTCTTTTGAGTCTTGCTACACATTACTCCCCTTCATACACTCTACTATCTAGCCAAAATGTCCTTTTCACTATTCCTCACTCACACACCCCATCACCTTTCTCCACACATTGCACAGGTGGTTCCCTACACTTTCTCTCCTGTCTCCACTTCACTCTGTTGTGAGGCTGGTAGAGAAGGTAGGGTGGGAAGGGTGTGAGGAAAGAAGAGGTTTGGAATAGCCACTGTGGAGGGTGGGATGAAGAATCAATTAGGGAGGAGCTAAAAGGACTGACTTGCTGCAGTGAGAGCTCAGGTGAAGTTAGTTGATAAATGTGTACTGGTTCCAGGCAGCACAATTACATGAGTTCCTTCATCTCCATTTAACAGCACTTAAGTAGGAGTAGAAGTAAATGGTGAAAGTAATCCAGGGGTGGTGTTTGATAAAGCACAAGTGTCAGTAAGAAAAGGGGGACAATTACAAGGTTGAGTTGGGAAGGGAAGAAAGTGAAGCCAGAGCAAGGGTGGTAGCCTGGCAAAGTTCTAAAAGATAAGGGACCAGATGTCATAGTGAGCACAAAGAACAGATTTATAAAGAGCGAGACATAGTGAGAGCTGGAATGATAGGAGACTATGGTCAGATAAAGGAAGATCAGAAAAGAAAAACTGGGCTTTTTTTCCTCGTGATATAAAGTGGGGAGCTGATAATGACATAAAATCAAAAGGTATCAATAAAGCTTCAAAAAAGAATACAACAAAAGACTGCCAAATGCTTTGTTAAAATGTAACTAAATTATATCTCTAATATAAATTATATTTATCAATAACATTCTTTTGACTGACCAATCTAGTAATTGTAAAAAAAAAAAAAAATAAATAAAAAGGAAACAAGGTCAACTCTGGTAAGACCTGCTCTCGATGAGCCAAGCTGGCTCCTTGTTTTTAAACTCACTGATACATTTCGTTTTGACAGAAATATTTCCCAATGAATAGCCTAACAAACTCCACTACAAATTATGCTCCTTGAAAATCAGTTGGATTATGAACAGAAAGGATGTATCCTTTCACTCTGACGGTATGGCATTAACACTGGGCGCTGCATCTGGCTTATCTCAATGTTGACTTAATCACACTGCTGTGGTCACTGCATGTGTGTGTGAGCATTTGGGGCTCTGCTCTCATCACATTCCATCATGGGTACAAGTCTCTCTCTCCATGCTCTCTGAATTCTTCATACCCATCAATATTCCATTATATTCATATAACAGCTTATTTGGCCATTTTCCAATAACTGGCCAAATGTTTGTGTTCTAGCTTTTTATAATCAAAAGTACTGCTGCTGTGATTACTTCTGTACACATGGACTTTTTCTAACCTCTTTGGGGGTACAGTCTTAGTAGCGGGATCTCTGCTTCAAAGGCTATGAGCAATTTGATTACTGTCCCTCTGGAATTCCCAACTGTTTTCAAGAATGACTGAAACAATTCTGCCAGCAGTAAACTAGCATGGCTGTCTTCCCCTGAGCTGTATGTTGGCAATCACCACCTCCTTTTCTAGGTCTTCGGTAGCCATTCTTTTAATAACACACTGCTAAGTGTAGTGAGTACACCTTTGTAATTAAAATGAAAGTAGACTGTGTAATTATAACGACCAAGAGAGGCCCCAAAGAAGAGTTAAGGAAATGCACCTCTCTCCCTTCTTTGCAGAAGTAGGGGACTACACGTAGACTATTCCATATACTGTCAAACTGGTTTGATATGCTGGTTGGTCTTGCTCAAATACTTTTCTCTTCTTTCTTTTTTCCAGGGATAGTTTAGCATATAAGAGATAGGAAGCAGATATTGGAAATGAAGGTTATATAAAAACAAAAGATATCAATAAAATAAAAAAAATTATCATTAGCATTTACATAGTGCTTTAAGGTTTGCAAATCACTTTATGTTGCATTTGAGTCTCACGAGAACCCTGGAAGGTAGGTGTTATTATTATGCCCATTTTTCAGTTAAGGAAACTGAGGTAAACAGAAGTTAAGTCACTGGCCCAGGGTCACACAGCTAGTTAAGTGCCAAAGGCTAGATTTGAACCCAGGTCTTCCTGACTCCAAGTCTAGCACTCTATCTACTGTACCACCTACCTGCTCCTGATTAAAATAAAAAATTTATTCTAGACTTTTACCAGAAATAGAAATCCAACCTAACAGTTTGCAGAGTCAATTATCTTCTGTGTCGTTAAAATCAAGATATCTGTCTTTCCCCAGTCCTGCTCTTTCAAAGACCACTGATAAGAGCTCAGCAATTATATCTCCCAATTTTTTGGGCACCCTGAGTTTTTAGCTCCCCTGGGTCAAATGACTTGAATTCATAAGGGGCAGCTAGGCATTCTCATTTGACCTACTTATTAATCTTGGTTATTGACATTTTATTACCAATATTTGTGCATGCCCTGTTCAGTACGACAATCATTGTCCTTGACAGAGAAACCAGAAAAATAAGAGCCGAGCAGTTCTGCTTCCTCTTCAGTTATTATCCATGAATCATCTGTCCTTGGCTGCCATGCTATCCTTTCTTTCATCTTTTCCTCAATGAAATTTCTCAAACCCCTTGGTGTTCTCCTTAGCTTTCATCACCAGCCTCGGCTCCTCCGGGATCAAATACAAAATCCTCTGGTTTGACTTTTAAAGCTGTTCAAAACCTGACCCCTGCTTTCACCACAGCAACAACAGCCTCCCGGCTGTTCCTCAAACAAGACGCTCCATCTCTGGACTCCGGCAGTTTTCACTGGCTGGTGCCCATGCTGGCAACTTTCAGCCTCCTCATCAGCTAACCCGGGCAGCCTGCCTTCAAGTTTCAGCTAAACTTCTACATCTTTAGAGAAGCCTCTTCCTGTCCTTTCCCCCTGAGACTGTCTCCAACTGATCACACACACATACAAACACACCCTGTATACAGCTATACATACAACTACTTACAAACGATATATCTATATATATAGATATAACGATTTACAAACAATATATACATATCTACTGTTTGTAAACAGTTGTTCATACATTGTCTTACCCATGGAGACTGCGGAGCTCCTAAGGAGGAGGGACTGTTTTTTGTTCTTTCCTCCCCTGCCTTTCTTTGTACTCGTAGCACTTAGTACAGTGCCTGGCACATAGAAGGCACTTAATAAACGCTTGTTGACTGCTGAATGACTGAAAAATAAGAATTGCCTAATAAAGGGGAAAACTATACTGCCATGACAGCTATAGAGCCTGGCTTTCCTTTAATAAACAAGGATTAGAGAACCCTCACAAAGCAACAATACTAAATGACTGAGTAATAAATGCTTCTTGACTTGCCTTGACTCAGAGCTCTAGCACCTGTAACGTCCTTCTTACAGGACTGTGCCAAAGTTTTGTATTCACCCTCCAATCACCTGCTCTAGCTCCCATCTTCTGTACATATCTTAAAAAGTTTAGGCCATTCTTTTTCTGAAGCCTTTCAAATCTGCTCTCCCCAAACTTAGGCTGCTATGTCTGGATTTCTTCTCCTCTGCCATAAAATCAAAGATGGAGCAGTTAACTAACCCCCAGAGTTCCCACCATTTCCACTCTAGCAATTAGTTCCTCTTTGTTCACGAATCAGATCCAGAATAGAAGTTCAAGCAATCAACAAGCATTTACGAAGCATTAATAACATTAAGCCCTAGGTACGGCACTGGGCACATAGATACAAAGAACCAAATAACCTGAAACCACACTTCTAATGGAAGTGACAAGAAGTACACATATAAGTATAAACAGAATAAAGATAGACACGGGCTAGTTAAAATACAAGGTATTTTAGGGAGGGAGCACACCAGTAGTTGGAGGGGAATCAGGAAAGACTTCAAGTAGAAGGTGGCACTTTAGCTGTGGCCTCTATGAGGTGGAGATGAGAAGGCAGTGCATTCTAGACATGCTCAGTGAGATGCTAGACCGTATGTTGTGTGTGAGGAGCCAAGAGAAAGACCATCTGACTGGACTAAACGTGCTGGATGGATTATGAGGCTGGAAAAGTAAGCTGGGGCCATATTGTGAAGGGCATCAACACAACGTCACTCATAAACAGGATCATCAGAAACTTTGTCTCTTAGGCTTTGAACAGGATATCCTCCATGACAGGAGCAAACAGCTTTGGCAGACAAAGGCAGCGAGGTAGCAGAGTGGATAGAGTACCAAGGATGGAGTCAGGAAGACTTGAGTTCAAATCCAGTTTCAGACACTTCCTAGTGGCATGACCCTAGATAAGTCATTTAACCCGTCTGCCCCAGTTTCCTCATTTGTAAAATGGAGAAGATAACACCTATGTCCCAGGGTTGTTGTGAGGACAAATCAGATAATAATTACAAAATGCTGTTAGCACAGTCCTTGGCACACAGTAACCACTATATAAATGCTGACTATTATTATTATTTGCATGTAGAACAGATCCTTAAAGTTATTTCTGTAGTTATGTCTATCTTGTAGGTGGCTTAACATATTCATGAAAGACATCCTGTTAGATGAAAGCACTTAAGGCTCTTTCACTTTGCTGATCATTTTTCAGGCTATTAAAAATGAATGCTAAAAACTACTCCTGTTACTCTTACTCTACCTTACCCATAACATGTAATAGTAAAAAATAAAATATCTTGAGACTTAGTTGCCCTCCCTGACATGAACCTCAAAAGATTAGGACTATAACTTCAGATAACTTAAGCTTTTTAAAATAAATATTCACAGACATATTTGTCTCTAACCCTAACCCTAACCCTAATTGTCTCTAACCCTAACCCTAACCCTAATTGCGCTCTAACCCTAACCCTAACCCTAATTGCGCTCTAACCCTAACCCTAACCCTAATTGCGCTCTAACCCTAACCCTAACCCTAATTGTGCTAACCCTAACCCTAACCCTAATTGCGCTAACCCTAACCCTAACCCTTTTTGAATCCATGTAATATTTCAAGACCATCAAGATGCCCAATTCATTACATGCTACATAAAGCAGAACTTTCCTTTCTCTTAAAAAGTATTTTCTTCAAAGTTCAAGGGATACTCTGTAGTTCTAATACTCCTAGAGCTGTTGAACATGTTATAATTTTATACACCTTAATCACATACATTTCCAGATTGAAGATTCCTAATCTGATTATGCAAATGAAAAGATAGGTACATCAATTAGGAAAATTAAGAAGCCAGAAGCAGCAATTTCTTCCTACTAACTGAATTACATCTGAACAAAAAGGGAACCTGGAGAGAAACAACAAAGGACGAGAACAGTGAATGGTGGGAACACTTACGTATTGAGGAAACGAGTGGTAATTCCATGGACCAGCTGCACAATATCCCCATGTCGTACAGGCCTAGGAGGATTGGTTACCACCAACTGATGCCTAGTTTACAGAAAAAAGAATTTGTATATCCACCCGGAAGGAATAGCTCAGGCTGTGTCACATGACAGCTAGCAAAACAGCTGAGCCAACTAAGCAAGACAGAACTTAACTCACATTAAAGATAAATGCAATTTTGTACCTTTCACGCCAACAGCATCTTTTACATGTAAACAATAGGGGCAAAACAAGTAATTTAATATCATTATTGTTTCCCTACAATCTCCAACTTCTATTCTAGTTTGTAAATAAATAATTAACTTCATAATGAAGCTAGTTATTTCTAGAGAACTTGAGGGTACTTACAAACAGTTTTTTCAAATATTAAAAAAAATTCCCACAGAAATACTATGTTCATTTATCCTATATATGGAGAAGGTTTGTGAAATAAAGTTAAATTTCAGTTCCTATTACTCTTAATACAAATGAGTTTTTAATTTATATTTATGTAAACAAAAGGAGAGTAAAAATAAAACTAAAATAGGTATTTCAAAGTTACAAAATTCTGAAAGTAACTCAAGCTATATTTCTCATATCAAATTCCATTTTGCTTCACATTTTCAAATGGAAAAGGCACTAGATTTGAACTGGGTTCAAATATTTGCTATGCCTTTTATAAGGCTTTTTGTGCTTTAATCACTCTGGGCCTCAGTTTCCTCCTGCATAAAATGAGGGAGCTGGACCAGATCACCTTTAATATTCCTTTTGGCTCTAAATCTATGATTCTAAGATCTTTTCATTTACTACAATTATCCATAGTTTTATGGGTTCTACATCTGCTAGTAACAACCCAACAGAACAGAATTTTTCATTACCAAAATACATACTATGACCATCAAGAAACTACTCTTCTAGTTACCAGACAGAAATATTAAAAAATTCAAAAAGTTCAATTATGTCTATTATAAAGAGATGCTAATTACTATAGAGGACCAAGAGTTTGGTGATGCCCCTGGAAGTTTCCTTTTACATACTCACCTGCCAGGATCTTTTACAATCCACCAGTTATTGACATCTTTGAAGGGATAACAGGTCACCTGCTGCTGGTGGGAGCTGCCTCGGCCATTCTCATACCTAGAGAGGGAGTAATGAACAAAGAACAATAGGATGTTAGCCAAATTAGCAGCCAACCTGCCTTTTCTCTCATTTTCTTTAAATTGGTGAAGGAGCCCCTTTCACACCACTTAACTTACCTGGTTAGTCAACTAACTCTCTCCTGTTGTTCTACACAAATATAAAGCAAAACCTCATTTGTACTGAAAGGTATCAAAGTACTCAAGTTTAATTTTATTTCATTTATTTTCTTCATGTATAAGATACACTAACAAAATAAGCAGGATTGTAGCATTTGAGAATAAACTGCTTTCAAGAATCCCAGACCCTGATTTTCTGGACTTCAAAAATCATGCGTCTGCTGCTATTTCATCCTAGAACTTCCCACAGTGCCTTAGGCCTCCTCATCCCAGAACATCCTATCCCCACCTTGGCCTGCTTATCCTGGAAGATCCCTCTAAAAGGGCCATTTCCCTTTCTCCCATCAGTGTGTTCCTCTGGGAACCTCCATTTGGTGATGGGGCCCAGGCCAGTCAGCCTTTATTCCCTTCCTGGCCTTGTTCCAGATTTTTTGGTCTTCAAAATCAGCCCCCTCCAACTTCCTGTTGTTTTTTAGTTTCCTTTTATGTATTATCTTCTTCCATTAGAATGTAAGCTTCTTGAGGGTAGGGACTATCTTTTTTTGCTTTTTTATTTATTTGCATTTGGATCCTCAGGGCTTAGCACAGTGCCTGGCACATAATAAGCACTTAAGAAATGCTTATTTCCTTCCTTCTTTTAGCTCTCTATAAGCATCCCTTTACTTATAAAACACTGATATGGATAAAATCTTTTTGAGTGGAAAGAGACTGTAGTCTCCTAGTTCAATGCTCTCATTTCACAGAAAAAGAATAAGATGCCCAGAGAGTTTAGAATGTGCTGATTACAATTCATTCAGAGTAAATCTGGCAGAATTTCTACCAGGTAAGAATTTGGTAGACTACTTTAAACCATAACACCTACTTTTCACTACTCCAGACTAACCACCCAATTAATCCAAATTAGCAAGTTTCAGTATATGTCGAGATGATTTGACTTCTTTATTTGATAAATTTAATCTCTACTAGGTTTTCTTAAACAGAGGACCTCATAATATCAGCATAACAAAGTTATTCATTAAATCTTGCAAAATTTGTAGCAGAGGTGGAATTTTCAAAGTGATTAGTTTGTCAGTCACCAAGCTCTAAAAGGCAATTCCGCTCAAACATATTTCTAAGAACGTGAATCTATCTTAAGATGTAAAATGTTCATGTTTGTTACCTGATAGGGTAGGTGTTCTTATGTGAATGAAGCCAGCAGGGCATGGGTTTACCTAAGACATTTCTCAGGGTGATCTGGGAGCCATAAGCTACTTCTAGAGGCTGGCCTTGTGTGATTCGAGCTAATCCACCCTAAAAAAGAAAAAAAAAAACCTAAAAATTTCAATCAGATAGCAACCAGTCCGTAAAAGAGGCTTATAAAGTCATATATTTGTAACTAGCAAAGCTATTCTGAGTGGCTGAAGCATATTTGCTTGGATTTATTTTGATAACTACCTCTGAGGAAATAATAGAGCAATAAGATTTTTGTGCATCCGTACATTTCTGATATTTTACCAGTAAGTTCTGCTCTGCTGAATTAAATGCTTTTTAAAAATAATCAATAGTAAGCACATGACTATGTATATTTGTTACAAGGTTTTTGCTGTTCCCTTTTTTCAAAAGGAAAGGCAGAAGGAAGAGAAAATAAATACTTGCTAATTTCTAAATAATTCTAAAATAAAAAATAAATAGTAAGAACAGTGGGATACTGTAAACTCTACATCTTTCAGTCAGTTATGGGATAATAAAGATGGAGTCTACTGTGGAACACTGCTTGTGAAAAAGCCTATTGATACACTCATTAAATATGCTGTCAATGCATGTGAAAAGTAAGGTTCAAAAAAAATCTACATCTGAGTATTTGCATACTTGCAAGATGAGTCTAAAGTATAACTGAATGCCAGAACAGTGCTGCTCAAAGGTAAAAAAAAATTCCAAAAGATAGATTTGCAGCATTATACCCTGAAATTGCTCAAAGCAGCTGCCAATGAGAAAATCTAACAGACTCTCACCCTTTACTAATACATCAATCAGTACACTTAATGCTTTAGAAATAAAAATGGAGAACTTCCTACCAAGATAACTGCCCTGAACAGGAGGCAAGCCACTCAATTCTTACACACTTACTCCAGCGAAACCCTAAAGTTTACATCAGACTCAACAATTACCAAGAAATTCAAAGAGAAACTACAGTAAATTATTTGTTCTAAGGGGCAGCTAAGTGGAGCAGTAGATAAAGCGCTGGCTCTGGAGTCAGGAGGACCTGAGTTCAAATCCAGCTTCAGACACTTGACACTTACTAGCTGTGTGACGCTGGGCAAGTCACTTAATCCCAACTGCCTCACCAAGAAAAAAAAAATTCTTTGTTCTACTCCAGAACTGCATAAAAAAGGGGAGGAGAGGAATAGGAGGGAAGGAGCTATTGGAGCCAGTACAGAGTAGCCTCCTAAAACAACCAGAGAAGGCTAGAGACATTCTGTGTGCAAGGCTGGGTATCTTGAGGGCAGAGAAGTCCTAGAGTGATCAAGAAGAGGGGAGAAGCAGCTAGGTCTCCTGGTCCGTAGAGCAGATATCCCACGCTCAGAAGCTCTGAGACACCAGAGAGTGTCCTGGAGATCCAGCATTCTGTATCTCAAAGATCCAGGGGGAGGGAATCTGTGGAGGCAGAGATCAGCACAGTAATCCAGGAGACCCAGTGCAAGACAAAACAGGGCTGATTCTTTCACCTGAAAGCACAGCAGGGAGAAGAGCCTGCTATAGCACAAAGCCCCAATGCAGGACTTAAAACTGGAAAAATAAGGGAAGCAAAGAAAACACCATCCAATATGAAAAATGATTGCAAATCTAACTCTTATCAATTGCAAGCAGAGATTCAAAGGAAAAACATCAATTTTTCACACGGACAATACCTAGAAGAAATGAAGCAAGTAATTTAAAAAAGTAAAATAAAAACTCTGTAGTAAAGAACTAGAAAGAGAATAGCTGAACACAGAAAATGGTGAACCTTACCTCAAAAAAAGGAATTCTTGAAAACCAGAATAAATCAAACCAATTAATTATTCCATGAAATTTTAAGAAACATTAGAACAAAATAAAAAACTGAACAGGAGAAAATGTAAGAGACAATAAAATATAAAATCAAAAACAAATGACTGGGAAAACAAAGAGAGAGAATTCTAAAAGCACTGGATTACCTGTCAGCCCTGATTGTTAAAAAGCCTGGACATGATAGCTCAAGAAATCATAAATGAAAATTGCCCAGATCTATTAGAATCAGAGGGCAATATGAAAATAGAAATAATCCACTGATCTTCTCCTAAGAAAAATCCCAAAAGGAAAAATTCCAGGAATGTCACAGCCAAAACCCAGAGTTTCCATGTTAAAGAAAAATCGCTGCTGACAACCAGAAGGGAGCAGCTCAAGTACCAAGAAACCACAGCCACGATCACAAAAGATCTGGCAGCTTCTATTAAAAATAAGAGGACATCTCTGTAATACAATATTCCAAAAGGCTTACAGTCAAAATTAATTTATCCTGCAAAACTGAGTACAATCCTACAGTGGGGAAAGGCCTTTAATTCAACAGGGGACTTTAAACATTTCTGATGCAAAAACCACAGCTGAGCAGTTACTCTGAAATACAAACATAAAAGTTCAGAGAAACCTAGGAACTGGTTAGGAACCTTGGGATATTAAGATGGGTGGGGGAGAAAATGGAGAGAGGGACAGAATTTGGAACTGAACATAATTTAAAAAAACAAAGTATATAAGGGAGTTGTGGTTTGTCCTTCATTCTTGAAGAGGACCATGACATCAGAAAGATGATGCCATGACATGAAACGGACTTTGAGTGAGGGAGAGCTGTGAAAAGTCACCAGCCTCACATTTTCCTCCAGAGCCATCTGGGTCTAGTCAATAGATATAGATCAGAACAACTGGAGATGAGCCAGCGAAGGAAGTTAAATAAGAAAAACACAGATCTTAGAGGTAGATGGCTTGTTACGAGGTTTTAAGACAGGGATAAGAAAGGTAAAAGGAAGAATATATCAGTGTAGAAAGGAATAGAAACATGAAATAAGAGGTGAAGGGGAGTGGGCATCAGATGAACTTTATTCTTAGCCGAAACAAACAAAAAAGAGGGTTGAATATCCCTCCTGCCACAGACAGATAGACAGACAGACACACACACACACACAGACACACACACACACAGACACACAGACACACACACACACACACACACACACACACACACACACACACAGAGTTTGGTGTAAAAATAATATCAAACTCAACAGGAAGCAAGTGGGAATAGGGAGGAGAGTTAAGCAGGACAATACCAGCAACGAAAAAATCACAAGCAAAACAGATTTCCTGATCATGAAGAAAGGGATGAAAAGGGTGAGGAAAAAAAAAGAAAGAAAAACAAATGGAATGGATTTTTTTAGTTTTTCCATCAAATTCTCATTTAATAAAATAAAATTTATGTAAAGCATTTTGCAAATCTTAAAGTGCTATGTAAATGTTAGCTACTATTGTTTAATGATGGTTCCACAGGACAAAATTCTAGGGTTGCTGTTTTAATTACAATGCCATTCCTTATTTCTACTTCTTACCTCCAAACTGGCTTGGAAAGCACTAGACATAATTTGATCATGGGGTCCAGAGCGGTATAGCACCATCAGATGGATGTAGAAAAAAGATAAGTACGTAATTACTGGTACGACCAACAAGGCCACTCCTCTGGCTAACAAATGACATAATACACGAGCCTGTCAGGAGATTTAAAAACACAAGATTACTCCTTCTTGTCAAAGTTAAACTCCAAACTCTGAATTTCTACTATATCTATTAATTGTATTCCCACTTGGGAAATATAAAATGCACAAACTGTAATGATCTATTTTTTTTCTTATTAAATAAACTGGTAAGGTGCACTTTAAGCAGCTGACAAACCATATTCACATCAGAGCACTGATATATTTTTGTGATACTTTATGTGAAACTATTTTCTAGCCAATAAATCCGATAACCAATGGATTTCAGTACCTACATTTGATAAAGCTTGGTCTCCAATCAAATGCCAGGCATGGACTGAAGCAATGGTAAGTAGTAGTATATAAGTGAAAAGGCCCATATATTTTATCCTGAAAATACACCACAAAGAAATAAAACTGGGATATAAGAAGTAAAGTGGAGGAGGCAAATCACATCTAAATAAAAGAAATGAACTTACCCAACTGCACAAGAACAAGAAACTCCAGTCAGGATTAGCCAAACCCACCAATTCACAGAGAATGAGCTAGGAGGAGAGAACAAAAACATGAAAACAAAAACTTTATTCTTGTCAAAGTTACATAAAGATCAAAGATGACACAGAGGGCTTATTTGGGTATTTGGGTACAAATTAATACCAAGTACAACAAACACTTCACAAGTCTCTATACCCAAACCATCCTAGAAGGATTTTTCCCTGTGCAGAATTTCCCCAGTTGAGTACATGTTATAGATGAAGCAGAATAAATTCTTAAAGTGAAGGGCTGTCTATAAAGTCAAACGTATGAACTAGGTTAAAAAAAAAAAGCTAGAGTAAAAACATGATACGGGGTGTCCCAAAAGTCTTTGTTGTTGTTCAGCCATGTCTGACTCTTTGTGACCCTGTATGAGGTTTTCTTGGCAAAGATAATGGAGTGGTTTGCCATTTCCTTCTCCAGTGCATTAAGGGAAAGAGAGGTTAAATGACTTGTCCAGGGTTACGTAGCTTAATGAGTGAGGTCAAATGTGAACTCAGGTCTTCCTGACTCTATTGCAGGCCACTTGCAGCCTGTCAAAGAATTTCGGGGGGCCTGAGAAAAAATGTAGAAGAGGTAACAGAAAGTAAAGATGTAACGAGCGCTTTGCCCATGCCCTTCGCTTAGCCTGCCTTCCACTAGTCACTACTGTGCCCACCATGTAACTGGGTGGGCAAGTTACCACTGCCCATGCTTTCTTGTTTGTCACATGACCAATGGCAATCAATCATCATCAGTCTGTCTCTAGTCTGAGAGGAGGGAGAGTCATATCTTTTCGCTGGGTTTTTGGTCCTTACTAAATGTAAACAATAAGAAAACCTAAAAAATATATTAAAACTTGTACCACTTAGCAAATTAATTTTAATATAAATGTGATTTCATGATAAATAAAAACCTTAGGAAATAAGTGTAATTAATTGAAATTTCCCTTTTTTAAAAAAATATGGTTTATTTGCAAAATAGTTTAATCATTAATTATATCTTTACTTGGAAAGTGAGCCGCTAAAAACCTATCTGCGGCCTGAAGAAGTCTGGCCTATTTTAATTTTGGCCCCTACCTACTGCCAAGCTGAGCACATCTGCTCTAGACCCAGTGTTCTTTTCCCTGAGCTGCCTAGCTGCCTCCAAGGCAAAGAGAGGTTAAGTGACTTGCCCAGGGTCACACAGCTAGTTAGTGTCTGGGGCCGTATTTGAACTCAGATCTTCTTGACTCCAGGCCCAGTGCTCTATCCACTGTACCACCCAGCTGTCTCTCCCCAAAGTCTTACTGTATTGTAAAGCTTTAATAACCTCTAAAGATAAACAGTACAACCTTACAAAAATAACACCCCAATGTTCAAAACGTAAACTATTTAAAATTTAAAATATTGATGTTTCTTATTAAAATTCAGTATAACTACCACTTTGTGATAAACATTGCACTAGTCAGTTCTAGACTTTGTAAAAACTTTTAACTGCTGCTCAGCGAATAAAAGGTTTGTAATCCTAGCCTTAAGATCACCAAAGAACATGACAGTTTTGACATTACCCCCCAAGAAAAAGTGTCATGAAGAGAGATCAGGTGACTGATGACGTAAAGCAAGTGAACCTCCTCTACAGATACACCTTCTGAGAAAATGTCATCCAGAAACTGTCAGACATACAATACATAATAATAGGGTGCTCCATCTTGTTAAAATTTTAAAAATTAATTATCTGAAATGCATAAAACTAAATAAGTATAAAAGAAATTTAAATAATTACTTTCAAATTACTTTTTTTATAAGTTTGCAACATTTATACTACTGAATATATTAATGCTTAAAGATGCACTAAGATTTTAGGGATTCTGTGTGTGTATGTATGGATATATATTATATAAGAATACACATGTAGTGTACATATGGTTAGCATAGGGGCCAAGTTCAGAAGGTGTGAATAATGTAAGCACTATAAAAGAAAGATAAAATATGCCTATAAACATTACCTAACACAATTTGAAAACTAACATTAAATTAGCAAGCATGCTCTCAAAACACAAGATACTAAAGTTCAAAAGGAAAAAGCAATATATGGATCATTTCTATTAAAGAAGGATTCATCAAAGTAACCTTACCTGTATTTTTGGGAATTGGAGAACTTCAAGTAGGACAATACAGCCAGGAGATTAAAAAAAATTAATAATGACTCCAATAGCATCAGCCTAGACTGAGTAATCAAAGAATTCTCTATTATAAGGAGAAAAAAAATAAAAACAAACTATGATCAAATTTCTGAAAATGAACCCCAAACATTTGGGATTCTTTTATACTTTCTTATCTCTATACCCTACTCACCAAAGTGGCTTTTCCAAAACTTTTTATTCCTTCTCAAACTTCCTATGGCTCTTCCTTCCCCCACCCTCTCAGCAGAGAAAATTGCCTATTTCACTGACAAAATTGAGGCAATTAGCTAACAGCTCCTTTTCCTTCCTTCTTCCTCATGCCACATCACTCAGATGCCTTCTGTCACTGTCTCCATCTTGACCCATCTCATATGAAGAGGTGGCCCTCCTCCCTGACAAAGCAAATCACCCTACCTACACAAACAATCCCATTCCTTTTCATCTCCTCCAGTAGAATGCCTCCCTACCACCACCTCTCTGAGTTATCTTCAATTGTTCCTTGTCTACTGGACGCTTCCCTAGTGCCAATAAACCCGTCCACAACTTACCTATCCTCAAAAAAACTCTCAGTTTATCTATCATCTCATTTCTTTCCTCCCTTTCGTGGTTAAACTTCTTGAGAAAGCTGTCTACAATGAATGCTTCTACTTCCTTTCCTCTCACTCTTTTAATAATCTATAACATGACTTCTAACCTCATCATTCAATTGAAACTGCTCTGTCCAAAGTTATCAATGCTCTCTTAATTGTCAAATCTAACGGCCTGAAGCCAAGATGATGAAGCAAGCAGAAAGAAGTAGAGTAAGCTCTCCACTATCCTGTGTCCCATAATGCCTCCAAATAGATCTAGAAAAAACACACTAGACTGAATCCTGATTTGGAAATTCAAGAAAAAAATTATAGTGAGTCATTATTCCAACCCAAGTTGGCACAGGCTTAGGGAGCCAGAGAAGTCTTCAGATACTGGGGATAGGGTCTGGCCAAAAGCATGCCCAGGGGAAGCACTCCAGCGTAGGGAAAGGGTATGTATGCAATAGGGTAAGAGGCAGCTCCGGATGCAACATAAAGGAGCCTAAAGGGGTATACAGTACAAGGAGTCGCTCACTATCCAGCTCCAGTCACAGATTCAGCGTGGACGGAGGAGGAGACCTGCACCTAAGGGTTACATTGCCGGGTGAGGAGCAATCACTGGCCCGAGGCTGAATACCAGACAAGAAGCCAGTTCAGAGGCAAGCAGCAGCTGTGTGGCTTGGACCCCAGGATGGAGTGGGGTCTTGTTTCATCTGCTAGCCCTGCTTATACAGGAATAACCAAACCAAAGTGAAGCCTAAAGTTCCGACCCTCTGAACCAGAAGAGTTTCCCAGCATCTACCAGAATTCCACAGCAGACAAGTCCGCAGGCCTATTGCTTAAACCCGAACCCTGGAAAGGAACTTGTAAAGCCCAGACCAGAGAGCACTGAAGGCTTGCAGATTCCTAGCCTGAGCTATTCCAGGGATCCTAGAATAATACATAACTCAAAACTCCAAGAAAGCAGCATCAGGACCAATTCAGATATTCCCTCCGAAGTACCTAAAGCCTGACCCTAACATAAAGTCCAAAGTCAGGAAGTAGACTAGAAGAATGAGCAAACAACAACAACAAAAAAGAAACCTGACATTAAAAGCTGTTATGGTGACAGCTTTCAGACACAAACCCTGAAGAGAATGGCTACAAAATATCTATAAGTGAAGCTTCAAAGAAAAAAACAACTTGAGCATAAAATCAATTAGAATTCTTAAAAGAGATGAATCAAGACTTTAAGGATATTTTTACAAATGAATTGAGCTTGAACTAGAAGGGAAAACTGGAAAAGACAGGAGCTACTCCAGGAAGAAGCAGAATGAGAATTAACAGCTTGGCACTAAAGGTACAAAATCTTATCCAAGCAACAAACACCCTGAAACTTATAATGACCAAATGAAAACTAAAGACTCCATGAGACAACAAGAAAAATCAAAGTCAAAAGATTGAAAAAAAAATAGAAGAAAATGTAAGGTTTACCTCATGGTAAAAACAGATTGAGGAAATGTAACTGAAGAATCACTGGACCATGAATGCCAAGACCAAAAAAGAGTCTAGACATCATACTTTGAGAAATCATTAAAGAAAAATGTCCCTCTCTCTTAAAGCCAGAGAAGAAAACGGAAATAGAATTTATTGGCCACCTCCTGAAAGAAACCTCAAAATAAAAACTTCCAGGAACATTGTAGCTACAATCCAGAGTTTCCAGGTCAAAGAAAAAAGACTGCAAGCAGCAAGAAAGAAAGAACTGAACAACTAGGGAGCCACAGTTAGAATCACATGTGATTTAGCAGTAATGCATGTAAAAGAAGAAAGAGCTTAGAATATGGTATTCCAGAAGGCAAAGGCTTAGGCCAAGAACAACTTACCCAGCAAAACCGAGTCTAATCCTACAGGGGAAAATGGATCTTTAATGAAAGAGGATTTTCAGGCATTCCTGAAGAAAAAGACCAGAGTGACACAGAAACTCTGAAATACAAACACATGAATCAAGAGAAACATAAAAAAGATTTGATTATATTCTTTTTTTAAAAAAGTGATTACATTCTAATATGGAGAGATGATACACATGTCCCCTCAGAACTCCGTCATCATCAAGGATCATGAAGAGAATCTAATTAGACAGAGCCTGGAAGCAGTTTTGTTATTTTTTGATGATCTTAAAAGAAGAAAGGAAAGGGAGAAGACTATATTAAGGGAAAGGGAGAAGGTGGTTAGGGAAAACTATCTTATATATCTTCTTATATAAACAGGATGTACAAACAGAGTCTATACAAACATTGAGAAAAGGAGGGGGAGGGGAGGTAGATGACACTTGAACCTGTTATCTGATCTGGTCAAGGGGGTACACACACAGAGTGGGCCCAGAAATACATTTTACTCAACAGCAAAACAGGAAGGAAAGGGAAGAAGAAGAGAGAATAAGGAGGCGGCTATATTAAGGGAAGAAATAGTCCTAAGCAAAACAAACCTTAACTAAGGATGGACAAAAATATTTAAAGAAATGGAAACTAAGGGGGTGGGTGCCCATCAGATGGGAAAAGGCTGAACAAGTTATGCTATATAATTGTCATGGAAATGATGACGGGGATGGTTTCAAAGAAACCTGGGAAGACCTGTTTGAACTGATGCAGAATGAAATGTGAGAAACAGAACCAGGAGAACCATTTGTACAATGGTTACAGAACAGTAAAGACAAATAACTCTGAAACACTCTGATCAGTGTAATAACTAACCACAATTCCACAGGAGTCATGATGAAGTATAATACCTACCTCTTAATAGAGAGCTGAAGGATTCAGAACGCAGAATGAATTTTTAGACATGGCCAACACAGAAATTTGTTTTAACTATCCATGTTTGTAACTGTGTTTTTGTCTTTCTTTTTCAGTTGGGTGTGGGAGAGAAAGCAGAGTTTTGCTCATTTAAAATTTTTAATTAAAAATTTTTTAAAATTAAAATTATTTTAAAATATCTAATGGCTTTTTCTCAGTCTTTATCCTTCTTGCCCTCTCTGCAGTCTCTGACACTGTCAATCACCCTCTTCTCTTTGAAACTCTCTTCTTTCTAAGGTTGTGTATCCCTAGTCTAGTCTGGTTTTCCTTCTACTGTCTTGATCTCCTTTGCTGGATCATTATACAGGTCATGCCTGAAAATGATGGGTGTCCTCTAGGGCTGCCTGGGCCCTCTTCTCTTCTCCCTCTGTACTATTTCACTCAGTGATCTCATCAGCTACCATGGATAAAATTGTCATCTCTACACTGATGATTCTCAGAACTACTTATCCAGCCCTAAGCTTTCTCCTAATACCATCAATTGGACATCTTGAACTGGATGTCCTGCAGACAAATCAAATTCAACATGTCCAAAACCAAACTCATTATCTTCCCCCCACCCCAACCCTCCCCTCCTCCAAACTTCCTTATTATTGTCAAGTGAATCATCATCTTCCCAGTCAACCAGTCCTGAAACCCACGTATCATCCTCAACGTCTTACTCCCTTTTACTCCTCGGCTCCACAACCAATCTCTTGCCAAATCCTGTCAATTCTACCTCTGTAACACACTGTATGGGCTCCCTATATAGGCTGACACCGCTATAATCATAGTGCAAGCCATCATCCCCTCGCCCTTGGACATCTACGACAGCCTGCTGGCTGGTCTCCCCGCCATAAGTTTCTTTCCCATTCCCTTCCATCCTCCCCTCAGCAGTCAAAATGATCTCCCTAAAGTATCACTCCCTTCCAGCCCCCTCCCTCCCAAACCCAGAAACTCCAGTTGCTTCCTATCACCTCCAGGATCAAATATAAAATCTTTTGTATGGCATTTAAAGTCCTTCATAATCTGGACTCTTCCTACCTTTCCAGTATTCTTATACCTTAACAGGTATTCTGTGATCCGATGACAGTGGCCGCCTTGCTCTTTTTCATATGAGACACTCCATCCCCCTTCTTGGGGTATTTTCACTGGTTCCCCCAAGGCTTGGCTTCCCCTTCCTTCAAGTCCCAGCTAAAATCCTACCTTTCATAAGAAGCCTTTCCTGATACCCCTCAATACTAGTGGCTTCTCTCTGAGATTATGTCTGATTTATCCTGTATATATCTTAATTGTCCATTGTTGTTTTCATGCTGTCTCCCCCATTAGATTGTGGGCTCCTTCAGAGCAGGGACTGTCTCTTGCCTTTCTTTTTATCCCCAGAACTCAGCACAGTGCCTCAAACATAGGTATTTAATAAGACTGACTGACTTTAACAAGACAATAGAACTTCATTTCATTTGTGAATAGGCTTGAGATGATTTAAAAAACACAGAAAAGAAAGTCTTTATGAGAAGTATTTGTTCATTCATTACTGTTTAGGGAAATTTTGAGGAAGGCAGACATCACCATGGATGTAAAAAATATTGCTGAGAACTGATACATGTTCCTATGTGTACCTTATAACTCACCTTTTAGGCACCATCAAACTAGCTTACTGGGCCTTCTGCAATTTCTCTGATTGTTGATTATAAAGTGCAGCAATCCCCAACTCCCACTCCCCAAAGTTGGAAAATGAAACCACTAGCTCTTCTGTGAAGTTCTTGAGGTTAAGTCATCCTTTGGGCTTACTGTCAAACATTTTGGAAACAAAGTAGATGGTGCTACAGGGCAAACACAAATGAATGAAATTCAACCCGCCCACATCATGTCTAGTTTAAGCTGCTGAACTCCCTTTGGAAATGTGATAATGTTCTATCCAGAATGACTCAATATACCATTCTTACCTATTAGAATCAGAAGTGCAGCTCCAAGAGCAGCGTAGTGGGAAAAGTGGAGTTCTAATACAATCTGGTAAGTTAAAGGGACACAAAGGGCCCCTGCTAGAGCTGGCAACAGGCGCAAAGACCACACTGGCACATTATTACTATACTCTGGAAAAGACAACCAAATATCAGCATGCAGACTGTAGCAGAAATGACCTTAGCATATAGCAGGCACGTTTTCAAATGGAACAATGGCTAAGTATTTACAATAGCCAAAACACAATTTTCATGATTTTGGATCAAGGAAGCAACATACAAATCAGTGGTCATTTATGTTTTGCAATTAACAGTGGTCATGCAATAGAACCACTCGTCATGAGAAAAGGGAGGATGACTGGGGATTCAAATATCCCTTACTATGCTTTTTCAAGAAGTCGTATAACCCTCAACACTTCAGATTTAACATTTCACTGAGGAAAAAACCCACATTGCCAGTTTTTTAAAAGTTATTACCAATCAATTCCAGTTTGTGGAACATTTAATAAAGAATAAGTTGAAAATGAAAAATAACCATTACCTGCTCCAATCCTGTTCCATAAAAAGTTGCCATCAAATCCTCCCAAATAACCTAAAATATAAGGCCAATTCATCAATCAACATTTGTTATTATGAAAAATAGTAACTGGAACTTACATAATGCTTTAAAGTTTGCAAAGTACTTCATATGAATTTTCTTATTTGAAACTTGTAACAACTTTCTGAAGTATTACCCCCATTTTACAGATAAAGAAACTAATTCACCTGAACTGTCTATCATCCAAGGTCTTAGCAACTTGGTAACAGCCATAAACTTTAAGAGTGTATGTTCTCATGTATCCCATTACATATTCTGATCATCCAAGTCCAAGAATAAATTAAGCCCTTGTGGTTTCTTCTTCTAGAACATTCTAAATTACAATGAAAACTAAATCAACCTTATCTTTTCCTGTACATTTTCTAACTGAGCATGTAGATGTTCAAACTTTAAAAACCACTGAGAATGTTCTTTTATTGGCTTTTGTTTAACATTTTTACTTTGTAGACTAGGCTAGAAATAAATTATAGGGCATGAATTGCCCTATAAATCTAGGCTCAGGTTTTCTCTAGTGAAACCTTATGATCTATAACCCATTGATTCCAAGAAGTTTCTTGAAAAGATTTTATAGGATATAAACTCCATCTCTCAGCTGATAACTCTGCCTTCAACCCTAAACCTTAAGGACCATAAGCTATCAGCTTCTAACTAGTTTAAGTTATACAAATGAGAGGTTCTCATTTTATTTTACTGAAAGTAAAAGACTGAGTATTTCCTCCTTACTAAGACAAAACTTGAGAAAGAAAAACTAACTTTTTTCTTAGGTTCCAAGGTCAACAGATATGTTTCAACTATTGTCAAGGCTTACCTCCAAAAGCAAGCAACATGTGGCCAAGTGGTGGTCCACTCCCGTCCACAAAAAAGATTTGCTTCATGTAAAGTGATACAAATTGCCCATAGTAGACTTCATCAAAGCTGAAAAAAAAAATTTAAGAATAGTATTACATCTAACCAGAATTTTCAGATGTGAATTTAACAATGCCTATAATGTATTTGCACAATGCAAAGTTTTGCTGATTCTACTTTTTCAACATTTCTTACATCCATTTCATTCTCTCTATTTATACCATAACTAACCTAGTTACAGCTGGCATCCTCTTTTGACTAGATTACTGCAATAGCCTCCTAATTGGTATCTCTGCCTCCAGTCTCTATCCTCTACAAAACTGCCAAAATGATGTTCCTGCAGTATTGTCTAGCCATACACTCCCCTGTTCAAAAAGCTTCAATGGCTCCCAGTTGCATTTGGGATAGAAGACAAACTCCTGTTTGGCATTTAAAGCCCTTTACATGCTGGATCCAGTGCAGGACGGCAACACTCCTTGCTCCCCATGGCCTTCCCAGGTTCTCCCCATCACAATCCTTTGAGAACCTCCTCTGAGGTCCATACAATCTACATTTATTACCCAATCAAAATCCTGGTAGTTGTTGTCCACAGACCTCCAGGACACTCCCCTTCCTCTCTCAATGAGCTCAGTACCTGGCTCACAGTTCTTCTCTCTTTCCCAACTCCTACCCTTATATAAGAGGAATTCAACATACATATTGACACTCCCTCAAATACCCTAACCTCCCAGTTCCTCAACTTACTCATTTCCCATGACCTAGTCCTCTACTCCCCCTCAGCCACACACAAAGATGGTCGAATACCTTTGATCTTACCTTTACCCATAAATTCACCCACTCCATGTTGAGGAACATCTTCTGAAATACTCTTATCTGATCACGGTCTATAAACTTTCCACTTCTCCCTCCGCCTTCTAATACTAAACTCTGTTCTTTGTCCACACTGTAACCTCCAATCACGTGACCCTTCAGTTCTCACCCAGGCCATCACCCTTGTACTGACCACACTCTCCTCCTTTCCTCATCCTGACCCCCTGGTGAATTTGTTCCAACTCTACAGTGTCCTCTTCTCTGAATTCCTTGTCTCCTTATCATATCACCAACTGGGCTCTGCCAAGACCCAGTCTGGGGTTCGCTACCATTTGTTGCCTTCGTTCCTACACACGAGCTGCTAAACAATGGTGGAGAAAATCACCCATGTGTTCTGATTGGGACCACTACAAATGTATGTTATCTAACCTCAACTGAGACCTCACTGCTATCAGGCAACCCTTCTACACCTCTCTAATCAACTCACTAACCCACTCTCCACAGCGGCTCCTCCACACTTCTTTATTCCTCCCCAACCTCCCATAGCTTCTGCCATTTTACTGAAGAAAAATCAAACAAACCTGAGACTATTTCCTGTCAGTCCCCTCTTCTTTCCTCCCATCATCATATTACTCTCACACCTTCTGCCACTTCTTTCACCTTCACCTCTGTCTCACATGAGGAGGTAGCCCTTCTTCTTGCCAAGGCTAATTCCTCTAACTGCACAAGTGAGCCCATTCCATCCCATCTCCTCCAGCACACTGCTCCCTCTGTTAATCCCACTCTCACTTACTTTCACTCACTCCCCGTCTACTAGCTGCTTCTCTACTCCCTACAGACATGCCCGGGTCTCTCCTATCTTCAAAAAGTCCTTACTTGAACCATCATCAATAACTACAGTCCTATACCTCTCCTGCCTTTTTTGGCTAAACTCCTTAAGAAGACTGTCTATATGCCACCACTTCCTCTCTTCTCGCCCTCTTAACTCTCTTCATTCTGGCTTCCAACCTCATCATCAACTGAAATTGCTCTCTCCAAAGTTACCAATTGTCTCTTAATTGCCAAATCCAATGGCCTTTTCTTAATCCTCATTCTTCTTGACCTCTCTGATGCCTTTGATACTGTGGATCATTCTCTTTTCCTTGATATTCTCTTCTCTCTAGGTAGTCAGGGCACTACTCTCTCTCCCTCTCTCTCTCACTCTCTCTCTCTCTCGTTTGTTTCTCCTCCCTACCTGACTGCTTCTTCTGGTTCCCAGCCCATAACTGAGAATGTTAAACCCTGAAGGATATCCATTACCTGCTTTTATCCAATAGGACTTATGATTATTGTCCTGTTGGAAGTGATTTTTTAAAAAATTAAGTTATTCATAGGAAATTACTATACTTGTGACTGTATCATTCTTGCAGATAAGCAGAAAATTTTAAAACAGAGATCCTAGGCCAATAAACCAAGTTTTATTACCAAGGCAGTAACTTTGTAGTCCTACAAACTAGGTCCTGTAAATACAGAACAAAAGTATGTGAAACTCGGCACAGTTCTAAGTATAGGCGGAAAAATAGCATTACCCAGGAACATTTTGTTTACTTTTCACTCATTCAAAAAACATTTATTGAACGACTCCGATGTGCTACTCTTTGTTCCTTTTCTCTAGTTTCTGTTATTATGATGACCCTTCTCCCTAAGGCCAGCCCCCTTATATGCTGGATTAATCCCATCCTCCAGTGTTTTCTAACTGATTGCTCCATCAAACATGTGCTCTCTCTCTCTCTCCCTTCCTTCTCTTTCCCTCCCTCTCCCCTTCTCCTTCTTCCTTCCTTCCCTCTCTTTCTCCCTCTCCCTACTGGATAATAGGTAATGGATATCCTTCAAAATTTAATACTCTCAATTATAGGCTGGGAACCAGAATGCTCAGAAAGAATAAAAAAATTTTTATTCAACATATTAAGTTCCACATACCATTGTTTTATGTTGATAAGATCTAATTTGAAGGGTTTATGCTGGCTTATGAACAAAACTGGTCCTGATTCTCACTTTCAAAGACATAAACTGGATGAGAATCATTTCTTCCCTTTGACATTTTTTTTAAAAGGCATTTTTCACACAATCAAGTCCTGAAACAAATGCAATTTACTTTTGCTAAATTCTGGAATTTGAGAGATGCGGAAATTGGCTTACACTACTGCCCGTGGATAGGACAATCTCCACAATCGACTCAACAAAGCTACCACCGTCAGAGCCACTAAGTTCAAGTTGATCTCTGCAGTTACAAGAACAGGGCGCTTCAAAAATACTAACATCGTGTGGGAAGGTAGATTGAATCACCCTGTAAAATGGAAAGAAACAAGCCACAGTCAGCAAATGGGAGCCCACAATCAAAGAGTTAAAGCCTGGGGAAAATGCTTTTTAATGGAATCACATATGATCAGGACAGTACTAAACATACAATGACACAATGAATGAAATAAGCTTTGTCCCTTAACCTCTCGAGGACCTAAGGACAAAGACAAATGAGTTATTATCTGCATTAATGGGGACATGTGGTGAGAATGCAAGCTCCTTTAGGATGGGAACTGTTTGGCTTTCTACCTACAGGACTGAGCACAATGCCTGACAAAGAGTAAGCACTACATAAATGTTAATTGACTGGATGAAGTCTGCATACTAGGGATTTCTCCTCACATATTAAATCGCTGATCCAAACCAAGAGGAAAAAGGACAGGTTCAGATAGGAAGAAATGTTATAATGAAAGGGACATTAGACCAGGGGTAGGGAACGTGCATCAGACTAACAGAAAATCTGGGGTTCTCATTCTGGCTCTGCCATTAATAAGAATGTGTATATTTCAATTTTTCAAGGATGCATGATTTCATCAGTATAAGGTGCAGATCATTACCTTTACTTCTTTTACTAGATGGGCCTAAGTTACCACAGCCAACCTTCTATATGAGATGATGTCTGCTGCAAAGTTGCTCCTCAGTCAGTTCCTCATTGGTCAATAATTGAGGTATTCCCTGTTTGGAATTACCAGAGCCTATGCTTTGTCAGCTTGGCCAGAGTAACCAGTGAGATGATGCACAGGAGTGAGACTTTAGACTGAGTCATAATAGCTGATTGCTGTCCTCTCTCTGTCGCTTTAAGAGCACTTTATAGACACCATCCTAAACAACAGCCAGCCTTGTATGGTAGTTGTGCAAAGGTTATTATCCCCATTTTAGAGATGATGGTCAGACGAAGCATGGAATTAGCTGACCTCTAACTCCTGCCTCTGACACATACATAATGGCTTTCTGACCTCTGGGCAAGTCACTTAATCTCGGTGGTTAGACAATTCTCTAAAACAGGGGTTCTTAAATAGCAAAAAGATATTTCCAGAGTTCTGCAGCCTATTACTTCTTTCTATGGGTGACATTTCTATTTTGTGATTTCTGCTGGCGACAAAGTCAACGGTCCTGCTAATACTACTTGAGGGTTTGCTGCCTACCTTAATAATGGAAAGAAATGCCAAATTTCGGTTAGAGATTGTGAAAACACAGGAATAACTTGGTTTGTTTCCCCCCATCCCAGTTCACAAACCCCTGAAATCCATACACAGACCCGCGGCCCCCAGTGAAGAACCCCTCCCTGCTTCGATGCTGTCAGCTGCAGAGAGGGTGCCAACCTGCGCTGATGGAGCGTGTCTTCCCCCGAGAGTTCCCTATGCCAAAGAAATCACAAGTCCGGTGCCTACTTATGAGGAAACTGAGGCTCGGAAAAGTCAAGTGACTCGCCCGAAGGGGTCACCGGCTGGTGAATGGGTGAGCCCGACTTCGCCCCTGAAGAGCGGCCGCTGCCGCCGACTTCTGCTGAGACTCCCCCACGCGCAGTCCCATCTGCTCTGCCTCGCTTTCCAGACAGTCGCTTCCCCCCTCTGGGCCTCAGTTTCCTTCTCTGTTCTGGGGGGGGTCTGGGTGAGGCGGTCTCTACCACCTGAGATTCTGGAGCGCAGAGGACGGCGCCGGCCTTAAAATCACCCGTACGAACATTTAAGGTTAAAATCACCGAGCTCGGGAGCTGACTCCCGCGTCCACGCCCTCGCTCGCTCCACGGAGGAACCTCAGCAGATAATCCCCTAGACCCTGGCATCAGGCTCGATTAGCTGCGCCTGCGATACGGTCCAACGGCCGCGACGCGATAGGTCACGTGGGCATCGCACGCTGTGCCTATTCGGCCAAGCAGACAACGCGCTTGCGAAAAGCGAGTGGCGTCCGTCGCGCATGCGCACAAGCAAGACAGACGCCGAGTTTCCAACCCTCCGCCCCCAAACCTGGAAGTCTATTTATTCGTGCACACACCCCCCCCCCAATCCACCCCGTGACCAGGACAGGAGAAAACTGCACACACCCAGGGAGTAAGGAAGCTGCTGTTTGGGGCTCACGCTGCCCGTAGTGGTTCTGTATTCCATTTTGCGGTCATCTTTCGAAGCAGTTTTACAGGGCTGCCTGCAGGTCGAGCAGGGGCCCGGGCTCACCTCTGAATCTCTGCTTGGAACCTCTGCCCGTACTTTGCACTGTACCGAGTGTTTTTTGTCACCCTCGCTTTAAGCCGTCCTTCCGACCCACTAACAGCGCAGCATGCAGGCAGCGAGTAGCCCCGACAGGACGCAGCGCGAGGTGCCTCGGCCATCCTCTGCCAAGATCTTACTCCCATACCCCTCCCTGCTTTCCCGGTGACCTTTTGTCTAACGAAGGTTTGGCCAAAACATGAATGTTGAGTGCAGGCCAGAGGACAATTTTATATTTATGTTTTGACCCCCTTTATCTGCTCTAGTGTCAGATTCAAGGGCTGTGCAATTACGAACGTAAAAAAATAGATACTTTATCAAAGGCTTAATGCAGAATAAATTCAGAAAGTTGTGTGAGACCCCTCATCTTAGGGATACTTATGAGATAAGGAATTTATCCCTGATGGTACTTTTTTTTTCCCCATGGGGAGAATTTCATGGTCTGTCAGTCCCCCAATATGCAGGATAAATCCTTCCTTTTACTGTATATAAAGTAAAAGATAGTCTAACGACAAATAAGTGATTTTCCCTTGGCATTTTAAATAGATTCCTGAACTCATTTCTTAATATGTTTGTTTTGTTTTGTTTTTTGGATAGGCAATGGGCTTAAGTGACTTGCCCAAGGACACACAGCTAATAAGTGTTTTGTGTCTCAGGCCAGATTTGAACTCGGGTCCTCCTGAATCCAAGACTGGTGCTCTATCCACTTCGCCACCTAGCTGCCCTCTCATTTCTTAATATGCATAATTTATAAATCAGCCATCTAAGAGATACACAAGTCAATCTGTCTCAGTAAGCAAAAGTACCAAAACAAATTACACAAAATTTGAGAAAGCAAATATGCTTTATTTTTAAAATTTTTTTATTTAAATAAGGAGAATTCTTTCATATGGAAAGAGCTAATACAATCACATATTTGAAAGGAGAAACAATAGGTACTGAAACGGAGGGAAAGGGCAAGAGTGCCACCACTGGCCTGGTGATTCCGTGATTCTAGTTTCCCATCCAAGTTAAAATAGTTTCCAAAAAATAATATATAAACAGGTTGCACATTACACTTTTATCCATCGTCTGCCCTTTCAAATATCTGGTCTACATGAAAAGACAAAGAGAGGAAAGGCCAAAAATACAAAAACAAAAAACCCAAACAAAATCTTTTTACTATACAGGGCATGAGGTTAAAAGCTTTAAGGAGTACAATATCCCAATTGAAAACAATGAATGTCATCATAGAGCCTAAATGGGTTTACACTAACAGGTGCCTCCACATGTTAATGTGGCCATAAGCCACTACACTACCATTTCCAGGGCCACCATAACAGGTGGGTGAGGGAATCAGAGGAAATGAGGCAACCGTTAGATGTTCTGATAAGCCAGGGAAATCACCGAAGCCATATACACTGGCAGCAACAGTAAGAACAGCTGGCTGGGTGACCATCAGATTTTCACATACACCACAGATTTATCTTTCTGTTCTGAATCACAAGGAATTATTGCAATCCCAAACTAATCCATTTGTCCTTGGGTCACACCAATGAGTTGGGAGGCTCATTTTCCTGACATTTGTATTTCCCATTCCATCAGAAAATGTAACAAAAGAAAATGTCAGTGCCACTGGCTTTCAGAAGAAAATCACAGAGCATTGTCTCTGAGCTTACCCTGTGATTAAAAAAAAAAAAAGAGTGGGGAAGAGATGTATGGAATGAAAAGCAAACATGCACCAGCTCCCCTGCTTACTAAGGAAAGAAGCCAGCAAGCAATGAAGAGCAGCTGGGTCATGAGGACCTGTTGTGTGCCTGGGAAAACATGCCACCCAATGACAGTGCATTCATATGTAATTTATATGACAACCAAGTGTACAAACATACAGCACACTGCCTCATTACACATAGTCCCATGGCTACAGTAAGAATCTAAGATTTGCAGTAAACATCTAGAAGGCAGATCTAGGAGTGCAGAAAGGTCAACACATAGTTGGGCATAATTGATATCCAGATTTTAAACTGATACCCTAATGTTCCCAAATGTGGCTCTGCAATGGTTGTGAGGAAAGACTTTTTAGTTTCTGAAAATAGAAACCACACCTTCCGTCTGTACATCTGAGCATATACTAACTTTATCCTTTGTGTTTTCCCTTAAGATGAAACCTAAAGCCAGAGTTTAGTAATGCCAAACTTAAAAAAAAAAATGTCCTGACAAGAAATGAAACCAGACTTAATGTAGCTGATAAACAACTAGTCACTGGATAAACAACATACTACAATTACACAGATATATACTCTGGACCTTTGCTTAATCAGGTAGATAATAGAGTGGCAAAACACAGCTTTCTAAGACCACGTGTGGAGCAACCCAGTTTCCCCTCCTCCCCGTGCAAACTGCACTTTATCAACAGCTGGGGCAAAGCTGACTGGCATCCAAGACCAAAGTAATTCTTAAGCAAAGATTCCGTGAGTTAATTCTGAATCCTCACCTCAGTAGCAGAAGAGTTAAAATCCACTATGACCTAAAAGGAACTGCAGTTTGTGTTGCTGTTGTTATTTTAATGTGTAATCTGCTCTATTCCCTCCAGGGAACTGATGAAACCCCAACAGAAGCCTGTGAATACATCTGCACTGGGAGAACAGGGGTTCAAACGGGCCAGGACTGGAAGTCACACTACCTGGAGCTTTTGCTCTAAAACCACATGACAGGAAGAGGGATATTGCACCTTAAAATGTTTCTGTACTAAAAACTGCTTTCCATCATACAAAGGGACAGAGGAGCAGCGAGGCCTCTCACTGTCCCTCAAAAAGTCTGATTTTAAATCTGTATCTTAAAGGAGAAAAGAAACCGCAGCTGAACAGTTACACAGTGGTGGTGAACGCAATGAGAAATTCACATGCAATTTCTTGGCCTTTCCTGCACAGAATAATTCAGACATTATATATAAATAGAGGAGTGAAACATTTACTTTTTTTTTTTTTCACCTAGACCTACAACATCAAATACGTATAAATAAATTCTAGTGTTTTGGGGGAGTAAAAGAGAAAAGGGTAGGGGAACAGGGGACCTTGTCTTAATTTTTCTTTTCTCAAACAGGAAGTACTATCATTTTGATGGCATTGTATGCCTGAGGGATGTATTATTTTCAGAGTCAACTCTGTAACAGCATTTAGGACTGTCATGTATAATAGGATAATGAAAGGAAGAATAATTTTTTTTCCCTTTTGATAAGTAAAAGTAGTAGTGTGCACCTAGATCTGGTGTGAATAGATTTAAATGAGTCTCTAAACTACAGAAGTAGAGACTTCAATTTGTGTGGTCTGAGCTGACAGACTCAGAATAAGGATAGACCAGCAATAATCATGGTGTAGGGGAGCAGAGGGAGAAGTAATAAAGGTAGAAGACTATTCATATGCTCACACAAGCTCCAAGGCATAGGGGAAGAGAAGGAAAAGTAGATGATGTATGCATGGGGCAGGCCAATGCTGGGTCGTCCAACAATAGGGCATTCCTTGGAGAACAGGCTCCTGGGATAAGGCTGTTGGGAATGAGAGAGAAAAATAGTCAAGCTGGTGTAAGTAAGGTCTGAGAGAGGCAGGTTGGTGAAGGCTATGGAAAAAAAGAAAAGATTCTTAACCAAATTTCCCTGCCCCTAGATGTTACTGAATAGAAGACATACTGACCCTCCACCATAAAGTTATAACCATCATCAAAATAACAAAACTGAGAAAGTAATTTAACACAGTTCTGTAAGGATTTGTATTTTCCCACAATCTATGAGGGGCAAAGAAGGAGATGCCATTACTTATGTGGGGAAATAACTTGAAGAGCTGTGCCTACTGCACATTTATACCTAGCTTATAACTTGAATGCATCCCTATAAAACCTTGGAGGACCCAAGTCTTGTAACACCACCTGACAGTCCCCTCTACAATGCCCTCCTCATACAAAAGTCTTCTTTGGAACCACCAGTAGATAAGACACCAAGCTGTAGTCATTCCTATCAGCAGATGGCTGGTTGGTCATCAGAAGAACATGCAAAAAATTCAAACTTCCACCCCCTAACCTGTGAGTGACAGAACCACAATTTGTTGTTGTTGTTGCCTTGAAAAAAGAACATAGCTCGCAAAGATATTTAGCTGGAGGAGTTCAGTTGACTTAAGACATGGTCCATTTTCCAGAGAAAATAGTGATGATCTTTGAGACACCTGCTGCAGAGTCCAGGTTTCATATGATCCAGGAGTAGCCTAGGTCTGCTTTGCTGAGGGAAGAAAAAGACTTAAAACTGCCTTGCAGACCCTACATTTTTGCTAAAAGATGAAAAAAAAAATTTGTGCACCATTACTGCTATGCAGATCAATTTCCACTGTTTCATTAGTGACGAGCTCTGCAGAGAAGACAGGAAAACACAGAAGGACCAGAGGGCCACTTAGGGGAGAGGCAAAGCTCCTCCAAGAGCTTTCCTCCAGAAAGGAGCTCTAGAAAATAAAACAAGTGCACACATATATCAGCCCAGAGGGGCAAGGATGATGGAAAGAACTGGCCTGCACAACACCGAGGCCAATACAACTACAAGGAGCTGCCAGAGGAACCTCACGGGTCAGCTCTTCTCATTCATGCAAAAGGAGAAGTTTGGAATACACCAGTGAGTTAGCAAATCCGTGACTTATCCCTGGCTGTCTTGGGAGGCAATCTTTCATCCAGATTCAGATGGGCCTATGCATCTTCCCTCATGCTGAAAACGTCATCCTGTTTCTCCGGGCAACAAACTTCCCATAGTAACCAGGACAGGAGTCAGGATGCAATCAATACACCAATCTATCTTATGCCTTAGTTACAAATTCACTTCTAGTGAGAATCATGAATGCCATTTACTAAAAGCTTAAGAGTTCTCTCTTTCTTTCTTCTTCTTCTTCTTCTTTTTTTTTTTTGCAAATAATTTCAAGGGAAACAAGTGGGGAAAACAATGGTTTTAGAGTCAGTCTTAACGTAGCATTGCAACATGAAATGAAGGAAAGAGGCTAAAGGAAACTATTTTGGTTAGAAGTGATGGATGGGAAGGAGCAGAAAGAACATATAAACGTTTTGCTATACATAGATATAGCTTGTTTTTTTGTTTTTGCTTTTTCCTTCGTTAAAAACCTCAGCTGCCTTTTAAAATGAAAAGCCTCAAACTAAAATGCCCCTGTTATTACCATACTCCTGTGCCTGGGTATCACTCTGCTGGGAGAAAGTTTTGGGAAGAGAAGGCTGCTGTTGCTTAATGAGCTGTATGACAGCAGGAGGCAGAGTGAGAGGGGGAACTGGGAGGTGAACCTGCACTGCACACTCAACAGTCATGGTAGGGAAATGAAGGATGGGGTGGGGCAGGGGTGAAGGGATCATTTGCCTGTTTTGTTATTAAAGCAAGCAGGTCAATGTCATATCCACTGTTGAAAGAGAAGGGAATGGGGGGGAGGGGGGAGAAAGGGAGGAAAATCTGAAGATGTCACTTGAGTCAAGTCAAAGTCAAGTTGTCGGGATGATGGATCTGGCGAGATTTCCAAACATCCAGTTGTGTAAGGACAGCAGCGGTGCTGTGTGTGAGCTGGCATGGCAGGCATCAACAGGCACTCCTAGGCCTTGCTATCCTCGACTTTCCCGGCCTGAGGTTTGATTGCTCCAGTTCGCTTCATCTGTGTGGCGGAGGCCGCCTCCTGCAACTTCACAGCTCCCAGGCTGGGCTTATTTTCATCCACTCGTTGTGCCTTTGAACAAAGAGAGAGGGAGGAAAATAAGCTTGATAAGCCGAACTCTCGATTAGATACAAAGCTCCCACCATCCCCCTTCCTGATGTAGGGCTGCAAAGAAAGAGCTAAGTGATCCATATTTTAGCTGAAGTGCTAGACTCAAAGGTACTTTTAAAAATTCTTACGAAACTGGCCGATTACTATCTAGTTCACTTTCAAAAATTTTTGCAGAGTGATCTGGGGAGAGAATATAGTGATGACCTAAAAATGTTTGTCAGAGAAACACTGTAATAAAGAGGCTTTGTGAACTATTGATTTACCAAGCTGACAGATTCTTTTCAATTCATGACATTATGCATCCCATGTGAGATAAAACACCTTCAGGGACACCTCCCTGTACCCCACCAGACTATGAACAATTTTTCACTGTGCTTAAGGTAGGAGAAGAAGAAAGGCAAGAGATAACTCAGCAACTGTCAAAAGCAGGCTTACTCACAGGATCCTCATAAAGGCTGGCAGGGACCTTAGAGGATATCTAGTTAAGTTCTCTCATTTTACAGATGAAGGAAATGAGGCCCAGAAAGGTTAAGCAGCTTTTCTAGCATTCCAATGGGCAGAGCAGGGATTTGAACACAGATCCTCTGATTTCAAATGCTACCCTCTTTCACTCTACCATGCTGCCTCTCCCATTTACTTTCAGTAATACATCTATTAGTCTTCAAGCTATACATCCAATTAATGACAGTTCAATTTATAAAGTGTAATCCTCCAGGCCAAGGATCAGACAATGAGTCCTCACAATAAATGTTTCAGAATTCTAAAGACCTACACGTAATACTATTAAAAATAGCAGCCAATCTTATGGAATAGTAGCTAACCTTAACCACATCCTCTCCCTGTTCCCAAAAAGCAGTTCTTATTTGGGAAAAAAACTTTGAAAGATAATTCCATTCAAATCAAGAGGTCACTTCAAAACATTTGGTGAAGTGCCAGATTTTATTGTTGTTTCTGTCACTTCTGACCCTCCATGTCCCTATTTGGGATTTTATCAGCAAAGATACTGGAGTGATTCGCCACTTCCATCTCCAGCTCATTTTACAGATGAGAAAATAGACGAACAGGGTGAAGTGACTTGTCCAGGGTCACACGGCTATTAAGTGTCTGAAGCCAGATTTGAACTCACGAAGGTGAGTCTTCCTGACTCATAGTCCAGCACTCTATCTACTTCACCACTTAGCTGCCCATATGAATTGTCACAGGGATAAATAAAAACTCACATATGCTAAGTTCTCTGGGAATTTCTTGGGTCCTACATGTTTTAAGAGTAATAGCCTAATATAATGATGAAAATAATAATAATGTTCTTGTTCTTGCAAAACAGAAAGACAACTCCATCTAGACTTAGCATCCATCAATGATTTCATCCAACCAAAGCTTTACAGTGAGGCTGACTAAGACACACAACATTTAAGTCCCTGTCTTTGCCAGTCTCCATCTTTGTCACACACACACACACACACACACACACACACACACACACACACACACAC